TTATGTATATATATTTTTGTATTCATGGATGCAAGTGTACATTTATAGGGGGCTCAATGGGTGTGTCATTTTGTGCAAGGATCAAATTTACTTCAATTCAAAGCAATATGGGAATAAAACTTTTTAGGTGCCCAGGAGGTTTTGGTATAGTTTTGGTTTAAAAAAAAAATTAAATACACAAACAAATAAAAAATTATATAGATTAAAATATTATAATTTTGTAATAATTATTTACATATATGCATATATATTCTTTGTATTGATAACTGAAATGCTGACACAAGTGTATAATTTATAAGGGTACATGCCTTGGTACATTATCATTCTGTGGAAGAGTCAAATTACTCCCTTAGTTCAACAGAAAAAGAGATATTGGCATATGTATAAAACATTTTAGGTCTCCTGGAAGTTTTGATAGTTTGGTTTATCTGAAAAAAGTTAAACCTGATTAGGCATGAGAACACTGTCAGTAGGATCCAAACTAAAAGGTAAATATAATGCATAGGTCTGAAAAATGACTAGCAATACATATTTAGCCATTTTAATTAAACTAAAAAGTAATAGAATATATTATTACCGCCACTATTGCCTCACAGCTCGGACATATGTGATGTTCCCAAACCTCTAACCACAATTATACATTTCAACATAGTCTAACCCTGGAGCTATCAAATTTTAGTTTTGAGAGCTGCTAACAATGAAATTTGCACATTTATGGAGCAGATATGAAAAACTTCACTAAGTCATTTTTAATTCTTGAGAAGTTAAAATTTCAGTGAATATCTTTATTTAAAAGTAAAAATTATGACAGTCTCTAATTGAGTAAAAAGGGAACTGGTGTGCAGAGATCTTAATGACAAGAACATGATTTCTGTTCAACATTTAATTAGCTTTATGCATAATTCCTATGCATTTCTCATTGTATTCAAAGAGGATGTTATTTCATTAGTACCATGTGGTTGATTTGTGAACGTTTAGGAGTTCTATGGAGGAAAAAAAGCTGTTTCTGGACTTAACTGTTACAGACATTATCTAAATAATTACATAATTGTTATAGCTTCAGTTACATAGATATATAACCATTGATCTGACAAATTTGAATCAAACTACTCTGGCAATTACGTGATGAATAGTAAAATGCATTATTTAAATTTGAATCTGTGTGTGTATATTTCCTAGTACTTCAAAGTGATCTTTTTGACAATCCAGGCTAAAACGCTTTAATCTCAGTAGTGCCACAAGATCATATCATGTGCTTTTAAAACCGAGACCAATATACAAATAAATAAATAATGCAAGTGCATTAGGGAAGTGCACACGGAGGCACTGGTGCAAGCACATCCTTTGAGTTTTAGAGGGAACTTTGTGTGGGTTTGATGGCTCATAAAAACAGGCATACTGTCGGTTCATATGTTGATTCTCACCCTCTTATTTGGATCAGGTTGGTTTCAGCTGCACATCAGAATCTATGTTGGCCATTTAGACAACAGATATAAGGACATTGCAGGGTCTAAGTTTTGTGGTTTAAGGCGCAGCAGGAGTTCAGATGTGTGTCATTAAATGTGAGAAATGAGAGCTTTTATTATGCCTGTGGAAATCTTGCAGCCTCTAATTTCCAGCCGTTATTATGCTCTCCTGACGCGGCAGGGAACCTCCCCTAAATTAATTAAATCAATTTAAATAGAAGCACTAGATGCGCCACAGCAATAAAGGGAAACAAGCTCACAATTTAGAGAGCAACAATGCCACTTTGTCTCTTGATGTGTTTGAAAACCTTTGGTGGTTTTTGGTCATGAGAATCTACATTTTAGCTTGTCATGAGTAATTCAGATCTCAAGCACAAGAAAGAACAATGCATTCCCTTTGGATAATGATATTGTTATTATTTTTGCTGCAGGCAATTTCTGACAATTTTGAACTATAGGAAAATACGTGGAAATGACAACGGTCTCGTGCCAAATGTTTGTCAAACAAAGTCATCCAAAATATTGGAATAGTGCAATCAAAAACTGACAGCAATGGTGTGCAAAGCTCACAAAGCCATATTTGACCAAAAATAGGGTTAAATACTAAAACTGGGATATTTGCATGCTAAAAACATCATGTTTATGTAACCTAATTTAACAAGATAAGGGGAATAAAATGAGCATTTGAGATTGTACCCATTACATTCTCTTTTGATTTGTCTTTGTCTATTGATTTACTTATTCAGACATCATGTGTTTTAGAGTCATTCGTGTATATGTACACAATTTCAGATTGAATGATGTATTGTGTGCATGTGTCCTGCTGTAAATAACCAGTATGATGGATGAACATTAAACAAGTGTTACAGTGGAATGACACCTGACAAAACAAAACTGAATGGGGAAGTGAAAAAGCACTCAGACCTACAGCGAGTGTAAGATATGAACACACTTACATCTGTGAACTCAACCAAATGCAGCATCTTTCAAAAATAAACTTCTTTGTGATGGCACTGCAAGAAATAACAAGCTCGGCGAGTGATTTCGACTTGTGAATTTTCTCAGATCCAGTGAAAACTCCGGGGTGTTTATAAGATATTGTGACTTAGTATAGCAGGAAATAAGCTGAATGCAAGGCTGCACTGGCTAAGTTTGTGTATTTGTTGCAGTGGGTTTCCAGCATTGAGAAGCAGAATGGAACTTGCTCTTTGCACACGAGGTATTTCTCAAACAATGAAGAGGTGGGGTTGATCGACAACGTTAATTTGTGCATGTTGTCTTTATGTCCATTTTGTACTTAGCCTTGAAGATCAACTGTCAGACTGCACTGTTCACTCTGTGAAAAGATGTGTTGCATAAGTGCTATTATGGTACATGGAAATGAGCTCCACACATCTTTTTAAAGAGCGCATCAGAATAACATGGTGTCTCTAAAAGTGTAGGCTGCCATCCACAATAAGGCATTCATGAGGGCTACACCTTAGTAGCATTATATACTCAATACTAATGGTCAATATATCTATGGGTAAAAAAATAACTGTTAACTAATAATAAGAAATAGAAAATAATTCAAACATAAAATAGTGGATTGGCCACACAGTTTTGATCCATGTATCCACAATGTTTCAGAAACACCAACTATTCTGAAGAGTGGCAGAAACTACAGCCACAGTGCAATGTGTGGCAATGAAGCTACAGGTAGACAGACTCCACCTGTATGATTGGCTAAGATCACATGTTGTCATGTGGGATGGTAGCGTGTGGTCACAACTGCTAACAGGGAGCGTGAATTATAAATGTGTATATACAAACACTCTGGAACCCTGTATTCAGTCTAATGTCATCTTTTTAAAGATAGAAGTTTTCAATAAAATTCTCTTTTGGAACTGACCCCTTCCAAACCCCAAAAGAAAACCATGTTTCATAACCCAGTCAGAAAAAACACACTAGTGCAAAATTTGTGCGGTTAGAGTTTCTATAAAGTTTATGATATTTTGGGCCCCAGCAGCAGTGGTTTTTGAATCCCATTGGGGCCACTGAGTTTCAATATACAGTTTCTTTATCAATATCTTCACTGAAGAAAAAATGCCAAAGAGACATTCAGAGACTATTTTCATAGTATTCTGTCCTTGTCTCTGTTTGGGGTCAGACAGACACAGTGGTCTACCTGTCCATATTTTACATGTCTTATTTCTGCCAAGCCACCAGTACATCCACTTATCTCTCCTCTGTTTGTGATTTACCGGTGAAGTTCAGTAGAAAAATAAGCGATCTCTGATACTCCATCAGAGTTAGAAAAAGACAAATCGTCTCCTGCATGGGCCAAAGCTGGGTGCAGCGGTTGACGATGGTGACAGCTTATTGCCTCCAGGCTGCGTCTCAGCCACCAAACCTGACTCCTGCTGCTCCACACACAGGACTCGGACTCAGAGGTGGTGATGGACAGGTCTCTGGAATCCAGTGCTCTGTGAAGACTGGTCTGCAAACGTCCGTTTTTTGTTCAGGGCAGTGACCCTGAAGCTAGAGAGGAATATTCTGTGTACATGACTAATTTAAGTGGTTCCTTAGAGGAATACTGATGTCCAAAGCAATCATCTCAAAACTATAGCACTTGCAGAACCACGATGCAACCTTATCAAACACTTCACTGGCAAATAAATAAAACATAGTGATGTGATAAGGAATATGCCTCAAATAGTCACTTCTGATTGTCCAACAAGAGACATCTGGTACTCACATCAAGCTAAATCAAATAAACCTTATATTTTGTTGCTGGTTGCTCTTTTACACCTAACCATCAGTATTTCTGTAAGGTATGCATTGGTGTACATCTGGTATAATACTGTTGCTGCAGTTATGTGCACCTACAGCACTTAAATAGTCAGTGTCCAGAGAGTTCAAAACAAACTCAGTTGTCATAATGTCCAGTCCTATTGTGTTCACATGATTGAAGTCTAGGCTCGAGGGAGGTATTTGTCCAGCACAAGTAAAGCCTTAGTGTTGACAGAGGAACTATTCAATTATTATTGGACATGGGCAGGAGATTGGAGGGAGGAGCAGTTCCTGAGCTCCAATAAAGGGATGAATTTAACAGTGAAGCCCATGTCTGGTCTGTAGCACAAAGCATACAGTACTCCACACTGAATGTTGGACAGGAATCAGGATGAAGGAAAGAATTAAGGACGCTGTTATATTTTTGAAGTCAGGTAAGATTAGGTAAGCCCTTTCTATTTAGAACTGAAAATAGGCAAACAAAGGCTACCAAGATTATTAAACAAATCTGACTTCTTTTCAAGCACAAATTTCTTAAAAGAAGGTCCAGGTTAAGTACAAGGCTTTGTATGTTGGAAGTGTAGATTACTGTCATCAGTGTGGGTGTAGCTCAGAGCTGTATCTGTGCAGATTTTGCTGGCATGGCCCGGCATGCTACAGCACAGATCCAGAGTTTGGCTCCTTCTGTTGACTTTGGTTTGACCACACAGTGCGTCGTGGCACTAGGACTGGACCACTGCTCAGGGCAGTCTGCAGGAGGGACTATACCACAGTGCAGACGGTGTTCAGCGTGGTGTCAAATCGCACCGCTTTAGCTTCAGTGGGTTTCATATTTGTGTCATACATGGGATTTTCAAATGACGCCTGACCATTTGAACTTTCATGACCGACGTAGCCATTGAACTGGACCTTGGGGCGAGTTCTGAAAAACAGAAAAAGATGGAGAATTAGGTTGACATATAGTAGTTGAACATTTCACCATTTAGTATCAAAAAGGTATTTAGTTAATCCATCTTCTGCTTATTTGAGCCCAAAGCATGATAGACCCTGGGCTGTTGCCTGTATAATAGAGCTAAAACAGAGGTATACATAGACAAATAAAAACTCTCAGCTTCACAAGAGCCAAAACAGATTCACCTTGGTGTTATAGAAAGTCACAGAAACACGCAGACTACTGCATATAATATAAAGTATATATAATAAAATTATTATGTGGTTTTGCATTTCTAGCAGGGTTTACAAAGAAAAAGGTGACTCAACCAATAGATGAATCCTGACTTCTGGGAATAATTTAATGAATCCATGGATCAGTGGTTTGGCTGCCTGACGCCCATCTGCTCCTCTCATGTCTACAAGCATCAAACCTGCCATCACACAACCAAGTGGCAGCCAACAAATCCAAAAGACCACTCTGCCCAAACCATTAAAAAACTGGGGTTGAAATTGCTATCTGGTGAAATATGGCTACCCCCTCCGAATTTATCAGTTTGTTGCAGATTACATGTTTGGATAATCAGGTCCCATAATCCTGTTAGATATAATCACTTACTCCCAAACCCTGTGGAACTATTAGCAGGGAGGAGTGCTGCAGCTGAAACGCTGTTTGATTCTGACCTCATTAACAGTGTGAATGTGTGTGTGAATGTGTGTGTGAATGTGTGCGCGTGTGTGTGTGTGTGCTGGTACAGATCCAGCCCTGGGGAGCCAGTAAGCCTAGCCTACATGTTCAACCCATTACTTTACAAAACGACGCACACGCTGACGCACACCCACTGCCTTTCTGAGTGGCGCTGGTCCAAATCACTGAACTCATCACTGGCTTAAGGTGAAAAAGTTTAAAGATTTTTGGCCAGAAAGCTTAATTGCTCAGACACGAAATTTACAGGCATGCAGGTTTAAGCATACTGTCAAACAAGCATCCAAAAGCTCCTTCAAACCACAGAAGACGTATGACCAATTAGTCACATTCAGTGTCATTGTATAATATATGACATGTACATAAAATCAAAACTGTGGTTGTCTCATGTACACAGCAACAGAGAAACAATAAAACAAGACTGAAGTATGCACAGCTCCATCATGCTGACAGAGATGACAATGAGATCAAAGACAGAAAAGCATGCCCTGCTTTTACTTTGAAATGATGGCTTTGTCACACAGTAGGGCTGCACCGCTTACAAAAGTGCTTTTTTTTTTTTTATAATACAAGCAATTTTCTAAGTCTACAGTATATAGTTGTTTTCTTTGCAAGACATTCACAGAAATTACCACCTGTAATTGTGTGAAGGCATAAAAAGATTGTGCAGCCTTACCAAATAACATGAAGAAAAGAAAAATGAGAAAGTCAACGGAGGATGTGGCGGCCGGCTGAGCACTGGTTGCCGTGGGAAACCAGGTGAGTGATAGTTCTCAGTCTTACCTGCCGCCAGGCCCCCAGGTGTCTTTAGGTCTCTCATTGTCATCTGTGTCAGCAGACAACGCCCTGCGTACAACCATCAGCTTTATTCAACCAGTACTTTTGCAGCTGTAATCTTACACTATTCTGACTTTATATCACAGTTTGTGTATGTGTAAGTTTAAGAATATGTCCTTCCTAGTTATAATCAGTACATGTTGTGTATGAGAATTTTAAGTTTGGCAGTAAATGGTTGTTGTTGTTTTTTTAAATACATGTAGTCTGCGTTGGTTGCATTGGTTTTTATGCTGGATGGTATTCCTGACGCATAATTCTGACATTTACACAATGGACCAGAACAAACATACAATGAATAGTGACAAGTGACAACTGTGTGACATTCCTGAGCAGAACCAAAGATAGTCCTTTTATATAAATGTAGAACCTCTTCAAAAGTTACTGATGACATTTCCATCTCAGTATGTAAATCAAGTCATTTGAAGGCCCTTTTGTGAATGTCTGATTACTACCTGAGAGGTCATCTGCATGTAACCCTTTAGAGGAGAAGAGCTATAATTATGTGGAACAATTCTTTTTAAGTTTTCATACTCCAGTTTGTTTTTGCAATAAAGTGCCACTTGAAGCTATGTTTTAAGACATTTGAGAGATGTCAATTGTTCTGACCTCATGTTAAGAATCAGATTACGAGGAAAGCTGTAGACAAAATGTGAGAGTAATATCAAATATTCTTCATTTTCACTTTGTAATATTAGGACACCTAGAAAATCTTTTCAAGCAACTGGAGTTTTTTGAGTGCCATAAACAGAAGTATGTTTGGTATTTTGTCAGTTATATTTTCCTCACAACCAACTGAGAGCAAATTACAAAAACCTGTTAATGGATTTTAGGCAAGTGATTACACCTCACCCCAACTAAATCAAGACGTACTTGTTGGAGATGTTTTATAAGCTCAGTGCATTTTCCATTTTTGTTATCTACTCGCTCCTTTCCTAACTTCTAAAATGTGGCTCTCAATAGACATTTCTCTTCACAGCTTTAAAACTAGGACACAATTTGTGCCAGTGAGAACTCAACATAATAGGTGGAGGGGATTTCAGTGCAAGACTCCACAATTCAACTGTGTGCCAGCTTAATATAAACACGCAATAGTACATTTATCAAGAGGAGCTTAGTGGCCACATTGTTATGCAATCCACAGCAACATTTAAAATGAGTTACAATGCAGGCGGCTACAGTATGAGCTAATAATATTATGTTGGATGACTAAGGCCTGAAAGTTGTAAAGACATGAATGTTTAATGTCTAAATTAATTTTCCAAAATTGCCAAACTAAAAGCTAGAACAACTGTCCCCAGATACATTTTTGCTTATTTAGTTTGTTTATAAGACTACTAGATTTTATGATGTTTTTGGTGAATATGTTTGGTTAAACTTTGGTCACACATAACTACACTTTAATTAGCCTTAATGAAGATTTAATTCATAATGAACAAATGGATTATTAATAGTTAATTGAGAATGATTCAGGCTTAGTAAGTACTTAATTAGGGATTAGGTATGGGAGTTAGGGTTAGAGCATTAATTTATAAGTAGTTACAAAGACTAAATCATTCTTAATAAACTTTGAGGCTGATCAGGTATAGTCATTATATAATGTTTCTGCCTTACTGTAGATAAAATATGCATTAAAATCAGAATGAAATGTGTTATTAAATTGCAGTTTCTATGAAAATTATATGCTATCATAGACTTAATGTATTTTGATGATATTTTGTTGCAAGCACTGGTACTATACTAGAGCAATGACTGACAGAGCAATAGTGAGGAGTGCTTTAGACATGGGTGCTGGTGGGATTTAAAATACTGGGTTTAGGGCTTACCTGTGTTTGTAGAGGTAGAAAGCAAATCCCGACAGGATGAGGGCAAAGAACGGGACTAAGATGGCCGCTGCCACAGAGCTGCTGTTTGTGTACGGGCTGGATGGGTCTATCGCCGTGGTAACAGGACCTGGGGACACAGATATATGAACCCACACGCTTGGCTGCATACACAAATGGAAACTCAATTTTACTTTATACGCAAAAATTGCTCCCTGTTCTATGAAGTTTTGGTATTGATTTTAGACTTCTGAGATGTGAACTTGATGTACCTTGCCTTGTCAGGTGGAACTTGCCAAAGTCTTTACTGTGAATATGTCCTTGGTAAACAAATGTCTTTTGATCCGACTCAGCGGTGACCTGAAAAATAAAATGTTTATAAAATAATTTCATTCAAGGTTTATGATTATACATTTTGTTACAAAAATATTTGCGTATACAAAATGAGAAAAGGGGGCTACGTAATTATTGGTAGATAAAACAAAAGTTCAAAACATGGAAAGCACAATACAAATGACTAATCTGCAAAGTATATTACTGCTATTTGTGTCAAAATTATATATTTATATTGTTGTACATTTTATAATTTGATATATTTTTTATAATTTTGAGTGTTCACTCTTATCTCCAAACTTCTGGCCATAGCATCTTGTTTGGGAAATATAGCTGCAACATTTTAGCCACAAATGGAAAAGAGGTTTTTCATCTTTAACCTGTAAAAAGATTGTTTCTCTGGAATCATAACACGGCCATTATCTGCCTGTCATATTTCGCTTCCCTCCCTCACAGTGTCATTTGCAACCTGGTAAATTGGCTAACTGTCTCTGCTCTCTTTGCCTCCCCTCCATCTTGCATGCTTTCTCCGCATCAATTCTTGTCGGGTACCACCTTTTACAATATCCCTGAAGATTTTCTCTATTGCTCCTGGATTTTCCTCTCTGTCAACAAGTCAAACATGTTGAGACTGTTAATCCATTTCACGTTCTGGCTTTTATTTCACAGGTTCCTGCTTCAAATATCGCATCACGCAGAGTTCAAAAGTCTACATGAAACACACAACCTAAAACAAAACTGGATGTCTGTTTTTTGATGTTTTGACAGAATAATCAACAACACTGTCAAGCTACTCCATTTATTTTTCTTTCAGCGCGTTTGCTCCATCCTCCAACATAGCAATAAAAGGTAATTACTCCAAATATTTTTACAGCAGCATTTTTGAAAAACTTGTTGAAGCTGAAATCAAAGACGAGCCAAAAAATGCGCTCATACTCTTATAGAAAAATCACGCAATAATAAAAATAGATTGGATGAATTCATACAACTTTGGTAATGATACTTTTATGAAACAACTTCCCACCTTTGAACGTAAATGGAAGGAAAGCCAGGGTGAAAACGGCATCTTTCTTCTCTTTGAAACCATGTTAATTAGATGCCTTTGTATCTGAAGTTGTATTTGCATAATGTGACACAAGATTCATCTGAAATCTCAATGATTTTCTTTTTACTACCTCCTCATGTAAAAGGAGCTATTGTCAGAGAGGTGGAGACGAGAACCAAGCAGCAAATGACTATTGAATGAATATTTATATGTGAGATAAATGTGAATGGAGTCTCACCTGTGGTAAAGCCAAAACTAAACATATCTTCTCATAGGTATTGTTTTAATGAAAATGATACACAAAGAACAGCGTATTTATCAAGCATTGCAAGTACTAGGTTTGAAATCAGATGCCTGCCAAGTTATTGTTCCTTTTGTAAACATGTGTTCAAACATCAAGATCAGGGGGTAAATGCTCAATTTATTCTTGTCACCTTTTAGTCATTTTATAATGTTATATGTATGTTAAATGTGGGAGGGGGATTGAAAATGTAAAAGCTTTGCTTCATCCATCCCCTTTTCAAACCATGCATGTTTGTATCTGCATTTGTATTGTTATGTTGTGAATTGTATGTGCAGGTTTGAAATAAACTAACTAACCTCATCAGAAACATACCTGAAATTGTGTTTTGTTTCAGTCACACACACTGAGTAATCCTTTGTAATAGTCTGTCTGCATCTCCAGAGCTCAAAATGCTCTGTTCCACTCTATGATATCAATGTAGTAATTTTCAAGTTGACAGCTACCTTTTACCTTTTGTTCAGTAGAGAGCAATTCTAGGGCTAAAATTATCCAAATGATTCTAGTGGAGGTGTATGGAGTTTCAAAACACAGTGGAGCACTTCCTGTATTATTACATCACAAGGTGAAACAAAGTGTTTTCTGTTTGAGAGAAGAACTCAGCCTAAATATGCAGGGTTTGTGTGTTAAACATTTGTGAATGAAACAAAACAGAACTCTGGGTACATTTGTAATGAGGAAACAACAACAACATCAGAACAGAAAATAGCGTAATATGGGCCATTTAAATCCCTAAACTGCTATAAAATATCTCATATAATTAATTGGTTTAAAATACAATTCAATTAGTGAGTACAGTACTGTTGACTGTAATGATAAAGTAGTACTTACATATCCATCCATTGCCCAGTTGTCATTTTTAAACTTGCTGTAGTAATGCTCTGTGGGCCCCTTCACTTGATAGACCTTCAGGAGTAACTGGTTTTCCTCAAACTTATAAGTGCCTACAAAAGCACAAACAAAACAAGAATGGTTAGTAAGAAAAAAAACAGCAAGTCAGAAAAACAAAAATCAGAGAATAATCTGACATATTGATCTTCGACACCTTGTAACCCCCATTTCCTCCACCAAACAACTGACAGGATGGAGAAGAAAAATTACATTCACCCTGCAGCTACACAACTTATTGCTGTTTGACAGCACACGCCCATGTGCGAGGTTCATGATAAAATATTTTTGTATTTGTTTATTACAGTGCACTATTGATTCTGATATTGTATGTTAAAATGGTCAGTAGAATGCCAGATAGGATGCCAAGTTGACCACTACAAGAGGCAAAATGATTTTTTTTTTTTCAAAAGCACATTTTATAAACAAGACAAGTACTACACATAGCAATGTAAAACACTAAAAGTATTATGTTCAAGACAGAAGCAACTAATAAAAAAACAACACATAAAAAAATCTAAATAATAAAATCAATAAATAAAAACACTATAAAAAGAGTAAAATAGATAAAAACATTAAATACATTTAAAATAAATATAAAAATAAATAAAAGACACATGTGTTGTTAAACCCAAAAGAATAAAAGTAGGTCTCAAGATGAGACTTAAAACACTCCACTATGGGGGTTATCTTACATAGCTGTATAACAATGGGCAGTGTAACCATGTTCATATATGTCTAAATAACAACATTTCAATATTCCATAAGAAGATAAATTTATATTCCTTCATTTGATTGTGTTGGCCTCATACAAAAACAAACCAAATATGCCAGATCTTATGCTAACTAGGTCTTGCTTTGCTTCAGTAACTATTTAAACGTTACTAAAATTAAACACATTTGTGATGTTTCATGTAATGCACAAGTACAAACTAATAGTCTTATGTGGTGTGAGCAGAAAGCATAATTTGCCAATGATGATTATTCCTATTTACATACTATTTCTTTAACATTATATTACGGTTGTGTTTTTGTCACCTGATAGTCTGATGGACACTCCGGTGGGCTCCATTAGGGTAACATTGACTCTTCCTGTGGTTGTGTTAAATCCTGTTACGGTGAATGTTGTCCCTTGTCTTTTTCCGAGATACTCATAGAAACCACTCCAGTCAGAGTTGGGTGAAAACACATCCACAGGCACTGTAAGGGACACCAAAAATCATTTATTTAGTATTTTTCTGAGAGGGTTAAATTGATGACAATTCAGTTATTCAGTTGTACCTCGAATTTTGTTTTTCTGGACGTCTGACTCTCTGGTTTTGGGATTGATCTTTACGCCAACTGGGAACAAAAACATCTTATTTGTGTATTTTTAACATGACATGCACCTAGATTTCAGCTCCATAAGCACACTGGTGTATAGTTACATAAAGACAACATCCTTCCATAATACACAGTGTGCCTCAGGTTGACTTAATCTAATCTGTATGTATCTTAAACCTTATGGGATTAACACGTCCGCCTTTTCTGGGTTGCAGCCATTTTAGACACTCTACATTTGAGATAAAGTGTGATACCTTTGCAGAGAGGGGGCTTGCCAGACCACCTCCCATCACTCTTGCATGTTCGATGCTCTGATCCTCCTGCCAGATAGAAGCCCTCTTGACAGGTGTAGATCAGTGTATATCCCAGCGTGGGCAGGTCCATGGATCGAACATCCACATTACTGGGAGTCTCGGGCTGCCTACACGAGTGGGCTGTGGGGAAAACCGCAGACAGCCGCATCAGCACCATAATACATCATATGTCAAACTACCCTTCGCATCCAAACTTAATAGCATCAACCAGCTTTACAATGAAGATGAATAATGGAAAAATGTCGACCAACTGTGCCAGTAAATCTATACCTATGCACTCGGGTTGTGTCCCACTCCAGGTTAAGTTTCCAGGCACGTTCTTGTGGTGGAGCCAAGAATGTGGTAATTCTTGCGGCATTTGAAGGATATTTTACTACCAACCTGGACAGAAAACAAATAAGAAAACCAACTAAAGTTTTGCTAGATTTTGATAAAACATTAGAGCATTAAATTGGTGTACTGTATGTGTAACAATGTAATCAACCTTTCCACCGTAATATTCAATTACTATCTACAATATGAGAATATGACAACATATTTTTGGTGTGATATATAGTCAGAACTGTATGCATGATACAGAAATTCAATACAATACAGATTTTTTTTTTTTTACATAAAATTAAATAAGTAAAATTTCAGTTTTGGTATTATATTAGTGTTGATATAAATCATAATTATCAAAACTGTTCAGGAAAGTAAATTATTATTTTCAGTATCGCCACTTCATATTACTATGTAGTCAGTAGTATGTATTAGTATATAGTTTTGATACTAGTTAAAGTATCGATTAGTATCTTCAGTTAGCATCATCATAATATGAGTATCATATCTCAGTATGAAGGCAATAGAAAAGTTAGAAAGGTAAACATGAAAACCATCTAACCTGAAAACCCTGAGCCAGAACAGGGATGCCGTAGGCTGGTGTTCCTGGATCTCTGCAGCTGTTGAAAGCGGGGTCTAAAAACACACAGAGGCACATAATCAACATGTGGGAGAAGAAAACAAGACACCTGTACTTATCTTATGACCTGTAGTGCTGTGTGGACATAGACTCAGCAAATACAATCAAGGTAAGTTTAAGAAGTATGACACATTTGATATTGTATGTGATTGCAGAAAGAGGACATTTGATTACTGGCTGTACACCTTCATCACAGAGCCACGCGACTGGAGTTATTTATAACACAATCAAGACATAAAAATGTTCTCAAATTGCAGTTCAAAATAAGAAGCTGCTTTGATTGATAAACATCTTAAAAACAGAAACTTTATCAACCAGATTATGTACAGCACTATCTACATGGAAATCATGTTAAAAGACTTATCTGGTCTACTATTAATCTGATTATGACTCCTTCATCCTATGTTGATGAAATAAGTCACGTCTGTCAGGATTAAGAGTTACATTTTGTTTAGTCAAAGGAAGCGTTATATGTGGGGGAAGTCAATGGCTATGTTTACACACCAAAACTGATCATTATCTGAGTTCTGAATTATCACATTGTAGAAATGTCATGTTAACGGATTTCTTTCCGATTGTGTACACCTCTGCAGGTTTTGACAGGGAAAAAATATGCAACAGAAATGAAAGACAAACTGTTAAAAACTGAAAGAGTAATTTTGAAATTCAGTGTACTTCGTCTTCCAAATACAATGGTTACAGTAAAATTCCATTAGATTAACTGATACATGTCACAAGGGGTTTTTGATTATCAGATTTTTATATATAAAATCAAATGTAATTATTGGGTTATCTGATTAATTGTCTGATTTTTACTGACCATGTAAATGTACCCACTGATGGTGTAACAGAGAGCGGTATGAGCTTTACAAGTCCTGCTGCTCACTGTCTCCACTGAGGTTAATTTTACAATACAATTACTAGACCCTGCCACAAAACACAATGGCAGACCTTATAACAAGACTTGTACTCCTTAGTCTTAAATGGTTTATGCCACTACTATAGACTTGATTTACTGAGTTGTCTAAAATTGTTGATGACTTTGTTGATGAGTTTCTTGTAAATGTAATTTGCACACAGTACTTATTTTGAAACAAAACTCTACTGCTGTTGCCAGTATCAGTTGTAGTAAACAATATTGCAATGTGTAATCAGTCTGGCTTGCATTTTCTATCCCTTGTATTTTGCACACGCCAGTAAAATGTATCCTTCCAGTATATTTATTAGACAAAGGTGTAAATGTTATGGCACACACATTTTTGTCTGTACAGCTGTAATGTAATGTATTCTGGTGGTACGCTGGCTACTTTTAATGACCTAGTCCATTTCTGATTTGTTCATATCATGCAACTTCATTTTTTCTGTATTTTGACATATTAAGATTTTATTTATGAAAGATACAAGGAACAGGGTTGGAGAGATGGGAATTACAATTAAAATCTCCACTACCTACAAAGGCACCCAGTCTGTAATGTATTTGAGATTAGTATTCCCATTCACACATGCAGCAGGGTCAAATAAAGCATAGGCTAGAATACTAAAACCAAGAGCTAAAATTAAGTACTGCTTTCAGAGTCCTTTATTTACCTATGCAGGCCGGTTGCTGTCCACTCCAGATGCCATCAGCCTGACACACTCTTGACACAGAGCCAACCAGCAGGTAGGGGGCATGGCAGTAGAACCTCACCTCTGACCTGAGAGAGCAAAACAATAACATCATTAGGGATTACAAAGTGAACATTTGGATGCACTTGCCCACATCTCCTGAGTCCTAGTTGGCAGAAATCACATACTCACCTGTAGGAGAAGACGTTTCCGTCCCTGGACCCACCGCCCGGAGAGCCAGGGTCACCACAGAGGACAGCTGCCAGAGTGGACAACAAGGTTAGGACGCAATACCGAAACACAAAGTTAGTAAAAGAACTTCAACATTAAATTAGGTATTGTTTCACTTTGTTTTACTAGTATTAGTTGGTCTCAGGTTTTAAATCATCATTGTGTCATTGCAAGTCATTGCAAACAGAAGGAAATATTTAGTTCTCATTATTAAAAAAATAAATAAATAAATAAAAAATTACTTCAGTATTGATTTAAGTTATTAGTATATAACTGTGTTGAATGTATGAAATGCTGAGTTTCAAGTATCAAATCTTTTACAAAGAAATGCAATATAAATACATCAATATTGCCAGGGTTTGAACATTTTTTTTGTTCCTGAGAAAATGCAATAGTGGTTCTATTGTATACGGGTAGAAGATTGGTATCAGTTAATAAGCAGCTCCAGCAGTAGACTTACGCAGACACTGGGGTACATCTCCAGTCCACGTCCCATTCCCCTCACATGCCAGCACAGCGGGAGAGGACAGCTGGTAGCCATGGAAACAGCTGTAGCTGACGCTTGAGCCCCACGAGTAGTCACTTCCCTCAACTTTCCCATGGAGGACTTGAGGCGGAGGTCCACAGTGGATGACTACAATAAACACACACAAACATGACACATCGCCCACTGATTTTAAATCGCATGAAACAGGACACATCGAACAGAGCCAAAGCAGCTGCAGCTTCACAGCAGGAGGAGCTCTTCACATTTTGGCACTGGTTTTACTATTTTATTTGCACTGGAAAGCGAAATGTGTGCACAAAGTTTACACACGCTCTTTGCCAGGTGGTTGTCTTTAGACTATTCAAATACAGCTGCAGTCATGCATTTAGTATGAGTGACGACCATATGAAGACGCATGCTTCAGTGGTTGAATAAATTTACATAGCTTTGACAATCACACACTACTTTGCTCTGAAATTGATCTCATTTTTAAATGATTTTATCATTTTGTATGTGCCATCTAATTCATGCTCAGTGGGTTACACTGAACTTGGGTCAATCTCAGCATGTGTCTTGTAAAAATTAAGCCCCCCTGAAGGCGTAATACAGACTTGCTAACATATGGGCGCAAAGAACACAAACTGTCAGCATCAGACATATGTTTTAACTTACTGTTTCAAACAGCTCTGTTAGTAAGGACATGATCATTCTCCAAATTGTAAATTTACAATATAATGTCAACAATAACAATAACCAAAAACAAAAGTTATTTTAAGAAAAAACACCATTATGTAAAGCATGAACTGGTATTGCCTTTGTGATTAGGACTCTGTGTATAATTTGTCCATTTAATGCTGATCCAGACAAATGGAAAAATGGATTTGATGAAGAATTGCTTTCTCTTGTACAAGTTCTTTGTATGAGTTGAACTACCACTTGTACAATGTTAATGATTCGCAGAAAACCAGTGCTACTTGAAAACCTGATTTTATAACAACAGCCTACTTCACTAAATTACACCAAATGCTGCTAACAAACAAAGCAATTACAGCTATATTGGATGGAAAAACGTAACACAAAATGACATGCACATATGCATAAGTCCATCCACCTTCCCAGACTCCATACATCTGTGGACAAAGACTACACATCACTTAACATTGTGTGACCAGAGACATGTGTGCTTATAGCTTCATAGGCCTGTGATAAACATCTGTGTGTACGAGTGGCTCTGACTCCCCAAGATAATGATAACCATCTGCACGGTTTCAACCATTTAATAAAGTCAGTGTAATACCCATCTAATCAGGAGACAGATGCTTTCACGCTCTATTCGCTCAGCTATGAACACACACACACAGGTAAATGCACACACACACAGAAGCAATGGAGATGTGATAGGCAGAATTACCAGACCAATACATCACAGAAATAACCAGAAAATGGTAGGAAAGTATAGAAAAACTTCTTCCAATCAAGTTTAAAATTAGATGGTGCACTCGACTTCTCTACATATAGTTTAAAAATACATTAGGTTAAGTACATGTAGACTTTCAAATCAATAGTTTGCTAACAGATAATTGGTATTCAGAGAACAAATACTTTGAGCGTTTGCTCCAAAACCTTTCAGCATTATAAAAACAACCAAAGTACTGTGGTTTCAGTCCTTTGTGCTCAAAAAACACTTGTGCCCATACACAATAGAAGATTTGTATTTATGGCTTGATATAAATACACTTTAATAGACCTGTACTTTCCATTCACAAAATTCTTTTCAACACTCCTCTCAATAAGTGCCACATATATAACCTGGATTTGAATTGTTATGCTCCCATAACTGTAACCCTTAGTAGGAATAAGTGCAATAGAAGTGTTATATGTATCCTGTAATTATGGTTTCTTTGGGCTACCTTTGTTTCTTCAGTTTAGCCTCCAACACATCGTATAGTTTTAATTCCTTTCCTCAGCTGTGTGTTTACAGGTTTAGGGGCAGGTATTGATTTGTCTCTTATTGTTTCTCTCATCACCCTCACCCACTCACCACCTCTCTCTCTCTTTCTCTCTCCCCCCCTCTGTCTCTCTCTCTCTCTCCTTGAAGGGCCTTCTAATGCCTTGTCACATTACCCTTTCTTCCTTCTTTTTCACAGTCATCCACATCGAGTCCTCCCCTCTTTCCTCCCACCAAGAGCCTAATCTCAGGATTATTTGTGTTTTGTGTCCTTTTATGCCTTTCCTTACTTTAGTGATTCAATACACAATCTTCACCACTTTTAATTAGTTTTCTGTTCTCTTGTTTCCTCCTTTTTAGTGCAAAATGTTTTTGGATTCTTGAGAATTTGTTTATTTGTTTATATGATATTGTGTTTATATGACACTGTCATACTACAACGGTGTGGCAATATTTCTGTGAGAAGAGATCTTTTAAGTGTGCCTGCAACAAGCTATGTTTTCAGTGTTTTAACATAGCAGTTTGATTAGAATTGTTAAATAAGACTTAGCTACCAGTGGATTATACAGATTAATAGATTATACTCGGTCATATATTTACTGCGTATCAAAGAATATTCCAGAATTACACATAACAGTGCCTTCCCATACATTCTATCTTTCAGTTCACAAGTTTATTACTAAACAGGGAGCATATACTAGTAGTTCTCTAAAGATTTGTATTTTATGGGTCTATCTACAGCACTGCTCCCTTTCTTTTGCTTTTACTGGACTCATTTGAGCCATCAAACTTTTTTTTTTTTTTTTTTAATGTTTTGTTCCAAACGTAATTAAAATGCCTTGTGGCTTGATTGAAGTTAAGTAACAAAGGAGAGTAAAATACTGGCAAGTGGAATAGAGAAACACTGATCAGAGGGAACAGCTGAAAGATGCCAAGAATTAAACAACTTAAAGACTTCCTGTTTTCATTTCCTTCATTTCTATCACCTACAGGATCTTCTTCCACTTGCCTCCCTGTGCCCCAGCGCTCAGGCTCAATAGCCTTTGCTTTCTCTTTTTTTTCATGTCAGTTCAAAGCTTGTGCAGCCACAGAAGCCAGCAGGAGCTTTTCTGTTTGTGGGAAGAACGGCAGGGTGGATCTCAGGAAACATTCCAACCTTTTGCTATTGTGGACTATCATAGCTGAAACGATACAGGCTTTCATAAAATGCATTTTACTTTATTGTATTCTATTATTTTTGTATTCAATATTATTATTATTATGGAAAAATAACTGTAATCTAGCATTTTGTTATGGCAAGGTACATTGTTAATTTATCTGTTAAAGTTACAAGCTATTTTCACAAGGCTACAGAGAATGTTTTTGTAACTATTGTTTATTTATGTGGGTAGCTGCCGCACTGTCAAAAGTTTCTTCTAATTAGTATTTTAAAGGCTTTATGTGATATTTGTCTCAGAGTACAAAACATTTCGGTGTAATTATAATGTAAAGGGATGCCCTTAAGTTTGATCAAGGAAAACAAAAGGGTTTAATGACTCCTCAGTTTCTTTGCATTTTGGACAGACTCCGTCTGATGTGGTCAGAAATAATATCAGGTATATATAATGCCCCCTGTGTACATAGGAAATACATTGTCAGCACTGCAAACAAAAAATTATATTCACATGACATTTTAGAGCAAAACCAACAGATTGGTTCACAAAAAAATTAAATGGATGAGAGTTTTTGTTTTCCAAACAAAACAAACAATATCACTCTCAACTATAAAAAGTTTAAAAATAACCTGCTCCAGTCTCTTGTGCCCAAAATCCACTTGTGTCTGCAATCAAAGCTTTGTGGGCACTAGTGTATTTATATTGTATTTGTGGCTCAGAGTAAAAAGAACTTGACTGATTGGATGCTTTATGCTGCACCTTCACAAAAAACAAAAAAAACCCAAAACTATAATAATTTTGCACCTGTATTTGTGGCAATACCTGCCTATCAGTGTCCGATCTTGGTGTGTTTGTATTTTAATGGAAATCTGCCATAGTCAGGCAACAGTGGTAATAGTGGAAACTGTTGCTGTGTCCTGTGTCCAGTGTGATCACCCACATTGCCTAGTGTGAAAGTGATGGGTGCGTTAGTGTTGGTGGTCGGAAAGGAAGATGGTGCAGACTGGCAGCCTCGTCTCAGTTATTCTACCGCAGGGCAGCTGTGGCTACAATAGCAGCAGCAGTAGTAGTGAATGAATCATGCAATGTAAAGTGTAGTATCCAAAAAAAGCACTATATAAATCAAATGTATTATTATTATTGCTTTAATCCTAATTCTCCATATTTTTTTCTCATGCTGCGTAGTCCTAGCCTTATGCAGCAACATGCTTTTTCCCAACCTGTGGGGATGATTACTTGGATGTCCTTCACCATAGAGACTCAAGGCAAAACAGACTAAGACTAGTTTCCTCTGTTTTGTATTTGCATTGGACAAAGTAAGATGACCCCAGCAGAGATATAAATATATGTGTGATTAAAGATGTATACATAAGTAGAGCAGCATACATTGTACCCCCCTGGTGCTTGTTGGCTGTTTGTTCTTACCTTTACAGCTTGGCTTGGTCTGGTTCCAGGTCCCATCTTTAGTGCAGTGTAATATATTGCGCCCGAGTCCCTGAGGTTCCATCAAGTGTCCAGGGTTACAGCGATACGTGACTGAGTGGTTGAAGGTAAAATCACTTCCTAAATAAACTCCATTGGCAATAGGTCCAGGGTCTCCACAACTGATGACTGTAGAATAGAAACAAGCACATTGATTATGTACAAAATCGTGTACTTTATTTCAAGGTTGGCAGTAAGACTCCTTGTCAAATGTGGATTATAGTAGGGGTGAACTTAGCACACAAGATTTAATGAAAGCTGATGTTTTTAGCCATTCCTGCCTGGCCCGTGAACCTCCTCCTTAACCTTCACACACTGTCTCCTCAAACTTCCCTAGAGCAATTTCGCACAGAATATAAAGAGCTTTATCAACCTCCTACGATCTTTCTCCAAAAACACAGTCTGTTTCTGGGCTGAAGCTGAAATGCCTTTCAGAATACCTGCACTGGAGCATACCAATCTGTCGATTCACTATTTATGTTTACTCTTCCTCAACCCTCTTGTTATGTACCAACAGCAGTGTGCCTTGGAAATACTGATGGAGAATGAGACTAGAGGAGGCTAACTGGTTTATTTACTGTAATTACCTTCCTCACAATTTCAAACCATAAACAAATTAGAAGTCCATCCCAATAAGACAAACATACTGGCTTAAATGAGGTTCAACCTAATCACGTGCTTGACTGTTGTATTCCTAATGTTATTCTTATAGCCATAACAACACCACAACAAACAGCATTTCTCTGTGTATTCTGACAGAATCATCAATAGCTTGCAGCTTGTGGGTAATCCCCACAAACCACTGATTCACTGCAGTTCTTTCTAGGTCCGCTTTTAACCAAGAATGACAGAAAACAACTGTAGCATTAGAAATGATCAACTTCTTAAACAAAATGTAGTGTTTCAGCAGTGAAAACACCTGTAATTCCCTACATATGCAAGATATAAATATGTTAGCAGACCCAGACCTAATTGCCCTGCAGATAACACATTAACTCATCTTTTCTCTTTCTTTGACTTACATGTGCGTTTATAATTTTATGCCTGATCAGCGTATGTCAAGACAAATGATCCTACCTGTGCAGTCTGGAGGCTGCCCTGTCCAGGTGCCATTAGTTGTGCAGTGTCTGGTGGTTAGGCCAGATGTTTTAAAGCCATCCCAGCATGCGTATGCGACAGAGCTGCCAAAGGTGATGCCATCGCTAAAGATGATTCTGCCATGTGCCGGGGTGCCAGGATTGCCACAGGAAACAGCTAAAATGTGACAAAAATGTTTAACAGTGGTGATTAATCAGAGAATCCTACAAGCAATGCTGTCAGGGCTGTCACTCGGGCTGATCAGCTGGATGTTGAATAAAGAGATCATCGTTTGACTCTTGCAGCAAATACCATTCAATATATTCTGGAGGCACTACTTCTGATTAATGACCCAAACTTTTTGGAAAGGTGCCCAGACTGATTGGCAGATGTACTACAAGATTTCAAATGCGCGATAAAGGTTGTCATACATCCATAGAACCCAGCCGCACTACCAAAGAATGATTGAACAATGCTTGGAGCCTTTGGCCTATACGCGAAGAGAAGCTGCATTCTGCTTTTAGTTATATTAAAAACACACACATGACAAAAAGTTTGTGCTGTAGAAGAGCACTGTATAAAATAATGGATATTAAAATGATGAAGTATATTCTCACAAACTGAGGATCCATATCAAGTACAAGTGATGTTTTGTTTTTTTGCCCAAGTGTTTCATTTGAGTAAAATGAAGGCTTCAGGTTGGCACAACAAACCATCAATTATGAGTCATCATAGATTTCCCATGATGCCTCCCTATCAGATGCTACATTCTCTTTTAGAGTTTGGGACTGGCCCAAAAGTTAATAACATCTTCAGCACACATTTACAAAAAAAATGTAGTTGTTTTTTCTGTCTTGAACAAAATGGTGATTTATGGTCGGAAGAACGTCTTAACTTTCTATTAATACACACAGACAAAATGCATGTATAATTGGCTGGATTTAAGATGTCTTTAACTTTAATAAATAATGACAAAGGGTATTCCCCTGATCTTGTTGGGAAAGTAAATTCAAAGTAAAACAGACAAAATTAGCAGGACAAGACACCTATGGTCAGCTGGGAACACAGAGACGTGCCTGGTCCAAACTAGTGAGCTATTGATCTCCAGTTTGCTGGCACAGCACATTAACAGAGCAGACAGGAATTAGCAACCAGCCAAAGCACATTTCACTAATAAGTTCATGACAGCTGACAGCCTCAGACAATCAGACACCTATTGATGGGGCTCATTAGTTAGAGCCTTTAAAAGCTCTACTTGGGCCAAGCTTGCGGAGTGTGTGTAAGATTTCTGCTTTGTTTTGTTTGTGTGTAAGTGTTGCAGTGCACGTGTCTGGAGGTTTTTGGAGCATGTCTCAGTGATATATGACGCATCCTTTCTGAATCAGCTTTTAACCAGTATTAGCTTAATGAAAAACAAGGCCACGCAGACATAAATAATCATGGCTGCCCAAAAAACACAGACAGAAGTGTGCGTGTATAGATTTTCACGTCAGTGGCAGCGCACAGGAAACTGGGATTCACATAATGTTCATCAGCAAAATATTTGGTAATGACGTTGCAGTTTGTGCATTGTATTCAAACTGGAAGTCTCTCTCACCTGATTACCTCCCTTTTATCCTCTCAGCTCTTCTCCACCACCAGGGTCTGTATTCTGGCATAAAATGTATCTTCAAAAATCTTATATTCTACTCCCCTTGTACAATACATGGGTCTAAGTGCCAAAGGTACAAAAAACTATTTAATCTAATGCATGTGTCAGTTTGTACTGCTGGAACAGTCCTGATAGCTGTCATGACAGAAAATGGATGTATAGGTTTGTATTAACATTCAGACACATTTTTAAAACCAGTTTCAAATGTAATAAATACAGTGGGTTATTTTATTGCATAAAGGGATAAAAATTATGAACTAAATTCTTGACATTTTAATTTAAAACTTTCAAATTCTGTTCTCCCTGATAGAAAGGACTTACATGAATAACTGCTACAGACTTTAATACATTCATATATTTAACAGTGCACTGGAGAACAGCTATGAGCACAGAGGGTGTTAGGAAAGTGCTACTTTTATGTGGTACAAGGGTGGTACAATTATTACAATATTCTGGATAGGGATGCATTGATACAATACTGGTACTGGATATCAGTGTCGATATAGATTATTCTGATGGATCTGGAATCGGGTTCTAAGATATTGAGGTATCCAAGATACATCTCCTATTATTAAACCTGTATTTTTTTCAAAGCTGCTCTATACTAGTAATACTTTAAATGATAAATAACAGAATAACAAAATATATTTGAACTTTTTTTTTATCATACATTGTTTGTGTTTAATGAAAATAGATTCAGTCTCTGCCCTAGTATTGATTCATATCGGGTATTGCCAGATACTTAAAGTTAAAGTATTAACATCAGTATCAGAACAGAAAAATCTGGATCATGCATCTCTAATTCTGGACACAACAAAAATTGTTAGAAATTTAGGTTCCTTTGTAAATGTATTGCCTGATTTGTTCCCTTGACAAACCACCTAAAAATCTATTCGGCTATAGCATAATCATTATCATCACCATTAGAGAACTTCCTATAATTACGAGACGTTCTGCTACGAGAGCACAAACTCTAAGAGAGACAAAATACAATTTAGTTAATTACATTTAATTGTTAAAAAGTAAAGTCTCTTTAAAAGTTTCTTTAAAGTCCTGAAGTGAGAACTTTAAAGGTGCACCATGCAACTTTTCGGGCGGAGGGCCCAATACCTGCTCGTCTCAAGGAATATTCTTTGCCTGGACTGGTTCACAGTATGTCATTAAACGTATCTATCATCATGGTGATAAGCAGGACCAATTACAGGTCAAAACTGTGGAGAGGTAACCTCACTCACAGTAAAAATTGATTTTTTACAATGTATTTTTCTTCTATTGAATATAAATTTTAGGCAATAACATCTCCATAGAGAGTTTTTATTTTGCTAGTATGTACGTAAATGAAGACATGAACATAAATAGTAATACAATCACAGACAAATCAGGTGCCTTCGTTCCCCCGAGGGCACTCCCACTAGAACTAGCAACAGGTGTGATTGACAGTGTTGCTATGCTAAACCAGTAGTGTGGGTGGGAAGGGGCATTATCTTCAACAGCCTCACTCTGCATCAACTCTTTGGTTGCTATGATACTTGTGGCTGAATAGGCTCTATTCACGCTTACATCACCAACCAGGAAGATGTTTAGAAACATGTGATGACAACTTCCGGCAGACTCTGTTCGCAGTAGTAAGTCTGGCAAAATCTAGGAAAAATGAGAAAATGGTCCAGTTTTCTTCATCTACATGTAATCGTAGTGTTCTGTTAAGTTCAGCTAATCAACATTTACAACCATACCTCAGTTTTCATTATTTCCCCACTCCAACCAACCAACTCCAAGCGCACTGGGTACATGAGATTGGAAGAGATGAGGGTGCCAAATTCAAGATTATTCCAAACGGCACATACGTACTGTATGCAGTATCAAAACATATGTATCAACCCTTATCAACACGTATCAACACAACACATATCAAACATGGAACTCAGCTTCAAATTTGCCCTTATAACTGCTAGCCTCGATGGCACACCCATCCCATGCAACCGCCCCAGCACACTATTGTCCCCTCCCGACAGCTGCCCAGACCCAGAGATCCTCATCAGAAAAATTACACAGTTAAATTTTTTGCTTGTCTTATTGTTCTCCATAACTACTACAAATTCCGTTTGCCTATGCCAAACTTTGCTTGTCCCCACTCCCGTAGGCGTCCACTTCTAGGTGGCACTGTTGAGTCGGGTCAGTGCGGGCATGGTCATGATGGCAATTTTATCAGATTTTTCGCTGGCCGGTCAATCCCATACCAGGTTTGGGGACTTGTTCGGGGGGTGAAAAATGCAATTTCCTACTCCTGTTACTGGATTGGGCCAAAGAAGATTTGATATTACATCAACATATAGGAGACACTACCGTCACTGAGGCTGTATATAATAAATAGTGACATTGAGGGAAGACAGCTAGTAGGCAGAACTGAAAATATTGGGGTCGCCTTTGTTCATGATGACAATAAATAGTATGAATGAAGAGACAAGGAGCACAGTGAAAGAGGTCTTGAAAAACTATTAAGAATAGTAAATTATCAGTACAAGGATGCTGAAGTGAGATAGACAACACAAAATCTATAGGAAGACTAAGATAATATTTATAGATGTGGTGAAAGTAGACATAAAGTCTGCAGCTGCGGGTGAAAACAGTGTAGAGAATTTGCTTTGCTGTGACAGTCCTTGAAAACAAAAGCCAAAATAAGAAAATAAAAACATTATTGACTATACAAATCATGCATGACTTTTTCTCATAATACATATACTAGAACAGAGTGAAATGTCAAATCTGCTGCACCAGTAATTCACATTCACCCTCCAAACCCCACTGAACTTGTTGTGATTTCCTACCTTGACACACTGGTTGCGTCCCACTCCAGGTGCCATTGTGAAGACAGGTTCTCTCCGCAGAGCCAATCAGATTAAACCCGGCCTCGCAGCTAAAACGCAGCAGGCTCTTGGTTTTAAACTCTTCCCCTCCGAGTCGGGCCCCGTGTGGAGGCATCCCAGGGTCTCCACAAATACCTGGACTCACACCTATACAGATGAAAAGACATAAAGCTAATGTACCAAATACAAGTCACACTGAAGCAGCACTGGACCCCTACTAAGACAGTAAATGATGAAACTCTCCTAAGGGGCACAGTGTCAAAAATAGTTATATCGATTCAAGCTCAAATTTAGTGACCACATCAGTTTTAAAAGCATATTTCCTACAGTATAATAGAAGCTATTTTTAGCCAGCTGTATTTAGGGTTTACAGTGATACACATACATGATCCACTTTGTATGGCTGTATTCTGCATTTAGGCAACTCCAAATTGTTCTAGCATTAAGAGCACAGAGCGTGTCACCATTTCAGCAGCTTAAATTCCATGGGTGGGGGATTTGTGAGTTTAACAGGGTACAGCTAAGAACACAGTGCCTTGCATCTCAATGAGGACCTCAGCTCCAGACAGGAGTTGGGCCTGCTGTGTGTTCTGTTCAGAGACCAAAAGAGGAACTTAATGCTGTATTACATTGTTTGATTCACACACTAGATTGGAGTAGAGCAACAAACCAATCTATGAAGAAAAGTCTTTGAGATTTATCATCACAGGATGAAAACAAGACTTTAGGGAAGCATGCAGTTGTAGTTGGTAGCAAAAACAAACAAAAACAGTATCCTCCATATTCAAGTTAATTTAATAAAGCATACTCCTAAAAGACTATTTTTTACTATGTTAAAAATATGTTCACCTGTACAGTATGGTGGTGCTCCACTCCATGTGCCATCCTCCTGACAGTGTCGAGTGGTGTTGCCGACTAGCACCCCTCCTGGCAAACAGGAGTAGCGCAGCACTGTGCCATACGTCCAGCTGTGGGTCCCAGACACTACTGCATTAGGCGGGACACCAGGGTCACCACAGGAAATGGCTGTGTGGGGAGTGATAGATCAGAGAGGCAGACTGGTGTTAGTGAGAGTGGGACCCAATCCAGTTATAGATTGCAGATAGCACTGCATTAAGGCCTGCAGCTGGGTCACCGCAGGAGACAGTAACAGGAGGGACTGACAGCAGAGAGGCTGCTCGCTGCATCAGCATAGAGGAAGTGCTGGGGATGTTTTGTAATTTTGGCTAACAATATACAGCATGTACTTGCTATTGTTCATAGAAAAAAACTCTCTTAGGTTTGATTTTTAAATTTTTTAAAACAAATTACTTAAGTTGTTTGTTTTCACAATCACAACCTTTTTAGAATGACTCTTTGAAGCTATAGACACATATACATGCGAATGTTTCCACCCTATTCACCTCAATTTTCCAGTAAATCTGTGTTGAATGGAATATGCATATTAAGATTCTGTCTGATTCTGGAGCACTATCTGCACATCTTCCATTATATCTGCTTTATCTATCTATATCTCTGTGATGCTCTATCCTGTCCTGTTTGTCTGGGGATTTATTTTCTCTTTTTTGAATCAGCCTTCCATTTACTATCGCTTCCTGGTTTAATCTGTATGTTTCTATCAGCCATGGTCGCCTGGTGACAAGAACAGCTATTGCTTCTGAGACACAAGCTCCCTTCCTTGAATTTCCTTTATGCTTTCACACACAAATACACGCACACACATCTAGAGCTATATGGTTCATTCATTATAGGTTGGACTCCCTTTCATGATTATAGCCCTATTTTCTCTCTTAAACTCAACCACTTTTTCAGTTATGTCTCCTGAAGCCATTACATGTCTTTTCCACCTTTTTTGATATATTGAAAGTTCTGTAAACAGATAGTTGGATTTTGATTATATTTTGTAAAATGAACAGTTTCTCAAACATTATTGTTGCTGTAGGTGTAAGCATACCAAGGCAGCGTGGGACTGGTCGGTCCCATCGTCCATCATGTTGGCAGGTGAGCAGAGCCGAGCCCAGCAGGTAAAAGCCTCTCTTACAGTGAAAGGCCACAGTTATTCCGTAGCTGAAGACCTCAGGGTAACGCAGGCCCGAGTGACGCACACCGTTCTCCACATGCCCCGGGTCAGAACAGTTTACCACTGCACAGACAGGCACAACACACAAGTCAGAGTCCGACAAATATCTACATGACAGAATACAAGGCAAAAGATAAGCAGCCTAAATGATCAGGAGCAGAGAAGGTGACATTCACAAGAATTGTTACGTTGTTCTATGCTCTTTAAGTTCTGAAGAAATCAGATATTTGTTTATAAATAGTATTTCATTTATTAGAAACACTATTATAGTAAAAGGTCAAACCTACAGTATAGAGACGGTTGCAGACTTAGCCCTTATCCTCATTGTGGCTACAATTCACCTGTTACTTTATCAGATCCTATTTCTGGATGTAACATTCTTTTCAACTTCTCCAGATGCCCCCTTTTATCTTGTTATTGTTCTCCTCTTTCCTCTGGCCCTCCTATTCTGTTCTGGTCTTTGGGTAGATGCCAGAGAGCAATTTTACTTTCCACATGTCACTGGGGAGACTGACATTCGCTCAAATTTAAGTCCGTGGGGGACAAGGCTTTGTGCATGAGGAGGTGTGTGCGTGTGTGTGCATGTGTGGGTGTCTTTGTCTTGGCTAGAACCCTGTGGGAACAAAGAAAGTTTCTGTCTCATAATTGACAGCGGCTGCTGGGAAGGAGAGAGACAAAATAAGTGAAAGTAGAGTGAATGAAGGGCAGAGCTATGTGAAAGCAGTTCACTAGCAAAAGCCATGTGACCATTGCATCGATCTACAACCGACAGTGAAGAATGCCTGTGTGTTTTTGTACTATTGCTACTGCGTCAGAGTTACTCAGTTAGGTTAGATTAGTGTGTAATTACTGTATCGAAGGTTCCATGGCTCTTGGTTATTGGCAGAATAAGTACAAATAGTGAAAAACAATCTGAAAGAAGTCTTAAATGTCAAAATCTTCCTTTCAGCTTTACTCATTACCTCCCCTGGTAACAGTCTACTTCATCTTTTAAACATTCATTAGTGGATGCTAAAACAACAGTTATTTACTAAAACAATGGTTTGACCTCTAGATCAAAGGTACACGCACTATCTGAGTAAAATGTGTGTAGTGACCTTTACAGACAGGCAGGGGGCTGCTCCACTGGCCATTGAGGCGGCACTGGGCCCGCGCACTTCCACTGAGGACATAACCTTTGCTGCAGGTGAAGTTGACCACATCATTCAGGTTGAACTCACTGCCATTGGTCCGGCCATTGGCAGGGTTTCCAGGGTGACCACAAGTAATTGCTGTGGGAGTAGAGAGTGAGGAAAAATTTTGATGAGAAAGTGAAGGTAGGGAAAAGTAATATGTGCAACAACCTGACATTTCACCTTTTTGAATTTTTTTTTTACTGAAACTGAGAGTCAGAAGTTGTAACTAAAAGTTCTACTTACGAACACACACAGGTGTTGTTCCAGACCACCGATGGTCCTGTTGGCAAATTCTGACAGATGTGCCAATGAGTCGATAACCTAGCATGCACTGGTACACCACAGTGTCACGGTAACTAGAGCCATCTCCACTAATGTGGCCATTCACAATGGGATCTGGAGAGTCGCAGTGACCAGCTAAAGACACAAACAGATGGAAAAATCAAAGCCAAGGTCTATCTATTAAAACAGTTAATTATTAAGTGTTTTTAGTGAATGAATAATTTCTAAACAATAGGCACTGCCGTACAGTTATGCTTACTACAGTACATTTACACAAAGCATAAAAGTGAGGCAAATCCACAGTGCAATACTTGTATAAAATATTCAAGGAGCAAGTTTTAATACACTTTAATCAAGAAGATAAGTATACTGCCATGATGTATGCATGTTTCCTTTCTGGGCAAAAAAAAAAAAACATGTACAGTACTCTTCAGTCTACTAATCAGTCCGGTGGAAATTCCACTTTTCTGAACTCCGGCTTGTGCCTGATTTCTAATTTTAACAGTTCAAAGAAGTGAATCAACATAATGTGAAAAACTGAAAGGAACAGATGAATGAAAATAATTGTGCACAATTTTATTCCCAGTAGGAGGGTGATACAGTTCATGTTTTTTTTAAGTAAGACATGTCACCAGAGAGATCTGTACAGATGCTAGAATGGTGTATGCAAATCCTACATAGTTTCTAAACATTGTTGATGAATAGATTTCATTATTACATACATATTAAATAAATCTGCATAAAATGTCTACTCTGTTTGCCATTGTCTAATTTTGCTGAGATGTATTATCATAGTCAATATAACGGGGAGAGCACAAGATAAAACCTGGTCCACACAGAATGGCTGTACCTAAACATCTGGTCTCTGTTCCACTCCAGAGGCCGTTTGCCCCACACTCCCGGACATGAGACCCCACCAGAGTGTATCCGTGGTTACACATGAAGATAGCAGTCGCTCCAAATGTGGTCAGTGTCCCCAGTTTGGTGCCAAAGGGAGGAGAAGGAAGATCACCACAAGAGATGACTATAAGATAAAATGAAAGTAATTAGACCATTGTTTGAGTGTCAAGATTTTGGACAAAAGTGCTGTAAATTATTAAGTCTTCTAACTGTTAGAAATGGTTAACATCATCACAACCGCATGGTAATGTAAGCCAAACTCAAACACGAGATAATGAGAAGACATTGTTCTAATATTAGGCTGAATTAATTTGAATCATTTTGTAGATCTTTCAAGTGTACACAATTCATTCTTTCAGTGACAAAGACTATTTTAACTAATTGGAAAGTTTTCAAAGACAAACTGTTCCTTTTGTAAGGAAGCAAATAATAAGACAGACAAATCTAAATGTTAAGCCAAAAATCCACATAAACCAGGCAATTATGGGCTGCATTCAGAATGAGTCAGATTAATATAGTATTAGTTTTGAAGATCTAACAATGATAAAGCATTTACAAGCTTATTGGAAGGAAGGAGGAAGAAGAATCACAGACTGTTACTATATCAAAGGATATGACATGGAGAGTGTAATGCCAGTGAACTGTGTGTGCATTTCTGTGCATTTCTGTTTTTTGGATATATGCAGTGGTCATTTTTCGAAAATTTTCCAATATTATGCACTGGCTAAAATTGGGAAAATAAATATATGGAACTACAATTTGGACATGTACTGTTATGTACTGTATAAAGCACTGTATAATTGACATATATTTACTCTTGCATGTTGCCGGGTCGTCTGAGCCCTCCCATGTCCCATTGGCCAGACAGCGAAGAGTCCGATGCCCAATGCCCAAATAATGACCTGATGCACATTCTAGCATCACCACAGAACCAAACTCTCCCAGTCGACCAATCAACAGGCGGTAAGTCATGTGCTCTGTCAGGATCCCTTCAACACTAGGGCAATGGACAGCTTTGAAATAAAACATATTTTATATTATTACTAATAATTGTAAGCAAATCTCAATAAAAAATAAAAAAAACATGCACAGACAGTACAACAAAAAATACCTGTAATACAACCAATACAAATAATTAAAATTAATAAAAAACAGAGAACATATGAATATGTTTTAATTATCATTGTTTACAAAAAAACAAACAAAAAACACCACTTACGTAGGCATCTAGGGGGTGATGCTACATTGCTCCAGGTGCTGTCCTCTAAACACACTGTGGTCATAGGAACATCAGGATCCAAATGAAAACCATTGTTGCAGAAGTATGTCACCTGACTGCCCACTGTGTACTGGTACGCATGGAAGCTGCCATTGCCCAGGGACTGAGGGATTCCACACGAGATTGCTGCAAATCACAAAGACATTGTTATGTTGAACATTTTAAAAGAAATTGTTAAAAACCAAAACATAAACAATATTAAAGTGTAAGCAGTAACACAAAGTTAAACAAGAGGAGACAATAAATATTTACCCTGACAAATAGGTGTTGGTGTGTCCCATTGGTAGAGGCCGTTTTGGTGAAGCCTACATGTTGCATTGGTTGCTCCAACCAGACGGTATCCGCGATTACAAAAGAACAGCAGTCTGCTGCCAGGACGAAGGGACGTTCTGTTGACCACTCCCCCATTGATTGGTGGGTCATTGATGCTGCAATAGGCAGCTGAAAGTACAGTACAGAAATATTGACTTATTTTCATTCTCTAAAGTGAACTGTTCATTTTGTGTCAGCAAAATACTAATATAATTAAAAATATTGCTGAAAAAGCAATACAAATACTAAACTAGTTACTAGTCTTAAATGTGAAACACCAGAGGGACTGGGACACAGCCACATAGAGCCACACAGAGCCCTTTCCGCTGTTGGTTACAGCGACTAGACCATGAAAAATGATCTTTAAACTCGGCCAGACTCAGCACTGAGCCACTTGGCTCTCCCTCGAGCATTGTGCTCCACCTGGACCTGGCACACCTCTCTTTTGGCTTTAAGTGGTGGATTGACATTCTTTCCAAAAAACACACTAAAATGATCTTACAACCTTTGCAAAAACAAAGTTTTAGACAAAACACTGTGCCAAATATTTAGAAAACAGTAGTCACTTTTAGCATAATTCAGCAATTATATAATTTTGAATACCATAACTTTTTTAGAGATGGAAAAATTATTAATTAAAAGTAACTCTCCTGCGTTATGGGATTATAATACATAATACACATATAACTCATAGAACAAGACCTCATCAAGAAATACATGTACTACACTGTACATGTATGTGTGACACTGCAGAGTCAACACACTTTAAAGTGTTATCCCAGAGTGACCCACTGAAGATGTGAAAAATAGAGCAAGAACAACACCATGCATATGTTAACAATTTTATGGCAGGTTTGTGCTGATGTATATTGCAGTATGGTCCTGCACCTCTCTTGATGGAAAGAGATAGGGGAATCTCTGCAATAAATTTCAGTCCTCTGTATAGCTGTTGTTGTTAGTGCTATACTACACCATGGGGAAAAGACAATGCTATTACTTCAGACGCTAGCACTGATATAAAACTAAGCTAAAATACATAAGAGCAGAGAGCCTCCTGAAGATTGACCCTGGGACTCACTCCTCTGGGCCCTCACAGGATTACTGTCAGTGGAAATTCAGTTTGCCATGGCTGCTAGAGTGAGAACCTAGAAATAAGTCTACACAAGTTACACACAGCACCACTGAGATTCAGTTTATAGGCAACTAATAGTGAATAAACCCAGTTTGGCAAGAGCTCATACCTAATGAATCCAGTTCCCAATTAATTGTTAAACGAACAAACTACTGTGCTAATTTTATTCAAATCTTAATTTGCCTGATGTCTCAAAGAGAAGCGAAAACCAAAGTAAAGTACACAAATGAAAAGTGTTTAGGTGTTTAAATGAACTAAAATCATAAAACAGATAAACTGTCCATTTCAAGATTTACAGTTATTGGTTTATGAATGAACAATTACAGTACATTATTCTCTATATAGACTCTTGTGTAAGTTACCATCTTTATTGTGCTACTATGAAACAAAGAAACATTTTGCAGCTGCCTTTGTACCTGAGTATCGGATCTTGAAGCCTCTCTTATTGGTTGCATGGTCAGTGGACCATCGCAAATACAGCTGGTTTGTCTTTGATGTGAAGTTAAGCTGGGTGGAGTGGTTACCGCTCAGAGCTACTAGTAAAGGGCTTTGTCCCGAGGATCCTGGAAAAACAAATGAATGAGACACGACATTTGTCTGTACAGTAGACTGCAACATTGCACAGCATATATACTTAATACATTAAAGCAGCAGTTTGGTGACAGTAGGTCAAGTGGAGCAGTAAATGTTTCTAGACAGATGAAAAACCATGTGTGTATGCATGTATGTATTTAATATTTTCTATATAACCCTGTGGAACACTTTTTCACATTTAGCACAGCATGACTTGAAAAGACTAGAAGAATCAACATACCATCAAAAATCTCCAATTCATCAAACTGTTTCTCACTGTGGAACATCTCAACATAGATATTGATGGTGTAACCTAGACATGAAGAAAACAATGAATTAAAGGAACAGGAATAATAATATCACCCCAGTACTATATACTTGGTTAAAAAAATACCCCAATCTAAAAATGATCACCTCACAATCTTATTACTGTAAAACGGTAATTAACACATCCACACATGTTTGAGATCAACAGCGCACCTGGAACCATCCGCAGCAGCCACGAGCACGTCTGACTGTTGGGGTAGTTGCTAGGAAACCCTGGACTTAGTATGACTCCAGATGACAAAGAACGCTCCTCATTTGCTGGACACTGAGCTGAAAAAGTCAACAATAAATGAATATGTTAAAGTGTTACTATTGGTAAACTAGTATCCATGCCTAAGGATGATTTAAATGTTGTTAAAACTGTGATCTGTGAGTTCAAGTTTAAATTATATTACTCAGAATGTACTCTTGTGAGCTTTAAGCCATGGTAGAATGCTGTTATCTCGTCAAAAACATACCTTTTTGTTTCATTCACACATGTACGAGTAACCTTATATTATTAGTCTGTCTACATCTCCAAATATAAAATGCTCACAACACACAACTCTATGTACATTATAACATTGATCAGAAAATAGCTTTATATGGGTCCTTTAAATATACAAACTTCATTTAAGACCAACTGTAAGTGTTTCAAGTTTGAGTATGCTTTATTGTGGCTAAAAGGAATGCAGTAGCCTTAACATAGGTCTTAGCTTTTTAAGTGGCTTTACTAAGTTCGCTTTTTGCAGCCCTGTCTTATTTGTACATTGTTAAACTCATATTTGTTCATATATTCTAATAACCTGGCTAACATTTTGACAGAATGCAGTTTTAAAAAGGTTTAGCTCAAGTTGCCAGAAGGAACATTTTGATTGCACTAGCATTTATGTGTCTTTATCCAAGAATAATTTTAGGAAAGGTACAACTTTCAATCTAAACCTGTATTGTGTTATAAATATTGGAAGCCACAGAGACAACTTTCCAATACCGCTGAGTGAAAAGTAAAGTGATTCCTGAAAAATTGCTGGAAATGACATACTGCTTAAATGAAAACATCAGTGTGTAACAAATGATGCAGTCAAGAAGTAGTGAATTCTTACAACCTGACATCAAATATAGTCATTAGTGCCAAGATTTCGTCTCTGAATCTCAGCTGTCTAATCTAAAACCCATTTTTCTTTTGCTAACCATCATGAAGTGACTTTTATATCACAAAAAAATTCGCAAACACGGGCATGTGGTTATAAAAGTTATTAAATTAAAAAACATTAACTATGAAAAGGACAAAAATAAATACTGCACTGTACAGCTAAGACAAATAAAGTTTTAAATAATTATTCTGCTGTCAACAGAGATGTGTTTTATCATATTTGTTATTTTGTGTTAAGAGTTTAAATTGTCAGCTTTTCTTTTACCTCATACAAATAATACCTTTGTGATTCCCTAATTAAGAGTACAAACTGTTTCTTACCTTGACAAGTTGGTGGTGGAGATTCAAAAAGTAAATGGGAGTTGAGTTTACACATCAGCTCTGCCTTTCCAACCAGAGTGTAGCCAGGTAAACAGCGATACTTCACAATATCACCTGGAAAAACAGTGACAATTTACATTTTTTGACATTTTCAAATTTTTTGTATGTACAAATAGAGGTGGCTACATTTTGAAAACTATAGATACACAAGAGAATTCTCACACATTATATCAAACTGCAAAAAAATCTAACAAAAAAGAACTGGTAATAAAATTGTAAACAGTAGAAAGCAGAAATAGTAAAAAAAAACATGTCAAATAAATACATAATATACTGATATACAATGTATACCTGTTTTCATAATTCATAATTAATAGACAGTTTTAGGATCTTTTGGTAATCTTATATTAACATTCTTGATGCGAAAATGTATGTTTTAGGAATTAAGTGGGTGGTTTATTCAGATTTTAAAGCCAAATTAATTAATTCCTCAATCATGTAAACATTTATCCTTCTTAAAAATAATTTAGCACATGCTTGTTCAGATGATCTGGATGATCCGGCACCACCCGCCATTGCTTCGGACTTGTATTCACTGCTTTTTGGGTTTGCACGTGGGATGCGGGAGTGGACTAAGGCAGAGAAGCCGTTGATTCAGTTTGTCGTATTCCTCACTTTTCCGATGCTCTTCTCTTCTCCTCCTCAGCTGACAGATGTAAAGTGTGTCCATGGCATAACAACAAACTGAGATGACAAAAAAGCTGGTAGCCAGCTGATTGTGTGTTTTCTTCCGGTAGACGTAAATACATTTGTGTCCCTGTCCATTCAGAACCCTTCCCGACCCCCAGACGTTAAAGGCGATGTAACGTGTTTTCCATGAAAACCTCAATTCAGAATTATTATTTCCATGTAACTTCAAAGAAGAATATTTTAATTCCAAACTATTTGATTCAGAACGATTCATTCAGAATTAAAAAATATCAACTAAACATTGACAAATTGTCACTTACTTACTGTCCAGTAATGAGGATAATTACCAATTTGGAAGTCTTCATCTTCAAAGATGATCTCAGCATTTTCCACAGCAGGAGGAGTCGGGCACTTCTTCAGACGGTAAGCTGGAACAAAAAAAGAAAACAATATATTTTTACACTCCAATATTAAATACTGTGCAAGTGTGAGTTACTTTATTTTCAGTAGATGAAGTAGAATGAATGTTTCCTTGGGCACTGTTTTACTGTGTTGCTGAAGGTTCAGTCACTACCTTTTATATGTGTTATTATATAGCAGCCAGCTTATTTTGTTTATCCCTGGTGTTTATACAGAATTGCATCATAAAGGCTGAACTTTATCACCCACCATTCTACACAGACATCAGGTCACTGTCCAACAGTCACTTTAAATTTGCCCTGGCAGTGGGCCATATAAATGACTTGAATTGTCACTCTATGTTTATCATGCTCTACTGACATTACTGCTGATGGTCATGTTGTATATTGTTAAAGTCTCAGTATGTAATTTTTATACAAAAAAAAGCCTAAAATAAAAGCTTGTTTATTTTACTTTTTTTCAATCCATAAAGTCTTATAGACTCCATTGACTCTTATTTTGCCTGGAGGAGGGCTTCCCCCTGTTTGTTCCCATGGACATGTTGCTGTTCCTTTGGCTATACCATTCCACAGTATGGCATAAAACACATCAATCTCCATGTCCAATGTTTGTAAGTATGGTTTTTAACTTTCTTTTTCCATGGAAACATGCAGGTAGCATGACAAAAAAGTCACATACAGTTTTTTTAACTTCCCTGCATTTATTGGTAATGAATAATACCTTTGTTTGACCTTGACAGTGGAGCAAGAACCACATGTGCATATTATTTCTTTATTTCATTTCGTTTTCACTAGTTGTAGTATAAAGAATCCCTCAGTCATCCAGGTAGAATCCATGAGGAGAAAATTCAGTTTGTCAGTTCTGAAGAACCGAAGAAGCAGCTTGGATGAGCTGCGAAACGTCTTCAAATAACCTAACTTTTGTCCATTTGACAAACTGAATTTTCTCCTCATATTAGTTGTAGTAGTTGTAGTAGTAGTAGTAGTAGTAGTAGTAGTAGTAGTAGTAGTAGTAGTAGTAGTAGTAGTAGTAGTAGTAGTATAAGAATGTACCGTGGAAGTTGAGTATGAAGAAGCCCCCGGTGGAGAAGTCAGAGTGAAAGCGAATGAGGACACTGGGGCTACTGCTATAGGCCGTCTCCAGAGCTGTGTTACCGCTGAACACTCCCAGCTGAGGGTTCGCTGTGTCCGGACCATCCCTGAGTCACACAACGGCACAATTTAAAGTGAGGGAGACAAACTGTACTGTATAGATACTCCTCACAGGTCCCCAGCAATAAATTATTCTTAAAATGGGAGGCGCAGCTCCTGCACTCTCATGTACAATTCATTCTGGGCATAACAGTGATGACTATGACATTTTATTAAACCCACAGGAGCAAGGCTGTACATTTCTACGCTGCTTAAAGTCACAACAGAAGTATGGAATGGTGGAGGTGATGGTGCACATTGATTCACTCATTTTTGCTTTTATTACATAATCAACATTTGATAACTGGTGGTGATAGCAGTTTTAACAACTAAGAGTCAGTGCACGGTTTCTAATTAGGCAACGTATAAATATGTTTATTTTTACACACTAAACAATTATTTTATTCTATTATATACTGTATGCTATTTAGATTTTTAGGAACAGAAAACAGGATAGTGCAGACAGTCTAATCTACATATGACCAGTGAAATGGCATAGTATTTTACAACTATTTTATTAAGACAGTAAGAGTATGAGCTGCATATTTAGTTGTTCTGCCCTGCTTCAGTGAATAAACCATATGAATTTTGAAGGCCGAGTTCATGTATAAAATATTGAATGTTGTCAAAAGGTTACATGTTGAAAGTTGCCAAATGTCCGTTTTCTGTTTTTTAATAACAGTGTAGGTAGATTAAACAAGGGTTTTAAAATTTTAATTCATAAAGTGTCTGCAAGATCTCAGGGCTACTCAATAATTCAAGGTCTTTTGAAGGTGCTGCCTCTCATTTAGAGATTCAAGTGGGCTATTTGGGTCTGTTTTAAATTACAACAGAGTTAGAACTTTCTTACTACTATAACTATATATTATGTATGGATAAATCATTTTATGAAATAGTAAGGAATATTTCTAAGTACTGATAACACACTATGGCAGAAGTAATGGTTTTGCATAAAGAGTAGAAATACTGAAAAACAAATAATATTAAGACAAAGCTTGTGTAACTAAATTAATTTGTTACAAGTAGAAAATGTATGCTGAAATACTCTATAACAGTGAAACTAAAAAGATGTAAGAGAATAAGTGACCAGAAAAAGCAGCTGCCATGATCTACCTCTAACCCTGCCCCTAACCATGCCCCATTCTCAAACAGATTTTTAATAGTTTACACTAAGTGCCCTGCCTTATGCCACTGTATCTGTGGCACTGGTGAAAAAAGCTAGCAAACTGAATCAGAAGAAACAAGCTAAGTTTCCTTCTTCCACATTCCAGCAGATCATTAGTTTCCTTATGTCATGCCTTGGACCTTGTATATTACAGTGAATTGCTTTGCCATGAGCCCACACTAGTCTAGTCTCTAATACAGACTGTTTTAGAACTGCCTGCTCTGTCCCTGGAGCTCCTTTAGAGAGCCTGGAATTTAAGATTGACCTCTCGCCAACACATTCTATTTATTTTTTAAGCCTTGGGAAAGAGCCAAAACCCAGCTTGATCTGGGGTTAATTCCTGACAAATCAACGTTTAATATTCTTTAAAAGTAAGCACAAAGCAATCCCAAGGTAATATATGTGAACTGTCTGCCAGACTGACCTAAACTTGACAGATTCCACTGGAGTCCCTTTGGATTTGTGAAGCCAGCCCCTGCACTCCTCCTTTCATTACATTTCCCACTCCCCGCTGAATCTCATCATTACTGCCAGAGATCCTAAGCCCTCTCCGGCTCCGAGTATGGCCAGACTAGTGACTTAGATTGAATTGGTCAGTGGTCCCATTGTAAATGCATTACTCTCACACTCTCAGTATTACAATCTCACCTCCACACTGAATTACATTATTAGAGCGAGAATCTCAGAAAATATTTTTCATACCATAGACAAAACATGCATACATTTCAAACATACATCAATAGTGGCTTTGACATATACATTTTCAGCAAGAGTACATTGTATTTATGGAAAGTACTGACATATGTTTACACCAAAGCAACTACATGAAAAGGGGCATTGCGACAATAAACCCAGAAAGCCAATAAGAAGTATATGAACTAGAAACTCATAACTTCAGTGACGCCACCAGAGCCATATATGAAAGCCTATGAACATGAGTATAAATGTATATGCAATGACTCACCACACAGCAATGTAGTCTGTAACTGGCTCTGTTTGCAGGAGAGTGAAATTGATATAAACTCCATGTCCATGAGGAACAGTGATGGTCCAGGTACAGTCCTGCGAGTTGGGGTACTCAGAAGGATATTGTGGTGAATAGATAGTTCCATTCTCAGCGGTGATATTGTAGCCACAAGGTGCTGTAAGAGTACAATAAATCTATTCATTATTTATCATAGGATTATTATTCAAGCATAGACAGTGAATTAGGTTTAGTGTTTGCTTGTGCAAATTATGGCTCGTTATTGCTTTAAGCTTTGTTATACTCTGTATTATTGGTTACAAAATACATAATACAATATAATAATCTGTTGAGATAACTAAATATGCAATCCACACATCTGGTTACAAAGGTTAAAATGCAAGTGAAATATGTAGATACAGAGAAATGTGAAAAACAAATGTAAAACTTAGTCACACAACTCTCTGGAGGTGGCACATCACCTGCATGACAAAAAGTTGAAACCATTCTTCGGAACATTCTCTATAGAGAGTGACACATTTTTTGCCATATTGTGGAATATTACAGCAAAGGGAACATTATTTTCCATGGAGACAATATGTCCTTCTCCAGGCCAAGTAAGAGTTAGGTTTGTGGACATGCAATCCTCCTCATAAAGGACACACGCTTTTCATGTTTGTTTGTTTTTTTTTTGCCTTAAAAGTTAGGTGATGGTGCATTATAAAAAAATATTGCAGATATTTATAACATAATTTTTAGGGTTAGGATTTGTGTTAGGGATAAAAACTTTAAAACTCACCTTCACATCGTGGAAAGGGATGGTTCCACTTCCTGTTAGCCCCATGTAAACAAGTCAGAACTGGGTGTCCAATCAGAACATAGCCAGGATAACACTGGAAAGTCACTGACTGGCCCGCACTGAAGTCACTGTTAATGATGTCCCCATTCAGGAAGGGAGATGGGTCTTGGCAGTTTTGAAGCTGATAGGCTGAAAAGAAAAACACAATATGCCTCAGTGAACTGGCATACAGTATGTATGTATTTATAAATGGTAACAATTGACCATATTGAAGGTCACATCTTGCTCTATATGTCAGAGATTGCTTAAACAGTTTCCCATTGATTAAGAAGGAACTCAGAAGATGTACACTAAGGTCAGGGACAAATATCGACTGAAAGTACTGCAAGAGGCAAACTGAGTCTCTTGACATACTGACAAGTCAAGTACAAATGTTAAAGTGAAGATTATCTGAGGAGGCTCCGTGTCAGAAAGAATGGGTTAAGAATAATTTCTTTTTCACTTGAAGACATCCTTGTAAAAGATGATGTTCTGCCCTCTCTAGATTGGGTCAAAAGGGGGTGTTACGGTTGGAAAAAATGAATGTACAATAATAACCCACAGAGGAGAAACATACAGTGGCTCTTCTGAAAAAGCTTGTTTAGCTGTGTATAATATTCACTTATTATGTAGTTTGAGCTTTATTAACTTAGATAACTTGGATGTTTTAAAAATGGCATAACCCTTTAAGTCTAGAGTACTACCAGTATGTCCAAAGAGTTCTTATTGTGGTGCCAACTGCCTGAGTAAAAAACAGTTATGTCAGTACATATGAGCTGTAAGTACATCTTCTTGTGTCTTTGAAGTGAAACACTTTGGGCTATGACTTAAGCTTTTTGGACAGGATGCATGTCTCTCAGAGAGACTTCCTACAGTCTTTTAATGACGAGAGGACTGCCTAAAGGTTATTATAAGACTTTAATGTGACTTATATACTATCAAAGCAATTGACCATAGTACTCAACCTTCCATTTTTTTCTGTATTGTAATATTTTGATCATTTTCAGTAATTAAGTCAATAATTTCCCTCCTGGGCTGAAACACATTTTCTCTAAATTTCTATCTGATAAACAAAACAATACATAGTAACAAAACATGGTAGTCGCCATAATATTGGACACACCTTGGTAGGTTAGTTTGAAGCCTGGTCTATTCTCTGAGTGGTCGCTGTAGAAGTGGATGATGGTGAGGTGGGTGGTGCTGAGAAGAGGAGGGGGGATCTGGGAGCCTGTAAATTGGCCAATAAGAGCTGAGCTGTGTTGTGGTCCAGCCCTGACTTCCAGAAAATCATGGTTGTCCTCTGAGGAGAAATTCTGAAACTGAACATGAGCTCCTACAAAGTGAAAAACAGTGTTTAATTGGAATGAGTTGGTAGATATAATATAGATAATATACTTTCCAAAACATGTAATATCAGTACTCATTATTATACTAAGTAACACATTATTTAACATTATGCTTACCGTATCCAGATGGCAGAACTATCTGCCATGTACAGTCCAGGTTTCCTGGGTAGTTGCCAGGGAAACCTGGACTAAGGATGACACCGCTCAACTCAGTCAGCACTCCACCACAACGAGCTAAAACAAAAGCACACATAATTAGAGCTGGTCATATAGTTAAAGAGACCAAGCATTAATGTAAATGAATGCTGTGTACTGTAGAGCGAAGTTATAAGTATTGAATTGATCAAATGATCTGGAAACAGTGGAGCAATTATTATTTCTGTGTATTACCAATACAAAGAGGAGGTGGGTAGTTCCAGCGACGTACTGTACCAGGCATGCAGGAAATATGCGAGTGACCCTACAGACACATTAGAGGTATAGTTAAGTGTGGTTAAATAGAGAAACCTTTGAAACGTGTAAGTTTAATCACCTGTAGTGTGTACCCAGGCTCGCAAGAAAAGGCCACGACTTCATTGACCATGTATCTGTCTCCACTCTTAATGCCATTGGCTGGCATCATCGGCTCTGGACATGTTGTTAAACCAACAGCTATGGATAAAACACAAACAACAAAGTATCGTTATCACAGAGATGCCCCTGGCTTTCCCTGGCTATTTATACATATACCTGTGCAATGGGCCACAAATCACAACATTTCACTAATTGTTCAAAAGCAAATTGTCTGTGGGACATTTTGGTAAGACCTGTCAATTATGTTAACACATTTAAACAGTACCAATTACACCTTTAACAATATTGCTGTTAATAGAAACAGTGCATAACTCACAAATTGTGTTTTAAAGACCTATTACTTCATTGATGTAGGCCTTAGCCACTGAAAAGGCCCTTAAAACCATCTGACTGTGTTGCAGTGACTTTTGCTGAGTATTCCCAACACACCAAAGGTTAAATGTATGCTTAATAAGTTTGACAGCAGCCAGTCCTTTATCATAGCATCACCAGGGCTGTAGAGTTGTAGGGTGTGTGTGTTTTAGAAACTTCCGCAGGAGACTGCCCTCGAGCCGTTACCATGGCAACACAGGGAAGAGCGAGCAGAAAGAGAGAGAAAGAGAAGGAGTGAGAGAGAGAGAAAGAGAGAGAGAGGAGTCTGTGTCCGTGTGCATGTGCATCTGCATGTTAGCTTGTGTGTCTGCTCTTGTTGCTTCATTATCTATGTTCCAACCAGAAAAAGATGAGATCCCACTGAGCTCACAAACACAAATGGCACAGCTCCTGTGAGCCATGTCTTCGATGAGTGTGTGTTTTCACAGGAGGACCAGGAAGACTTTTAGAGGGAACATAAGTGAAAAAGCTGCATGACACACACCCATACAGAGTATTATTAGGCAGAGCATCAGCAGGCTGTCATGACAACTGATCAATGAAACTATTCCATTTGGCTGGCCATCTCTCTCTCTATGTGCAGCAAACGGCTCCCTCCACTCTGTGGTTATGAGGAGCACTGATGCTCTATAAAATGCTGACAGCTCCACAATCTACCCCACTAGGGCCACTAGACTACAACAAGACATGTCAGCATTTAAATCTAACTGACTGGATTTACTATAGTTCTGCTCCAGTTTACTTGAGGACAGCCCTGGGAACGAAACCTCTCACTTTATAAAAGGCCCATAAGTCACCTTGAGAGCAATAATGAGGTTATTAAAACACTAAACTTGTTCTGTTCATATTTACTCTTGAGATTTTAATAATATTCAAATAAAAGCTTTCAAATGAGAAGATCATAGATTTCTCTGTTGGAAATTTGTCTTTTATTTTTTATGAAAAAATATAGTCCCAAAACAAAAATTTGCATCCCTGAATGAACAGTAAATAACCACAGGAAGACTGGTTTTAAATAACTTGCTGTCCACTTAGGAGACGCTGAAATTAAATTAACTACACACGGTATGAAAGCTTTTATAATGAAGAGGTTAAAGAGAGCTACAAGCAAAGCAAAAACAAGTCATGGCTGGTATTTTCATCATGTACTACAAGCACACGTGACCACTGTAGCTCAAGGTTGTGTTGAAAAGAAACCTGTAATTTGAATTGCATTTTTTCTGCATTATAGTTGACCCTTTTTTAAATTAAATACAGCTGACACAAATAGAATTTCCATGGCAGGAATACAAACGGCTAAGCCACAAATGTGTGCAGTCACCTACAAATACACAGAGTCCAGGAACTGCTCAGAAAAGGGGACGTGTTCATTGATCTAGAAGTGATTCTAACCCCAAACATCTACAAAGGACCAAAAGCACAACTGTGTCCTGACAGGTGTGTGTGTATATGTGTGTATGTGTGTATGAATGTGTGTATGCATGTTTTATTGTTAATAGATAAACTATGTTGAGATTTTTGCCTGTCATGCTCGCTCATACCTTTGTTCCTCATGTATAGGCCCGACAATGCTGTTATTTCTTACACAAAATCTACCTGTTTCGTTGCATGTAAGCCCAGCTGATATATGTGTGAATGGTTTGAGGCAAAAAACATTTCAGGTCAGTGATTTTGGATATCTGATTCTGAAGTTTGTGGTAAATCAACATGAGCGCAGACCGCGATGTGTATTGCAAGGGAGTACTTACTTTTGTATTCTAGGTGAAAGCCCGCTGCTACTACACTGATGTCACTCTGAAAGTGCAGGAGGAGCTGATTGGAAGTTGAGTTGAGCAGGGCTGGTGCTGTTGTTCCTGTAAAATGTAAAATACATTATATTTGGGGTGTTTAGTAATAAACTATAATGTAAATAGATTTTTGTTTTAGATTTTGTTCATTATAAACTGCAGTATTGACCTAAAACCTCTTAATAATAGGATCTTAATAATAGGATTAGGTTAATTAACTTCCTGTACAAACCGCAGAAAGACTCCACCTTTCCATAGTGACCAGTTATTGGAAAGTAGTTATATGACATTTTTGAATCCTACATGTATGACCCTGAGGCACAGTTTTTTTAAATAACTGTAAGCAAGTACAAAGCAGGGGACTGTGACAGGCGGTAAGTGAAAACAGAAGTATTCTGATCACTCAAGCCTCAAATGCAAGACAATACAGGATTATTCAAACATGTATGAATCCATCAAAATACAACTCTGAGTAGGTTGGCAGTAGGATGAGAAGGAAATACTGTTATAACTGGTTATAAGCTGATAAAAGCCTATTTTAAAGGTCCTATATTACACAAAATTGACTCTTGTGAGCTTTAAGCCATGTTATAATGTTGTCATCTCCTCAAAAACATACCTGGAGTTTTGTTCACACTCATTCACACATGTCTGAGTAACCCTTTACTATTATTCTGTCTGCATCACCAAAGCTCAAAATGCTCTGTTCCATCTTGTCATGTCCTGTAGTGGTAGTTTTCAAGTTAACAACTACCTTTACCTTTAGTTCAGTAGAGATTGGCAATTCCAAAAATCATCCAAATTATTCTAGTGAAATTGTACGGAATTTAAAAACAAAATGGTGCACTTCCTGACATCACAAGGCGGAGCAGAGTGTTTTCCATTTGAGAGAAGAACACAGCCTAAATATGAGTTTGTGTGAACATGTGTGAATAAAACAAAAACACAACTCCAGGTATTTTTGTGGTAAAGAAACTCCATTATAACACTGATCAGAAAATTACATATTATGGGCCTTTTAAATATTCTGTCCCATTTAAAAGTGTTTTATACATTTTGTAGGAAACAAGTCAAAGGCAAGCTAATATAATTTGTGATAGGTACAGTCCATTTGGAAAGAAAGGTGCCTCACTCGTCTCATTCTATTATTTAAAATGTTAATGGTTCTGACACAAAGCATTAATGTGTATATTAGGCAGGCGTTGGGTCTGTGCCATTCTGGTCTATAGGGTGTATGGTGGCTTAAGACAAAAGAGGACAGGGAATAAAAATAGATGTATTACTGTTTATATTCAAACCTCCAGAGCACAAAGGTACATGACAGGCACAGTAGATGAACAACCCTTGGCCCTTTCTTGGCAGCTAGTCATCCATCCAAACGGACAGCCATTATGGAGGCCATTATAGTGAGGCTCTTGTCACCTGGCTGCGTGCAGGCGCTCTGTGGTCACCATGGTTAGAGTGGGCTGCTCTCCTGAGTGGATCCTTGAGAAGGGCACAGTCATTTGTGTGCATGCATGTGTGTGTGTGTGTGTGTGCCCTCTAGGTGCCATGTTCTTTGTGTGATAGGTGTGTGACAGGTATGTGCTTGGGGCAGGTCACAGGGGAAACTCCAGTGGGAAATTCGAAAAGGTTAGATCATTCTTTATTCCTCCCTGTCTTTCTCCTCTGACACATTTTTTCTTTTCCTTCACTTAACCTGATGCTGACGCACCTCCCCTTCTCAATCTTAACTTGACTGTGAATTTACCTGGAAAACATTTATAGTGTTACATAATATTACAAGTCATCCATCACAGATCTCCAGTGTAACATTGTATGTGTTAAAACAAGGATACAGTGTCAGTAGTGGGCGATGTGTCATATGTAATCCATCAAATCCCTACTGCCTGTTTGTGTGCTTATCCATGTATGGGGGTGCAGCAGTGGATGTGTGCGGATCTATAGTTTAAGACCTGTCAAGCCTCATCCATCACAGGGCAAACAGTTATTGTGTATGTGCTCGTGTGGTGAGATAGGAGTAGAGCGTGAACATATTGTCATACCAGAAAATGACCCTAATTTAGGAGCTGTCATGTCGCCTCCATCATAGATCTCCAGAGAATCCCAGTTGTGCTCGGTAGCAAACGTCATCACTTGAATCTTCAACACAAAGCAAATGAAAGATTATTGAGATTTTCCGGACTTAATTATAGTGCGATTCAGAGCAGATTTCCCACCTGTATGCCGGCCCCCTCGCTAACATGGATCCTCCAGAGGCAGTTGAGGCTGTTTGGGTATGGCTCAGGATATCCTGGAGACAGGATGGTACCGCGGCGCTCTGTCAAATTGCCACTGCAGGGAACTGGAATGATAACATAAAAAATGTATTTGTTGACAAAGTTTATTAACGAAGTGGCTAACAAATATGGCAGGTTGCAGCAATGTGGTTTATGCACACTGAGAGGCATTACAGCACTCAAATTACCACTACAGGGTGCCATTGAGTGAATATGATAACAAAGATTATTTATTGGAGGAAGTAAAATGACAGCTGAAACTGTTAGCTCTCTGTGTGTACAGAGAGCGTGCGAGAGAGCGACATATCATGCATACAAATGGTCTAATTAGTTTAAACCTCTCTAGACTCATTTTTTATTCATCACATTAGTTTTATTTAATTGTGACACTTATAATAAATATCAAATAAATATGTCAGAGTATATAGTTACAATATATAGTTTGTAAAAGTGAGCCATACCTATGCAAGTCGGTGTGGATGCGTTCCACTGTGCTAGGGCCCCGGGTACTGCCTGGCACTGTATAGCACTGGATCCTTTGAGCAGATACCCTGGACTGCACTCAAAGCGGACCACCGAGCCAGCCGAGAACTCTGAACCAATCCGACGGCCGTACCGTGGCTCTGGCACTGAGCTGCACTGACTGTCACTCGTCCTAGGTACAGCTAAAAAATATAATACAGAATGTTTAAAAACAATATAGAATAAACAGAAGGGATCTGAATGTTCAGCTTAAAATAATACTATTACCTTGGTAGACAAAATGAAAGCCTCTAGCTGACTGGCCACTCTTAGCGTTGAACCGCAACATAATCTGATTGGAAGTGGCAAGTGGCAATGTCTCCCCTAGGACAAGCACAAGCAAAATGTTAAGATGAATTCTAATACACTCTTTTTTGGCTTGCACAACTTAAAAAACAACATTTTAGAATATTTACTTGATAAGAAAATGGAAACAAGGTTGAAAAATCCACTTATTCGTTATCCCAGTTACCATGCTGTTTCCATCCTATTACTGTGCTGTAAAGTGCAATCACACTTTTCATGTTTATTTTCTGAAAGTTTTCCTAAAGTGTTTTAAGTATTTTGAGTAGTGTCTAGTAGTGTCTCATTTTCATCAAAATGTTTTGGACAGGGAATTTGAAGTCAATACAAGTAATATGTTACAATAAACCTACTATGGAAACACACATTGTCTCATCAACTGCATTTATGATTATAAACTGAGGTAGACAATGTTGTACTTGAATTTAAAACATAAACAAGACCATCTAGAGAAGGGGCCATATAACTGTAAGAGCCAGCTCAGTCCTCCCCAGCAGCAATCTGTGAGTGCACACATAGAGAGGCAACCCAAATAACGATGATGAATGAGGGGAACATGGCCTGGTGTGGCTGACATTTAGAGCCATCATTAGCTGCATCAGAATGAGTGTGCATGTATTGGTATGCAGCCCTGTGTGTTAATATGTTTGTGCCAGGATAATCAGTCATTTAGCTGGAACAATGTGCTACAATGCTTTTTGTCTGTCTCAGAGCATGTGTATTCAGTGTGCGTGTGTATAGGGCAGCGTAATGAGGCAGATAACATTATTTAGTACGACTTGCTGTGTTTGAGCCAAAAGAGGCATTTCAGACCCAAATTAACATTAAAAATAAGTCGCCCATTCTAGCCCGTTTCCTTTGAACAACATAGATGGATAGTCCTGGGGAGGAAAGAAAATTGCATCATGTTGAGCTTCATTAAGCGGAGCACCACATCCACCCACTTATTATGTAGAACAATGGCTCTGGACAATTAAAGGAAAAAAGTAAATATATAAAAGTTACTTATTTTTCTACTTCTAAAGTACTTTTGATTTAACACCTACACATTACATCACATTACTAAATAATAGTAATAATGACGAATTAGTAATAAGTAGTGCCTTAAAAATGTTATGCATTTTTCATTCACTCCATACTTGGTAGTGGTAAGCTTCTATTGCAGCCACAATCCTGGGTCAGACTCCGACCACTGCCAATCATTACTATATATTCATACTAGCAGGCAAAGTGGGTGAAGTATCTTGCCGAATGACAAAACCACAATATGTTCTAGACTAGAGCTATTGGAGCCCCATAGTGACACCACTTATTTCCAGTGGTCTTACTTTTGACTCATAAGTCATTTTTTTCTAAACACTATTTTTATTTAATCCACATATATTTATATTTTAGTGCTGATTAAAATGTTGAAAATTAGCCTAGTTGAAAAAGTTGTTGCTCAGTTTGGTATAGTGCTTCAAATCCCCATATACTGATGTGTGAATATGTATGTGAATAGGTGAGTGGTTCCTGTAAAGCAATGACTGTCTTGAAGGCAGAAAAGCACCACACAAATATGACAATTTACAAATGTACATAACATATAGCTCAAGTAATATCCTGTTGTTATCTATTTTAGACAAACTATCTGATGTTTTAAAAGCATTAAATCACAAAAAGATCGTTTTATTGGTTGATGCCTAATTATCTTTATTAAAGTGCACACTTTTCCACTGAGTAAACAGAAGCGAGCGGGGAAATGTGATAAAAGCTCTGTATGCAGTAGTAAAAAATATCCAGCGTGAACTCCAGAGGGATTCCCCTGCAGCATGCCCTCTGGCCACAGCAGATAAGAGAGGAACACAACACTCCACGGCAATAAGAGCACATTTTGCCTGCAACTATGCTAATCAATAATTTCTTCCATTGTCTTTACTACACCTGTTTCTTACCTGTTTCACAGTCTCCTTTTATGACAACTATGTCACATGTGTCATGGCGTGATTTCCGTTACCGGTAACACGTTTGATGGAAATAATGACAGCTGCATAATGCTACACAATACAATAGAGTGAACGGACAAGTGCGGGGGTGCTGACTTTTTCCTATGGAGCCAGTGAGTCACTATAACTGTTTTTAAATTTCCCCTTGGATATCTTTCAGACAGCAAACCCAAACATTATTAAATTCTTCTGTGCATATGTAAATTACACTGACAGCTATTACACAAAACCCTATATATCCAACTAAAGTAAAAGATTCTACAGTAGACTTACCAGAATGCGATCCAGCCAAAGAACTGAGTAGGCGCGCGTTTTCATTGGCTCCATCAAACAGCTCTACGGAGTCATTCATTGCCGTCTGAAAAACCGCAAACTGACCAAAAACCACTGGAGAAAAGGGACAGAAAATCCGTCACATGCTTTTTAGAAAATGATGGCAATTATTCACTATACATCAATTATATAACCTCTACTACATAATTGTGTTGTGTGTAATTGTACTCACCAAACTGTTGGGACACTGTGATGTAATAGGAACATGTTTGTCTGGTTGTGTAGTTCAGAGGGTAATTAGGAGACAGCACGACCCCTTCAGATCCACTGTACTGTCCTCCACATGGGGCTTAGGGAAGAAAAGAGAAAACAAGTTCAGCAAGTGTATATAAGAAAACTACTTAGTTCTCATAATGCTTAATTACAACATATCTTCAGGTTATAATTAGTATCAGATTCATCTACCCTGCAATAATAATAAAGAATTGCTTACTCAGCTATATGCCAATCAATTTAATAAATGGCACAATATTCAGTCAAGTAATATTTTTATTAGAAAGCACCTCTATGGTTAAAATGGCCTGATGCTGCCATACTGATATGTTTCCAAGCATCACCACATTTAGTAAATTATTATGGGGCTTTAATCTAAAGTACACAAGGTACACAAATTTCATATTTCAGGTTGGGGGGGTCCGCCATCTGCTTGTCTCCATGGTTATGTTATGTTATTATTTGCTGGGAATGTATGACGTTAGACTTAACTATCTTACATTTATTCAATTATAAATGTTTATTGCTAGAAGAAATTGTTCTGAGTGTGGAAACTCCTCCATAGATCTGACTGGTAAATTGACCTAGAAGTACTGAATACTCATATAAATGGAAGTATATAAGTTTAATGCAACACTGTGAATCATAAGAAGCACAATTTTAACAACTCCATGGAGAAAAGCAGATTGCGAACCCTCCATGAGAAAAGTTACAAAGCACACTTTTAATACAGCTTTATGACATTTGCATAGTATTGCAGACATTATTTATAAGAAAATATCGCAGCCTCCTAATAGTAGATCCTTTTGACAACAACCCGGCAGGAAAAAACTCTCCGGAATTAATTTATGTGCGTCGAGCTGTGGCACAGTGTGAGATCTTCTGTATCAGCGCTGTGCAATTTCTAAAAGCCTATTAATCCCCACTACCATTACAAGACCCACAAGAAGCAGCTAGAACACTGGCCTGATCCATCCTCCAGCTCCCGAGAGGGTTACGAGTCTTATGTGTGGGCGTGAACACATTTATACTGCGGACTACAACAAGCAAGGTCAATGAAATAAGAGTAAGCCGTGCTGTCCCTGAGTGCAATGGGCGAGTGTCCGAGGTGTGGAGAGATAGTAACACATCTGTCAGAGCCATACACACCAGCAGGCCTCATCACCTCTGCTGACCTCTGCAATTCTGATGGCCGCTGTAATGAAATGCCAATACAAGTTTTCTGTGATAGCCAGCTCCATGGGGCAGTGTTTCTTCAGTGTAATCTTATTGAAGAAGTTAAACATAAGTAGAGTTTAAATCTAAGTGTAAAATGTAAGAATAAAAATTAATGACTTGATTCTTATTGCACTTGCAAAGCTTTACAAACATGTCAAAGTGCTTTACAATGATTCTCTGCTCGCTCAAGTAAGAAGTGCTTACTGCTACTAATATGACTTCATTGTATCAAAACAATATACACTTCTAAAGAAGAATTCATTTAGTAACACACATCCCACAACTACAGCTACTGCAATATAACAGTGAGCGCCCACCATTCAGTTCTAGAGAAGTAAGTTCTATTTTCCAATAGGCTTTCTGAAACAAGTTAATATTAACATTTTGAAAGCTTGCACAATAAGTAAATTCTATAAACTAATAACTAAAATCTCTTTCTGAAACTTTATTAACTGCTAAGTTATAAAAACATTTCACCAAAGTTTTTAGATGTACTTTTTGGGCTTGAAAACAACTGCGTTAGGCACATTAGTTACGACATATTAGCATCTGTCGTGCCTTTAAACTCTTAATATTTCAGATTTTCCAAAAGTCTATAGGAAAAATTGAATGGGCAGTTGGGTACATTTTAGCACTTGGCCTGATAACTTGGTCTTTCAACGACACAGAATAATGTTGCTCATTCTGTGTTCTTCTGTTCAGTTGTACAAATACTAGGGACATTTGTTCAGTCACTGCCACTAAACCATCTGCTGTTGTTTTTAAAATTAAGGCACACTTTATTATCCCCATAGGGAAATGCGTCCTCTGCATTTGACCCATCCTTAAATGCCACACACATGAAGAGAAACAAACTCCACAGAGAAAGTCCCACCAGCCCAAAAATCAAATCTAGAACCTTCTCGCTGTGAGGTCTGAGCACTAGCCACTAGGCCATCATGTCCCAGCGACATTACAACCCGCCACACACTACAGGATTTTTGAGTTTTAAACAATTTTTAGATAGTTTACTTTAAAGCCATGGGAAACAAGCTTTCAACTACTCATTCCATTGGTGGAGATGTGTGGTCACTAAAAACTCATTTTCTTTTCCTAAAGCTAAAAAAATACACCTTTTCCTTCGCTCCAGACTGTGGACTTTTATATTGATGTGATATATTTTGGATTGGCTCTCTCTGTGTGCTGCTGAACTCAAGCCCTGAGGTCTGGAGGTCTTGACTTGATCTGTCCACAATCTCCCAGTGGCAATGCTATAGGCTCAAGTGTGAGAATTCTCCAAAGTATTGATATACACTGCTTTGATCAGTCACACACACCCACACACTAACATGCATACACAGAGACACGTACACAATTAGATGCAGCAAATGCAAGTCACAGTCTTACGCATACAAACCCGCTTTGATCATCCACACACACTTTTGTAGCCCTACCTCTAACTGTCTGTGTTTCATTTCATTTTTTTTTCTCTCAACCACAAAACACATCTCACGAGTTACTGAGATGAAAACAGAAAATGTTTTTTTTAAGATGTTGCAAACTTTCTGCTGAAGCTCCTCCAAAGACTATAAGAGTAAACAGTAGGCTCTGAGGAAAGACTGAATGCAAAACTACTCTGTCCTTGAAATGAATCTAGTGGAGGCGCTTTTCCAGCTCTGTCTGTGTAATAAATTATCATAATTTGTGTAACATGAATAAGAATTACATACTGTTGTCTATGTGAGCCAAATTCAAGTATTGCAATAATAATACTATGAATTTTATAAGGCTTTGCGACCTACAGGAGAGATCAGAATGCAAAGCACAGTCTTAGCCAGCAATGTTAGGTCATGTGTAAAAATTGCCAGAAATGATTACCTGATCTGATTACATACACGTACTGTTGCAGGGTAAATTGCAAGGCTTACTGTGAAGAAAGCAGGAAAATTGCCAACACATGCAGTCAACATTCACAGTATCCACATTTTCTCTATGCTTTACACAGGTGCAAGTTTTCAACAGTATCTACTCAAGGAAAAATGTCACAAGCATGAGATCACATACTTTCTTCTGATATGCCATCTTAGGTCACAAATACTGCTTTTTATGAACTAGTAATACCACGGAAATCACCAGCCTAGTACTTGGAATGTACTGGCATTTCTTTTCATGTGTGAACAGTGTATAATGCCATAGGTGTTATGAAAAGGGAAAGTCTTAAAATAAATATTTGTATAAAATAAATAAAAAGAACATCCTCATTAATACAGATTACTTTGGGTAATTAATCAAAAAGTGAAAAATGAATCCAAAGACTTGAGTACATTATGGTTTTGAGGCTAGTTATATTACAAGTGAATTCCTAAAGATATTATGTACCTCTACCATGTACCAAAGGCTCCTTTGCTGTATGTATGTGGGTTTTAAGTGTGCGTGTGTGTATGTGCGTGTGCCTCTAGGCGGCACTCTGTAATAGCTGTGTCTCTGTGCCTTTTATGCACACACAACCCTATCAACAGTCACAGAGAATTCCTTCTTCCTCGCACCAGCTCTTAGTTACCATGGAAACCAATAAAAGAGCGGTCTGAGATAGTGCACGCTTGTGAGGGAGCGAGAGAGGCAAAGTAAGTCGAGGAGAGAAATATTGGGAAAAAAATATTTAAAAAAATATAGAGTAAATCGCAGACAGACAGAGATGGTAGGAGGTCCGGGAGACAGGAGTAGTTACAGGCGAGAGGATGCGGAGAGGGGATGAGGGGAATGAAAAGGGAGAGAAGAGAGCAGACAGAGTGTAAAGTGGGGATGTATTATTTAAAGGGGTCTCACCTCGTCTAATGAGTTTGGTCTAAAAGCCCCAGGAGCAGCCCAAAGATAGACAGACAGACAGACAGAGCTATGCCAAAAACTTTCCCAACTTGAACTGTGTGGGGAGAAGAATCCAATATGGCACCTCTGCAGACTAACACTGAGATTTGTGAGTCATCAGTGTAATGACTGCTGACGAGATGTCAAGGCATAAATTCATGTTTCATAAAAGTTAAATTAGATTAAATGAAATACGCACATTTAATCTGCATATATACTGAGCAAAATCCTAAAAGGAACACTGCCAGTACAGACAGACAGAACACTTTTTAAATAGAAGTGTTACTGATAATATTAGATCATTATATCTCTGGTACAAGATTTCTAGAAATGTTGTCAATTAGCTCTTTCATTTTCTATATGGTGATCTGTATAAATTAAATGTGCCAGTGTTGTCCCTGTCCCAACTTTGTCAAGATGTCCTCATACTTAAAAAGACTATAGATAGCATAGTTTTTATACACTGAAATACATTAATTTGAAAAAAAAAAAAATGAAAATGATCTTTAACAAACGCAGAAGACGCTGTGCCTATTGTCTACTGTGGATAAATGGTGCCATTATCCTGAAAGAAACTGGGTGAACCCAAGTTGAAAAAATTGACAGGAGTATTTAACAGCTTTTGTTGAGTGGTGTCCTCCTATTGTTACTGCCAGTGCAATTATCCAATCTTCTAGCACTCTTCCAGCCACACTGCCTTTCCACTGTCTCTCAAACTTTATTAGACACAAGTTCTAAACCTTTTGAATGCTTAACACATCCAATGCGGGTGTTAGTTTAAAATTCCTCCCTTGTCTCGTCACCTTTCTCTGTAGCTTATTTGAATTTTCTCCCCACGTGGCGCCGGGTCAGGGCTCTCTCACTTTGGAGATCACACACAGATGCGCACTCACACCAAGCACAGAATGGCACTTTGGCAGGTGTCGCTTTCTTGGCTCTCGGAGCTGTCAATCAAAGCATCAGTTCAGCCTCCTGACTCATGACAGTCTGCCTGAGCTGCACAGTGCACGCCCGCCACAGAGACACACACACGCACTGATGCTGCATGGGAATTACAGACCTCTCAAACACGGTTGCACTTATGGAACTACATCGCATTTTGCCTTTTGTCCCAACTTTATACAACTAAAAACAACTGCTATGTGAGGACCTGGACTCACCCAACCACAAAAAAAATTTTCTTAATAACAAAAATTTACCTTAATTATACTTGTTGATATCAGCAATTCACAAAAAAAGTTGTTTAGTAATTCCAAGTATGTGGCACTGTGAGACATGATATATAATAGGCGAAATATAATATTTTCAGTCTTGCTAAGATGCTTTGTTTTGCTAATATTGAACCATTTTGGTCCCCTCATATGAGCAGAACTGACAGTACAGGTGGACAATATGTTCAATATTCCCTCTTCCATTAATATTTTCTACTCCATACAATCAAACAAAGGCCTGCAGTAAATACAAATCATTACAACAGTATGATTTGGTTGACTGATTTTCTGTTATAATAATAATAATAATGCATCAGTTTTATATAGTGTTTTTCTCAAAACTCCAAAACACTCAAAGACGCTTTACAGAGCATTATTCATTCACTCCACACTCGTAGTCACAGCTGTCCTGGGGTAGACCAGGATGCATGGCCATGCATATTATTATTACAATATAACCATAAAGCTATGTTGAAGCCCAGCCAAATTTAAAAAACTATTTGACCCATTTAATATTTGCTGGCAAAGTTATAAATATGTGTACTTTAACTACAAATAAAAAAAAATAATCAAAAGTAATATAGTTTTTATCAGTGAACAAACGGGAATTTAGCCTTACATTCCTATACACATGTGTAAATAAGAAACGTTTTACACCAAATACCACCAATTACCATCTCAGAAGATGTTTAGTTTTCCGATCACAACCAAATCTTAACCAGGTCTATAACAGGATTATACCAGTCTAAACTAAGACTACACCAACACTAAGACAATAAATAGATCTCAAGATCATTGGGCTTTGAATTACGTGAAACAAGTAATATTAGAATAATAGCTTCAGTAACAAATGTAACCTTACCTTTACAAGATGGCAGCGGCTTGTCCCAAATCGGCTTCCCATCAGGCCCCATGATACAGGTGATAGTGTCTCCGCCCACTGTGGTGTAGCCATGGTGACACTGGTAGGACACCTGTGATCCCAGTTTATAGTCATATCCAGTCCGACTAGCGTTCATTATGTTCCCAGGGTCAAAACAGGCCTCTCTCGGTTTTTCTGTAGACAACGGAAATTATTTGTGTAAACAGTTCTGAGTTTTTAGACAATTAACATTCCTGTCCAATGCCCCGAAGCCAAATTATGATTCAAGGGAGGAAAAGAAGACGAGGAAATCAAAATGTGTCTTGGATCTTTATGGCTTGGCAGTGAGCCAGCTTGTTTGCTATTCAGTGATCAGCCAATAAGAATGAGATATTGGACTTGACAGACACAGAGCGTGAGATTTGGAGAGACATCACAAGAAATAAAAAGAAAGAGAGATAGGGCAGGTGGGGAGTGAATTAAAAAGATGATTAAGGTTGTGTTTTAATTAGAACTATGGTAGATGAAATTACAGAGGTGTGCGTGTGTGAGAGAGCCAGACAGACAACAAAAATTTAGATGATCTTTTTAAATTAAAAACCAGACAAATTACGTAAAGAATGCATTAAGAAGTGTGCTGAGAAACGTACTCAGCAACAGAGCTATAGTGCATGCAAGTCAGTGGGGCAGGTAATAATCTGTTCCATTCCTATTTAATAAAGCTATGAAATCTCATCAAGATGAAGATTAAAAACACACACGTTTCACTGATCAGGCATATCATGGGGACCACTGACAGGTGAAAACACACATTATGTCTTCATTTTGGGATATGTGGTGAGATATATTGGGTAGCAAGCTAAAGATTTTGATCCACATTGTTTCTGGTATGATAATGTTACTTGTGACTTAGGCTAAAAACAACAATTAAAACATATATTTTTAAATTTTATTTTAAGTGAGTTCATTGTTGTTCTGACCTGTAACCTCGCATTGTCACCTGCTTGTCAACACTGAGACAATTAATTACATACTGTGGAACTTTCCAGGCAAAGCAATCACATCTCCATGGAAACAAGTACATCGCAGATGCTCCAAAAACATGCTACCTTTAAACATCTGATCATATTAGATCCATATGTTGAAATAACACAATATTGACATCTTTCATCTAAATTGTTTAAAACATAGGAAAACTCTGAGTGGCCAAGAGAAAGATAGCATCACCAAATCTGTCTATGCAAAGTGATTACTAATGCCACTTTTCTTATTTTACTTTTGTACAAAAATATTAAATAATGTTAAATAAATATTTTTTTAAAACCCAGGTCAAAATTTGAGAAAAGTTTAATTACCTCTGAATTCAATAGCGAAACCGGACATGCCCAACGAAGCATCAGACCTGAACGCCAAGAAGAGGCTGTTGCTGCTGCTCTCGATGCGCTCTGGGGCCTGGTTGCCTTGGAGACTTGCAAGTAAAGGTCCGTTAGAGTCCTCACCTTCGTAGATGTGCAGAAAGTCGTAACTTGGCTCCATGTTAAAACTGTGGGCCAAAATGTGTGGTTTAAGTCCATATATCTTCCATGCACATGACACAAATACACAGTCAAATTGTTAATTTTATTTGAGATTTAATTACAATTTCTCTAATCAATTTAAATTTTGTTTTTAGACGAAACTGATCAACATTTAGGCTATAGGGGTCATTGCTTGAAGATTTGTACTTTACTGGCAATAAAGTAAAGCTAAGTTATACCCTCCAAACTCTAGCTGAGAATGTTCAAAGTGCAGTGCGGGCTCATTGTAGTTCCTTGTACGGATTTCTTTTCAAACTTTTCCACTTTGACACATCCTCTTCGTCTCTCTTTACATATGTGATGACACCAGTCCTCCTGAGGCTATAGTATGAAAGCACACCTCCAGACAGGCTTCCTACAGTGCGTTTGCTTTGATAGTGGCGATGTTAGTCTAGTGTCTGACCTGTCATAAAGTAAGTCCGTGCACATATAGTACCTTCATATATATTTGCCAATGGAGTGAGCATATATTAGCTTTAAAGGTGCACTATGAAACTTTTTGGTTGGGGGGCCATCACCTGCTTGCCATTGTTCTGCCTGGAATATTCCACAGTATGACCTTAAACAACTCTACTGTACATTTATTCAGTTTGGTAGTATACCTCAAAAATACCTTCAAACATTCCAGACAAAGCAATAACAAAGCATTTGATGGACCCTCCACTGGACAAGTTACAAGGTGCACTTTTATGCTGAACATCCAAGTATTACATATAGATATTTGTGTATGTATGACTAATCTCAGATGTTTGGTTATGAGTGTTCGAATTAATATATGGCCTACAGTTAACCATGCAAATGCAGCTGCGTTATTATTTCTCAGTAACTGTACCACCTAACTGTTACAAAATTTGCCAAATGTAATAATTCATGACTCACCTGTGGCTGATTTAAATGAACACTATGAAAAATAAAACTTTTTTTCTAGGCCATTACCAGTACTAAACTTTTAGGCAAAGAAATGAACCAATGTAAAAAAAAAAAAAAAAAAAGCTGTAGGAAAAATAGAAAAATATATTTTTTTTTCACAGTTGACAGAAGAAATATTGACACACTGTGCTCATTTTTAGTCACCACTAATCTCAGGGTTTACATCATGGGCACAAAGCAATAATCATGAGTCAAAATGAATGAAGTGTAATTTACATCTAGCTTATGCTCGCACCCACTGCTGAAATACACTTGTCAAACACTGATTATAAAACATAAGAAACATGTAAAATGACTGCAGTAAAAGACATTTTAATGCTCAATGGGCAGAAGGAGCTTATCTATGCATGAGACTTATGAGGCCAAACATTAAGCTGATCCATGTTAATACTGTCTGCATTAAAAACATGTTCAGGGTTTAAGTACTCAAGCTGTGAGAGACATAAGAATGGACAGCAATGGGAGATTTAACTTTAGAGTAACTCCATAGTCCAAAGTCTGTTTAGACAAAATCACATAATCTAAAATACAACTTTGTAAAAAATATGGCTTAGTATATATTGATAATACTGAAAAGTGAATGAAGTGTGTTTTTGTTTTAATGAAAAAAATAATAATAATCAGTTAGCACCTCCTTTTTAACACATTTGTACCTTGTCAAAATGCCAAATTTAAGTTTTCACTTCCACAGGTTAGTTTGTAAGTATGTTAACAATTATATAATTCTGACTTTTTCACACTTGGTAATTATATTCTTTGCAGTTCACACTTTGAAGAAGAGAAATAATTGACCGCTAAGATGTCAGCCAAATCTATATTCAATTACAAACCATTACTAAGTTTGAGTTTTCGCCAAATGTACTTTTGTCAGGTCAAACTTTTATATTAACCTTTGACAAATTTGAAGCTTTGTCCACTTTGGCAGAAAATGAGAGGCTGCACTCATCAGAATTGGCAGACCAAAAAATATAATATCCCTGGCCAAAGCTGATATTTTTATAATGCTAATTTAAGTATGAATCATAAAACTGGCAGATTTCACGTATCTACAATGAAACCAGGTGCCAAATAAGCACTGGTGAAAATATGTTTGTTGTCCAACCTTTTGAAGATTAATGCTATGACAAAATCCGGGTTGACTCGTATTCTCCAGTCACACTCCTTTCCCGCTGGATAGGGCTGCGGGTAGTTAGGAGACAGGATAACTCCGGATGGGCCGCTGACATTGCCTCCACAGGTTGCTGGATACAGGCAGAAAGAAGAGAAAGACAGGAAGAAATAATAAGCTGATATAAAATGAGAATGACCCTTGACTGACCACATTGATGAGCCCCACTGGCGAAGGCAGCACCTCAGCATTAAATAGTAAGGCAGTGCTTGTAAATTAGCCCTGATGGACAGCTCATATTACATCCACAGGTAGTGACCGGGGTTGAAAGTGTGGAACAGTATCTGGGCTACATGGGAGATTTAGTTACCAAGTATTAGACTAGTGGGGTAATTAACAGTGAACCACCCCTAGCAGTCCTGTTATCGCACAACAAATTAGAGTGCAGAAGGGCAATAACGGGGAAGAGGGAGGGGCATACGGATACAAATGTAATTTAGGGATGTGAAGTCTGGATTTCAAACATAAAAAGCGGTCTTATGGCTTCCATGTGAGCGTGAATGGATTATCAACAGTGAAATAGATATAAACAAAGGCATTAAACTGAACACATACTAGATGGTGCAGTGCTGGATTCTGAAATTCATGACAAAGATACAACAACATGAGTAATGGGTCTGTACATTTGAATTTTTGTGATGCAGTTGGGAGGTTGCAGATGATGAGAAAACAGCTGTTTCATTGCCATGGCAATATGACTTACCAATAGTGAGGAAAAGTTGATCACATAAATTTGTATTAAATTTGGAACTATTTTTGCTACGTGTGTACATTTATATCTTGTGAACAGACAAATAAAAATACATCAATAAATAAAATTGTAGAATCTCGTAGGGCATGGCAGTCTGCGGAACCAGTTATGAAAAACCTAGAAGCCAAATAGAAAAGTTTAGAGGAATAAATATGACTAATTTAAGTTAGGAGGTAGAAAATAAATAGTAGCAGTGCAAAAGAAGCGTGGAGTGGGATGTGGAAGCTCACTGAGCCACACGCAGCAGGTGGGCTGAATGGTGGTGATAATAGGAGGAAAGAGTGCAAACAATTTTGATATTTTCCATCTGATTTAATAAAGGAATCTGCTGTTTCCTGGAGCGCAGCTAACTCACTTTCAGCCTCTCACTCTCATATCCTTGTCCTTTATTTCAACTAATTGCAGAGTAAGAAGTCCACACAATTTGTACTGAGCAACTGTAAATATGAATTCTCAGGTAGTGAAGTAAGAAATGTTAAAGCAAGAGCATCACTTTTTTTTTTTGACAGCTTTGCCAACAAACAAGGCGTACAGTGCACTATGTAACTTTTTTGGTGGAGAATACTCCAAATGACTACAAAGGCTACAGCACTTCATAATGCACTTTTTAAATAACTGAAAGTCTTAAGTACCTATGCACGTGGGTGGGTCAGGCTTCCAGTAGAAGCGGTTGTCCATGCGCACACATGTGATGGTGTCTTGTCCGTGGAGTTGATATCCAGGGTCACACTGGAAGGTCATGCTGTCTCCAGGCTCTCGGCTGTCTCCATATCGAGAGCCGTTCACCGGGACGCCTGGGTCATTACAGGTGGTGGCTGTGTTGGCTGCAGAGAACATTTCACAAGTTATTAACATTATTTAAACAGAATTCATTTCATTTTTACTGCAGTGCTGAAGTCATTTATTATACAACATCTGTTCAGTCCATCGACATGCAGTGACACTATTTTGGATTTTTGTTTTTGTAAAATTTTCTAAAATGAAATTGTTTGTATAAAAAACAGTTTTTAGTTAAGATATATAAATGGTGGCAAAAATGGACATACAAATAAAGGGGGTTGGGACTTAATTACATCATCCTATTCCCTTCCAATGAATCCCTAAATGCCTTTAGATAAACATGCTGTGTCTATAAATATTCCTTGTGCTTTAGTATATCAAGGGAAATGTAAAGAGGCATTACCATAGTAATGGAATAATGCTGCTTTCATTACTATGTTAGCTGCAGCAAATACGTACTGTCATTAATGTGGGCTGTGCTGTGTGGGAGTAAAATGGTGATATAGGCCATGTTGTCTAAATATTTATGGACTGATATAAGCACCTTGTTATAAAATCTCCAGTCGACTAACTTCTTGTTCCCTGTGAGTGTGATTGATTTTTGTTGCTACAGTGATTCACAGTGACTGGTTCAAACAGGACAGAGGCAGAGACATTTTAGGGTCCAGTGACTCAAAAAGTAAAGGCTACTCCTGCCACTAAAAAACAGGGTTAACTCTTGAAGCTCCATTCCCTAAAACTACTACTGACCAGCACTTAAAATCTTTAGTTACCTCACCATGCCTTGTTTCTTGCACAAATTTGCCTTATTGTTAATCTGTTACAGTAATGTAGGTCTAATGGTTGAATAGTGATTGCATTTACAAGAAAGACAAATAGTAAGCATTTGGCCATTTACCAGAAGATCACCAGTTCTTTTCCAAATAGAATATAGCATATGCCTTGGTGGTAGCAGCTCCCTACGTGTTAAAAGCTTTCTAATGTTAGGTTTCGGATGTTGCATCAATACTTACTAGAGAACTGTATAGAGAAGCCTTGCTTGCTGATGAAATAGTCTGAGTCAAACTGCAGTGTGAGGATGTTGAATGTGGAGTGGATGTCTTCAGGTAAGGCAGGACCAGACCACTCTTTCAACAGAATGCCTCCATCGGATGTTCCAGAGGGGCCATCCCACACTCTCAGGATGTCATGTCCAATTTCAGTGTCAAAGACAATAAAATGAAGACTGACAAGAAAGCGCCAGAGAGAGAGAAAGAAAAAAAAACAAAAACACATTTTACAAGTTTTATTTAAAGGGGTTTTGTTTAAACTCCACCCATTGCCACACATCTGGAGGAATAAAGAAAAGAGAACGGGGACGTTGCATCTAATTGACCCCAAAATCTGAGAGCAAAAACATCTGATATTAAAATGCAGTGGCTGACTGTTTTGACTGCAAACCAGCAAATTATCCAGTTTGCCAAAATGGCAAAAAATAACAAATGAACAAGATTTTAAATACATTTTGTGTTTAGCTCAAGTTTAAAACAAAGCAGAGTAACAAGAGAACAAACTGAAGCTAAAGTTACAGTGAAACTCAACGCTCACAAACCTGACATAAGGATTAATGTGGTATGATCTCCAACACAGCAGTGGGTTTGACAGAGCACATTTATCAATAAGTAATGAAAAAATAACACCTGACACTCTTGTATGTACACACTCCATAAATTCACCACAAAGAATAAATTAAGGTTTTTGATTCAACAATTCTGTAATCCAACTTGCTGTTATATGCGCATTGATAAATTTGAAACATTAAACATTAAGTCATTCTTATAGTTTTGTACATTGGCCAATGCACAGTAGGTGAGCAGGTGGAGAGGGCCATGCATCATAATGAGTACCTGATGGTCTTGCCTGTGTCCGCCTCTATAGTCCAGGTACAGTGCAGATTGTTGTCATAGGGGGCAGGGTATCCCGGGGAGAGGATGCGACCAGACACTGCGCCTGTGATGTGACCCCCACACTCAGCTACAAGGACACAACATAGGGCATTAGCTGCACAGTATGGAGCTATAACATCAGTGCAAAATCCTATACTACAACCACAAGTGATGGGAGGAATACTTTAAAATGTATTTAGTTACAGATACAAATACTGAACACATGAATTAAAATGTAGTTTGTAATGTATTCTTAGATTTAGATTTGGACAAACTTTATTGATCCACAAGGGAAATTATCTGGACACAGTAGATCATACATCGAAGTATAATAAAAAAAGAGCAACAATATAAATGGTAAAAAATTCAAAATAAGTAACAAAAATAAAAAAAGACTGGTGTCAAAGAAGGCATAATTATATATGTTCTGTTAAATGGTCCAATCAAAGTAATGTATTCTAAACACTTTCACACCATGTTCATATAAATTATAGAAAAAACAGGATTAAAAACAGTTTTATGTTTGTTTCACCTTTTGTTATGTATTTCCTATCATAAATTAGAGAAGGAAAAATCACACATGCACTCACCATAGGAGTTGTGTTTTCTATTTTTCGCAGTATTTCTCACTTTCTCACTGTAGAGTTTGAACCCAAAACTGAGCTATCAAATATCTTAATGTATTCCTCTGATTTTAGGAAAGTAAATGCATTTTGAATACCACCAAATAACTATACCGGAATACAGTTACTCAGAATTAGTTTTCTCTCTGTAAATGTATTTAGATACTTTCCAATGTTGACAACAACCATGTAGGACAAATGCATTAGAGTAAAAGGGAATATATCCACCACCACAACATTGTAAAAAAAAATCACATTACAACATCAGTGAACTGCTCTATAGTTATTAATGGAAGCATACTACAGTTTTAGCATGCAAAAATGTTGTCCAGTGTCCATGAAGTTTGTCATTGTGGTCTTCTGTCATATTTCTATTCTATACACTTTGCTGCTATGTTTTTGGCAAATCACTAAAGGTGTGAAGGTTGAGCTGTAGACTTGCTAAAATGTTCGAATCAATACATCAACCTTGAATTATAAGTCACAGCACTCAGTATCAGAATGCAAGATTAATTTTAAAAGTTACACTGTCAGCGGGATGACATTTTCCATGGAGTGCCATAGAAGACACCTGCAGGTCCTTTTGCATTACAATATTACATTACAACAACACCCACTGTTCTTTAGAACGTTACTGTGAAGAAAAAAAAATGTCTGTGAAAAAATATTAAAAGCAATACTCAAAGTTGTGTGTTTTTCTAAAAGAGCACCAATAATACATAATAAAACTGTTGTTGTTTTACCCAAGGCAATAAGCAAGCTAATGCGAGGGAAAAAAGGAAAATATCAGGCCAAACCACACACAGACAAACATAACAAGGCACACTGGTGTATAATGCTATGTTTGTTTACAGAGAGGTATCTGAACCTTACTCCGCCAATATTAATGTAATGCTTTCGCTTTCTTAGAAATACCAAATCAGTATTACATAACAACTGTGTTATGGCCCATTGACTGTTATTCTGCATAAACTATGATGTCCTGTGAATTGAGAATTGTCAGAATGCGTATTGCTGTCTGTCGGATCAGATAATATGAACAGTCTATGCTTTCATTATTCTACCTATAAGGTACACTTTGTTGTTCCCATAGGAAAAAGGGTTGCATTGCATTGTTGCAAAGGGGTCTGCATTTGACCCCATCTTTCAGTGCCCCTTGAGCAACCTGTCAGGAGTAAGTAAGATTAGTTGGCCAGTGGATCCATTTCCAGATCTTGAGCTAGAAACAGGTCCATGATAGCAAAGTCTGTGATGTTCATTTCTCCTGTCAGGGGTCTCAGTGTTATGTCTGATGAGAGTATAATTCTTAGATGCAACAAAAATTAAGTTGGGAAGAATAATCCACAGTTGGGCTGTGAAATGCAGAAAAAAATGGTATAGAAATAGCTGGAGGCACAGAATCTCCTCAATGCACTCTGGTGTAGTGATATGGGACTGAGTGAAGTAGACAGGCAAGACAAACACTTCACCGACACAGACAAAGCAGCAGAAATACAAAGGTAGCTGCAGAGGTAGTTAGCCCTGGGCTCTGTCAGCAAGTATTCTCCAGGATGTTGGCTTACCTGAAATACAGCCGCGACAGAGCGCCTTCAAATTAATGACTGACTACGACACACACGTATGTACACACACCTGTCCACACACTCGCCACACACATGGTTGTCACTAGCAACCACATCAGGCCAGGTTTCTTCTCTGAGAGTTCAGGTGTGCAGCAGAAAAATCTCATAATGTTTGACTGTGAAGTAGGGAAATCCAAACTAGCAGCTGCCAAATGCCCTCATCTCCCAAACAAGGTAGAAGTACTTACAAGGCAAAAGTGCTTTAATTTCTAAATTATGCAAAGCCCGAAAATATTGATGTAGGCTGTAAAAATATGGCCTTTCAAATTAGCAAATTTGCTCAGGGGATTTCCAGGATTTCTGAGAACAATACAAACAAACAAATGTTAGGTTCATGCTTCACTGGTAGCTGCTGTATCAAAATAATGTAATGGCCAACAGCACACACAAAAGCCATAAACAAAAAACACTCTTCACAGCTCTATAACAATAATGGAAAATAAAAATTCTAATTCCATGTACTCAAGCACCTGAATTATTTGGCACACACCTCTTCAACCTAATTATGAGCTGCCAACCTCCAACTAAAGCTAAAGCAGCCGTCTGGCGTGCTTCTGTAGCACTGCCTGGAAAATATTTTTAAATTTCACCATCAGGAAAATGAGCTAGATTTTATGGAAACTCTAAAAGAGTGGTTCTCAAACTGTGGTACAAAAACAAGTGGTCTTGAGTAATCTATTGAGTAGTCAGTCAATTGGTGGTACTCTCTGGTCTTATACATTTAATAGCAGTAATTATATTGATTTTAAATTAAAATTTAGTTAAATACATTAAATGGCCCATATTACAATATTTTCTGATCTATGTTATAAAATTGTCTTCACTGTGTTTTTAAACTCCATACACCTTCACTGGAATCATAATTTCAGCCCTGAAATTGCCCATCTAAAAGTAAAAGGTAGCTGTTAACATGAAAACTACCACTACATGACATCACAAGGTGAAACAGAGCATTTTGAGCTTTGGAGATATAGTCAATTAATAATAATAGATTACTAAAACATGTATGAATAAAACAAAACACAATTCCAGGCATTTGTTTTCGAAGAGGTAATAGCATTCTAAAAGCTCACAAGCGTCAGTTCTGTGTAATATGGCACCTTAAGACTCATAAACCAAATATGTGACATGTTGTATTATCATGTCTACAGAGTACAGTATAGTATAGCTCTGTAAAATCCGATATTATAGTGATATAGCTGTTGACCTGCTTTTCCACAAAATAAATCACGTTAAAAAACAAAGTCTACACTCAAATGGACTTCCCTGGGGCACCTTGCTCGATTCACTACCAAAGAAACAAGAGGGACAATGGGAAGCCTGAAAGCATTTAGTGCCTGTAGCCATAACTGTCACTGTGTCAGAGGGATAAAACTCAATGTGAATAATTCATAACCACAGCCGTGATTTATTCCTGTGTCCTTAAACATACAGCACATGTGTAGAAATACTAACCACTGCACGAGGGGAGAGGCTTGTCCCAGACACGACGGTCTCCACTCAGGCAGGTCAGTGTGCTGCTGCCATGGAGACTGTACCCAGGGTTACAGGCATACAGGACGAATGTGTTGGCATAGTGACCGTCATCCTGGATCTTATATCCGTAGTTTGGGATTCCTGGTTCCTCGCAGCGTACAAGGTCAAAACCTGTACACAGTATTTGTGTAAGAGATAAATGGGTGCAACTCAGTAACTATTGGTAGTTCAGTTTGGTGTTACAGATTAGAAACATATACATAAAAATACACATAAGAAAAAATAATACCACTTTTAGCCAGTTCAGATGTTTACACCAAAGGACTGAGTGTGAAAATGTCTTCTAGGGATATCAATTGGACCCAAGCAGGTATCATTATAACTATTTAAAAAGCTCAAACTAAGCATCCAAGAACTTCAGAAAATCTGTCTCGTGAGGAGTTCCTACAAGCTGTCGATCCATCCAACACATCCTTGAATCACATCACTTAAACAGATGCACTTCACTTCTGTCTACCTCTTTAGTTAATGTCTGCAGCAGCTGTGTGAATTCTTATGCCCCTCTTAAGAACGCCTTTAAGAACGCCTTTAAGCTTTAGTCTCTGACCCTTCCTAACACACCACTGGAAGCTTCTTCAGTGCTCCTGCTTGTCTCCAGTTCCCTGTGTCAGCTCTCTTAAATATACTATATCTATTTATCATTGCATCCACTGTGTCACCTTCTTGCCTTTAATGGTGCTTAGATTAATGACTGTCTAATACTTTATTTGACCAATAGCACATCCATCTTAGTTTCATAAACCATCTCCCCACTTCAGTAGGGCCAACCTGATGCCAGATGTGCCTGCCTCTCACCTTCTTTAATCACAAGCAGATAAATGCTCTTTAAATTGCCACTTTGACTTACACAACAGCTGTCCTCTAAAAATCACTTTCGCAACAAGAGTCATGCATGTATAATGTACAGTTTCATCTTCTCTTTTTGGACCAGATCCAAAATCCCCTTAAAGTCTTTGTTCAATTGGCTCAGGAATTAATTTACCGGCAGATGAATTTTGTCCAGCTGTTTTGAATCAATGCATCACAAAATATTTAAATAGCGTAAATATACATATACATTTGGAACAATTTTACAAAAATAAATTACAGTAATAAGATTTATGCTCATCAAAATCACTTGCTCAAATGATATATTTAACATCACATTTTCATTATTTATTTCAGAAGGTCAAAATAAATTGCAAAAATTACTTACTGAAGCAATTTCAAGAGGTGAAAAAATAAGACCTAAATATATGGCAGTTACTTAAGTGGACTTACTTGTATATGTAAGACGAAAGCCGGTGTCAGTCCCAGATGCATTGCTGTTAAATTCCACCCATAAGTGATTGGACGTACTGTTGATGACAAGGCCAAGCATAACCTCTCGAGTGAAATTACCAAGGAGGCGTGAGGAGCTATTTTCTCCATCATACACCTGCAGGTAAGAGAAAAGAAGAAACAAGCTTAATTATAGGAACATGCATCTTTCTAGTACACTTTGCAACTGGCTTTCCTAATCATGAAGTAATCATTTTCATTTCTGAATGCATTTTGGCCTGCACTTCCCCTCCATAGCAGGCGGGGAGAAGAAATTGGTGCTCAGAAGTAAAAAGCTCCTTATTACCGCACAGCTGGGTTATAAATATGAAGAGCTCATGCTTATAAGTGACAGAATGGGACATGTCCACAGATTGGTAGTGACAGGGAGGCAGGTGGTTCCAACGGCAACCAAAAAAGTCTGAGCCACTGTTCTATCCCTCAGAGTTTTACAAGTCACTGCAGTTGAGAGGAAGAGCTAAGAGAAGCCCTCCATATAATTGGACAATATGCAGAAATACCTTTCAGTACGGCACAATTGTATGTCCTGTGCCCTCTCTCTTCTCTATGCTACATCAGCAGGCATAACACTTATTTAGATTCTTCCATTTTAAACCTCTTTCTGGCAGCTCTCAACACATAATGCTACTATAAAGTTAAAAGGAAATATCTCCTCTTCTTTTGACCTATCCCTCAAAGCTGTTAGAGAAACCTAACAGACACACTGGGCAACAACACTGCAAAACGATAAAAAGATAAATTTCAGCTTGACAACTTACGTAGCCATCAGCCAATAGGCTGATGTCACTTATTAGTCAATTATTAAAATAGTAAAACATAAAATAAGCAACCTATTAAAAATTCTAATTAACTCTACATATATTCTACATATAAAAATAAAGACTGCCACTATTATTTTCATATGTAGAATATTTCAGTTTGTGGTGTGATTGTAATATTTATTATGCCTCTAAATTGGCATTAGTGTTAGCATTGAGATACAGACATCTCTCTTTCTAAACACGGAAGTCTCCTCTGCTAAAGTAGTAATTTTATTGTGTACTTTTTGACATGTTGTCAGTGACATCCACCCGCAGCTCCATGTTCACTGCCTTATCTTTAAATATTTATTCATTTTAGCATGACTCGGCAAAAACGACCTAGAGAAAAGTGAACAGGAAGTAGGGCACTAACAGAGAGGTTACTGGACGCCATGGTGCAAAAAGCCTATTATAGTAGGCTGATGCAGAGGACAAGTAGCTAGACACAAGGAGAAATTGCTAAATCAACACAGAAAATCCCATTATCGCTGATCTCACCAATACCTATGGTCCCTGTCAAATAAAACATATTGAGTACTTGAATAAAAGGCTCAGATATACAAAACTACAAGCCTAATACTGAAAATATATTTAATGTATGCTTATAAAACATTCCCTTTGTTTGAGATTACTCTGGTGACTAAATGTACCACAGTTGTGCATCTCTCTGTGCGGGCCCTATTTTCTGTGTTACAGTTAAAGTCCGTGTGGCTAATGAAAAGTCCTGCAGCTCATAAATCAACATGTCACCATCTGCCAGCTGCCCCCAGTGTCTGTCTATTTGACTCTGTTTCTCCAAGAGCTCCTCTGCCACCACCTCCATTTTCTCACAATCACCAGTTTCTTTCTCTGCTTCTTTATTTTCCTTAGGGGCACAGTCTATTTGCGCAAATTTGGTCAAGCAATGTATTAGAGGATATTTTTACACGACTTGAACTGGGCAAGCTCCTATGTGCCACTATGAAAACGTAGCCAGGAGCAAAAGGAATTATAATGCTCATATGTTAGCCCACAGCCGGCTGCAAATGTCAAACAAATGCTTTGTGCTGGGAGTGGGGCGGCAGTAACAGGCGTTTGCTGCATTAGCTGGGAGAGTGGCATACTAATTGGTGGTCTAAGTGGCACTTGGGGCATTCTATAAGAAAGCCTACACTAGCAAAATATTCTACTTTCCTCAGTGCTTTTGACTAATTTACCTTATAACCTGGCCAACACTGCTCCATCACAACATGGCATTTACTAAACTAATTTGATTTATTTTCTGCATCATCCATCAATTCACTTTGCACTTTAAATAATAGATACCTGTAAAGTGTCAATTGGTTTGTATTCTTCACTTAAATGTTTTTTTTTTACTCTAGGGGTTACTCATATATCCCAGACTAAAAAAAACACATTAATTACATTTGTAGCACTAAAGGTTGACCTGATTTATGTTTGCCAAAATGAAAACAAAAATTGTGTGTCACAAGATGTCATTCTTTTGATTGCTGTTGTTTACCTGTACTGACTTCATTAACTTTTATGATCTCCAGTCATTCTCTCAAATGTCTTTGTCTGTCCCTGTTCTATTATGATAAGGAATCAATTTATTGCAGTAAATACTGTCAAATACCCCACACAGCACATAATCCTGTTTTTGAGAAAGAGCAAATATCTTCCTCTCTCACCCAGCTGCGGCTGCAGTGGCACGATTTTGTTCAATTATACAGAGAATGGCAGAATATGAGACTGTGTAGAAAGGTGTGTCTACTTCATCTGCTCCAGTGTGAACTCACTGAATGTGACTGCATGAATAGATATACTTAAAAAGGTAAGTGTTTTTTTTTGTTTTGTTTTTTTCATACAAAGATTAGCTAAATATAGTGCATCTAGATTAAAAAGATATTTGAATTTTATGGAAACAACACATTTTCAAATCATGGCTACACCTGACAAATAAATATATTTTTTCTTTAAGAGTTAAATATTATTATTAGTCCCCAGTAGAAACATTCGTCCATTGCATAGTTGTACACCACAAAATGACTTGCCCACAGATCTAATACTGTTAATGCACATACATGTAAATGCTGAGGAAGCACTAACACAGTATGTGGCAGGAGTAGCTTCATGAATGTAGAGTGTCTTATATACCTGCTATGACTGACACATTTGGGCACATGGGCCATAGACAAAGGAGACTTGTCTTTGAGACAAGGGAGCACTGGGACAACTGTACATCCAGTGTTTAATACCCTAGGTAGGAACTTTGATGATTGTACATCATGTGAATCACATACTTTATCTTTTACAGTCTCTATGACTTCAGACTGAAGAGAGATTTGAACAGCCCTATGAGACTGTGCTCTGTATCCATCAATGGCATTAGGGACAAGAGGTCTATAATAACAGACTAAAGAGACGTTTAAGTACCAGTGATGCCAATACAACAAATACAATATGAACAGTACTTTAAACAGTGACTAACACTGTAACAGAATATAGAGCCATTTTTGAAAAAGCTGCTAATAAATACAAGCACAACCATATGATGTGACCTAGATCTGCAGTATATAGGAAATTTAACATAAACCATGGAATAAATTATTTTTAGTTCAGTTCTGTGTCTGTTTATTACATCAGAATTTTACCAATGGGGAAAAGAACCAAACATACTGGTCTTCTGGGAACAAGAGTGTAATTTAGTCATTTGGCTGTTATAATTAACTTGAATGACTAAATACAGTTCACTACAGTATTTAGTGAAGGTCAACCAGGAACGGGCTTTTGTTTTTCCAATCTATGGCAACACTATTACCAAGCATTTGCTCTAATAGGGATGCCCTGATTTGTTTCTATGGCAGAAAAAAGCTTAGGATCAAACTGTAATCATAATGCACGGTACAGTTCCTTGTCTGAACAATAGCATGTTCCTCTATGATTTATTTAATTTCACCTTTATTTAACCTGGAGGACCCACTGACATTCAGAATCTCTTTTTCAAGAGAGACTTGGCCAAGGTAGCAGCCTCCACAATTACCACCTGGGTGATAAATACCCCTGCCTACAAGATGATTTATGTCAAGAAAATGCTGCTCTCAGCAAATTTATATGTTGCATGTGTGCCATATGTAACTCTGGTCTTTCTGGAAAATTGGCAGCACCATAGCAAATTACGCCCATGTCGCAGCTAATCAATGCTAACATCATCATTGTAAGCTTTTATGGGGTTGTGCATTATTCCACAGCCTAACCGTTCAGCCTAATGGACTACACAGAGTTGGTTAGCGGGTTAACATAGGCCCAATTGATTCCTGTGTAGCGACTTTGGTGTATCTGTTCAGTTGTGGAGGGGCTGCTGCAGCAGGAATGCCATCAAAACTAATAGGGAACATGGGTAATAATCCCCTGCAGGGATTTTACTGCTTCCACCACAATGTTTAACACCTGCTAACAGCTGTAGGGAGCAATCTCCCCACATATATGCTTATGGCTATTTTACTATGTTCAGTTTAATTAGACATTTGCTCACTTTATGTGAACATATACTGTAGTACTGGAACTTCAACTTTTGAAGAAAACTGGTCATTTTCTAGAAACACAGGCCAAGAAAGAATAAAAATGTGCATATTGCAGATGAGTGTGTGATCCCTCAGTTGTCAAGGTAAAATGTCAAAGCAAAAGAAGGCTGAATTCTGTACACTGGACAATACAATTTTTGACGAGTTACCAAAATTCAACCTCCTTTTGCTACATATTGTGTATAGTGCATACAATCTCATAGAAACACTGTGCTGCTATTACTAATTAAATGAGTAACAAATTTGCACATACCTTGAGAAAGTCTCCATTCTGCAGAGAGAAGCTCTCTGCTCTCAGCCTGATTCCTTTGCCCTTTTCTGTGGTGATGCGGTAGATACACTCGTGGTTGTTATCGTAGTTGGATGGGAAGTTGGGAGAGAGAAGTACTCCCTCCAGTCCCACTGAAGAGGCTCCACATTCGGCTACAGAACAGATAATAGTGGATTTGATAGTGAGATGGCTAAGCACACCACTGGATGGGTATGAGAATAATATATAGGATAAGATATAATGCCCTGCAAATGTCAAAGCTATACATTCAAATACATTACAAAACTATGAATAAAAGCTGCTCTGAATTAGCATGTTAAAATGTGTGTGGTTGAAATTATACAGGATTATCTGGCTGATGCAGCACCCATTACCAAATTCAAATACAGGGTGCAAATAGGGTTTTGTCACATGTAAATGAAGAGGCAAGAAGAAAACGGCAAGCAGGCTTTAAAGTTCCACTAAGAAGGACCATTATTGTGGAAGCAGCAGAGGTAATGAGACAGCATTTGGAGAACTACAGCATAGGGTGCGTTCAGGTTCAGATGAAAATTGTTTTTGTTAAATGCACAAAGAAGGATTATGCTGCATTAAGGAGCTGATGCATATCAATAGAAAGACACTCTAAGACACTCCATCAGTTAATGAAAAAATGTTGTGAGAAGGATCATAATAGGAATAGTAAAGGGGAGAAAAACAACAAGGTTAACCAAGATGGAACAGGGCTGACAGGGGTCTTTTGAAAATTTGTAGAGAAAATTAGAAAGGAGAGTAACAAAACACAAAAGACACAACAAAAGGACTTTTTATATGAGCTTTTAACCTAATTATCCACCTGAGGACTATATAAAAAGGGGGGGGGGGGTAGACAATAAGCCAAGCTGAAGACAAGACTGTTTGGAATGGGATAAGGGGCACCATTATTATCCTTCAGGAGGAGGATCTGCTATAACAGCATTTTCTACATTGTCTGGAGACTAAAGAGAAACCCTTGGCAAAATCTATGCAAATTAAATAAAAACATTTTAACTAAAACCTACCAAATTATATATTAAATTATATAAAAATATGTATTCATTCTCCTATACTTTTTCCATTAGAAGATAAATGTGCCACATTGGGAAACATCATGCACAATAGCCAATTATGAACAGGGTATACAGCACCATGGAGTCTTAAGGGCCGTTCACACCAAAGCGTCAAAAAACGCCTTGACCCCTCTATTTGGACGCCTTTGCATTTGAGTTTAGACGCCCCCGACGTGCGTCTTTGACGCCGTAGACGAACGGGACAAAAATACTTGACGCGCGTCCGTTGCCCTGGAAACAAGAGCCCGGTCCCGGTCTTTTCCCGAAACAATGTCAGACCAGACTGACAGAGTGTTTTATGACATAAAACATCAGCGGAGGAGATCGGGTCGACGACTGGGGCGGATATATATTTATACTCCGCTAATGACACTGGATCACTCCCGGTCTAGTCCTGGTCTAATCACGGTCTAGTCCCGGTCTAGTCGTGGTTTAGTCTCGGTCTATTCAGGGTCTAGTCCTTGTTTACTCCCGGTCTAGTCTAGGTCCAGTCCTTGTTTAGTCCCGGTCTAGTCCTTGCTTAGTCCTGGTCCGGTCCTGGTTTAGTCCTCGCGATCGGCTCGGTGATTGTGGCGTATATATGTATTCTCCGCTCACGTTTGTGGTTCTCGCTCTGGTTCTCGGGTCTTGCTTCCTGACAATAACGTCGCTGCATCACTGGATACTCGTCCCTGATTGGTTGACGCGGCGTGTCTGACGGGAAAAGTTCAGCATTTTCAGCTTCTTGACGCTGACGCCTTGGACGCGCGTCTTGGCCGCTGACGCCAAAACGCTCAAGACGCTCAAGACGTGCCGCGCTGACGCCGAAGATGCGCCGCAAAAACGCAGGATGCTCTAGTCGCGCGTCCACATAGACTTTACATTGAAAGTGGACACTTTGACGCCTTGGTGTGAACGGCCCTTGAGAATTTAAGCAGACTTGGAAACTCCACTCATATGCATTTTGGCTGTCGTATCCCTCAAACCTATAATCCCTATTAATTCCAATTAATTTCAATTTGATTACCTATAATTCTGTTGATGGACAGCCTTACCTATACATCTTGGCAAGGTGTTGCTCCAGACTCGCCGTCCCCCACCCAGACAGGTAATGGTACTGTCCCCCTCTAGTCTGTAACCTTGGAAACAGGAGAATGCCAAAGCATCGCCAACCCGAAACCTAAAGCCCATTCTACGACTGAAGGCAGGCACCCCAGGGTCCTCACATGGCTCCAGATCATACTCTAAACAATAACACAATTAAAATAAATGCTTAACATTGTGTAAATTAATCACTGAAAATATATAATTAGCCCTTTCAAAATTTTACCTGAGAATGTGATGTTAAAGCCTTCATAACTCATGGAAAAGTCAGAAATGAATCGTAGTTGAGTGGTGAAGTTCCCGTACAGCCCAGCTTTGACACCAGGTGGCAGTACTGAGCCAGTGAGTCGTGCAACTGGAACCAGAAAATTTCCATCTTCCGTGATGGACAGGTAGTCATGATTCTCCTCCAGATGGAAGGTGTGGAAAACCAGATGGACCCCTATAGAAAAATGCATATATGTATGTATGTTCTGAAACTGCCACATGCAATGATTTAAGAAAATATGCTTACCCTTGCCATGGGACACCTCAATTGTCCAGGTGCAGTTTAGAGAGTTTGGGTAAAAGTCAGGAAAGCCAGGTGACAGGATTGTGCCTGTTTTGCCATAGACATATCCTCCACAAAGTGCTACACAGAACATAACAAAAGAAACAAATATCTGTTAATATACAAATTATAGAATGAAATCATATAAGAGGCAGGAATTAAGCACCCAAATACCTCTTTTCAACAAATGCAAGCAAAACTCATAGGGCCAGTCAATGGTTGGAGCATTAAATGAAAGCACCAACATTGGTTTGTAAGAGCTAACAAAGACTGACACAAAATGAGTCATTTATCACAGTTTTACTCATAAAATTGTGTGAAATTCAAAAATTTTAAAAACACATTATGGCTCTTGATATTGCAGAAGATATAGGGTATGGTTAAGTCTTATTCTAAAACGTGCTATGATACCAGAGCCAGCAGAAGTCTGAGGAGAGCTGTTCTACTTCTCTGACTTTTCTTGCCCTTCCCCAGGATTTAACTCTCAAACACTGACACTGTCTGACTCCGTGACCCCTGTGCACAGAGCTGTGTGTCTGGTGTGCATAATGTTTCTAAAGACACTGCATGTGGACCTAAATGAACTCTGAGAAAGAACTCCTGCTAAAGGAGGAGGAGTACGCTATTAGTACACAGGTGACTAGAATCCCTGCAACTATGGGCTTTAAAGGTGCACTAAGAAACTTTTCTGGTCACCTCCTGTTCTTGACAGAGATGTTAATACTCTTAAGACTTATCCCATTGGCACAGTTTGCTTGGGGCCACCTGATGGACAACTATCAAAAGAACGGTGCTAAAGGAGCATCAGCATCGATCAATGCTCAAATATAATGCAAAACAAATGCACATGCAAATAAATCAAAGCACACAGCTGATCCTCACGTGGGCTGATGAACGCTTGAGTTTCACTTTTGTTTTCTCCGTACATGTTGCATGCAAAGGCAATGGTGCGGAGCATGTGCTCTTTGATAAATAACTTTGGCAGCTCTTTGTAGATGCTTAATACTGTTAATAAGTCATGAACAACAAACATGAGTGTGACCATTAATAAGCTGCTTACAAGTTTTATAAATCACTACACAGTGCTAACTACATTCAAACTTGTTTAAAACAGCTACGCAAACATGACCAGGCGTGGGGGGTCTGCTCCAGGCATACACATTGAAGAGCTTAGCACCCTTTAGTTCCTCCAGCCAAAAATGCCTGTGTAGCGGTCCTATGGAAACTAGGCTTTACAGTGTTCCACAGTACTGGTATAGTGCTTAACTTATCTAGCACATGCACATTTTAGTGTGAATGAGATAACCTGGTGGTGCCATGCTTGTCTCCATGGAGATCGATATCTTAAATGTCATACTGGGGAACATTCCAGACAAAGCAAACCCTTCATCAAAAAAAGTTACATAGTGCATCTTTAAGTATCTTAGCAGAATACCCCTGGCAGATGGTGGACGTCATCATGCCATCATGTCTTTAAATTGCATTGTTTTCCAATAGCAATAATAAACAATAATATATTGCATTTTCAGTTTGTTAATGCTATTGAAAAACAATGTGATTTAAAGACATGTTATGCTACAGTCTAAACATATTTTCCAAATTCTGTCAGTAACCCACAATACATCCCCTCAGAGTTACCAAAGATAATGAGACACGTTTGGATCATGAGTCATGTTTGGGATAATTAAGGCTAAATTTGAGTCAAAACATTATTTCAAAGTCCAGTAGTGTGGTTTAGAACAGTAGGGAAACTCAGTAGAAGACTTAGAATCAACTGGTGGGCAAGTCAACCATGAGCAGAAGTACTGGAAAGTATTGGATTAGAATTGCTTACTTCTGCTTTTTAAGTCTAGCTCCTGTTGGGGCTGCAGTCGACATGCTGACAGAAAAACACATTCACCATATCTCTCCTCCTTAACCCTCACTGAGAGAAAGCTGCAAGTGGGCGATTTCACAAGCACACATAGCTTTAATGCACTGGATCAAATTTTCTTTGAATCTGCTTTTAAGGAAATGACCACTGCTCATAAAAAAAAATAAACTACTTCACACCACAAACCAAAAGTGTCTAGTATTTTTCTTTAAAGTGAGCATGTTAAAAAATATTATTATCTATAATTTCAGCATCTTACTATAAACAAAAATATATAGGTAAGCACTGGACAAGGGTAAAGCAAAAAAATGCAAGTTGAAGCTAGGACTGAACAGGCAACTTATGACATTGACTTTGAACGCTTCACCACTGAGCCACCGCGGCCCATACAACCAATCTTTGTGAGTAACTGTTAATATTATTATTATTTTTTTTACTTTACTTTCTGTTCAGAGAAAATTGTACAACCCTTTTATTAAATCAAAGTCCAGCAGTTTGGTCCATTATGTTGTCTTCTTGACCTTCCACGTGTAACAATGTAGTTTTGGCTCAAACAGGGGTTATTGACTGGTGCAAGAAGACAGTGTTCTTTTAATATTGGTCTAGACAAATAAAAAGCAGCTGGTGTCCTGTTTTAAAAGCACCGTGACTTTAGCCAACGGCAGGAGTACAATAAAAATGTTTAGGTGAAATGAAAACTAATTGGCCTGTACGTGCCTGTGGGGGAAAATAGCATATATTTATCTGTTTTCTTTGAGACACATTATTGCCAAAATAATACATTTCAGCTGCTTCATAATACTGTACATTCAACCTAAGAGTGTTTTTATTTATTTTTTTCAAATGTTAACTGTGCCTCAGAGCCTTCGTTTAAATGGGTCTTGAAGAGGTTGTATACTTTTGTTGCTTCTCTTAAGAAAATTCTTTAAATACAGAGCACATCACCGAGTCCAATGTAAAATAATGTCATCTTGCCAACTGTACCATTTTATCACATCACTCCACCTCTGAAGGCATACTGTAGTTCAGTCAAAGCTATTTTCCAAAAGCACTATGTTAAAATAGTGTGCGTTGTAATGTGACAGCTGTCTGGTGAGATGGCATGCTTGGATGAAAATTGAAAATGTCAGAGTGGTCCTTTAAAACTGCTTATGTTATATTGCCTGTCCTGTGACAAGAATTGCCTCTATATGAACTCAATCCAAAGTTGAGACATCCGCCATTCTACCTTTCAAATTGGATTCTTTTCAGTGAGCAAAATGGATGAATGAAATGTTGTGTAGTCGCCTCACGTGTTGAAAAGGCAAATACGAGAGCACTAAGTCTGTATTTCAACTGTTATTTGACCAGCATATCTTCGCAAAGTACAATCACTTTTATAATGATCCCGGACAATATACTTGGACTAGCATTATGTTTATGTTATACATTGTACAAGTAAATCTACTGATAATAAATTAAATAATAAAAATATAAACTGCAATATCTAAATATCCAGCCAGCATTCCCCAGACACAGTTTTTGTCTGTGGAAATGTTAGCTCAGTCTAACTGAGAAATATTAACACACAACGGTACAAAATATTCTCGTTGGCAGCTTTCCTGGACTAAGATTGTGATCCTGAAATGCACAACAGTTGTATATATATTTGTATATTGTATATGTAATTACAACTAACAAACTGACTAATGCTGCCTGTGCTAAGAAACAAAACCAAATATATTAATCTATGGAACAACATAAATCCTTGTAGTTAAAGGTCCAATATTACACAAAACCGACTCTTATAAGCCGTGTTAGAATGTTGCTCCCTCATCAAAACATACCTGTAGTTGTGTTTTGTTTCATTCACACGTTTGAGTTAGCGGTGGGCGATATCTCGATATTTTAAATATATCGAGATATTTTTTAAACTCGATATGAATTCTGACATATCGTATATATCGATATGATGCTTATATTCAATTTAGAGCTCGCCACTTCGCTTGTTTACCTTCTCTCTCGTCGCCTCCGCGCGCCCCCACCTCCCTGATTTTGTTCGCTCGTGTCTCCTTCACTCCTCACTACCGCCGTGAACGAAGAAAGTTGGTGCCAGTGAAAAACTTCAAGCACCACGAACCTTTTCCACCATTTACAGACAAAACCATCAGCAGCACAACCACATGTTCCACCGAGTCGCGTTCTTTAGCATGAAAGAAGCTAAACGAGAAGTGCGCTGTTTATGCAAATGAGCCATGCGCTTAAGTTTCGTTTCTGTAAAATGTAAACACGTGCGCAAAGCTGTATTAAACACATTATTATCGCAAACGGGCTGATGTGGCTCTAGAGTCGTTATGCTTTATATATTATAAAGTTTAGCAATGTAAAGTTTATTTATGCAGAATATTTTAATGAATAATCTGTTGCAGTGTAACTTGTACAATAGTGTTTGGAAACGTTGGGTTTGATCTGCAGTGGATTGTGGGAAACCTCAGAGCTCCTTACTGCTGGAACATGGATCTGTTAAAATAAGAAACATCCTGAGCTTCCTCTGCTGAAGGTGCTCATGGTTCTGGTTCTGGATTGGATAACAGAGTTAATGCAAAGATGATCTTGTGTTGAGTTGTTTTATTTATGAATGAAAAGAAGGAAATATGTGTTATTTCTTAAATTTTACAGTTAAATTATTATTTATGTAATTTGTTTTTTTGTAATCTTAAACATTCCTATATGAACTGCTGACCTCTTACACTTCAATAAAAAAAGAGACCTTCTGGAATTTGGCTTTTTTTTTTTTTTTTTTTTTTTGCAGTTTTCAATTTTAGGGGGTTATTTTTTCTTGAACAGATATATATCGTATATCGAGATATAGCAAAATATATCGAGATATATTTTTTTATCCATATCACCCAGCCCTAGTTTGAGTTAGCCCTTTATTATTAGTCTCTCTAAATATCCAGAGCTCAAAATGTTCTATGCCACCTTGTAATGTCAGTAAGCAGTATCATTTTCAAGTTACATGTTCACATTACATTAACTACATTTTACCCTTTGTTCAGTAGAAGTTAGTAAATCCAGCACTGATTGGTCAAAATGATTCTAGTGAAGGTGTATGGAATTTAAAAACACTCTGTATTACCACAAGACAACACAAAGTGGAATGAGTGTTTCTGTTTTAATATGAATGAGAGGTTGTTACCATCACAGCTGGGCAGCGCATGGCTCCACTGATGATTCTGCTCACAAACGATTGGCTCCTGGTCACTCAGTGTGTATCCTGCGTCACATGTGAACGAGACTTGAGAGCCAATGGAGAAGCTGCTTCCATGGCGACGTCCATTCACAGGGATGCCAGGGTCAAGACAAGAGTCGGTCTCCATCTTCACACCTGATATTTACCCCAGAACAATTAGCGCTCTTACTATGTGTTACTTGTATATGCTTTATAGTTTTCTTACTTTCATATCGAATGCTGAAGCCTGATGCTGAGCGACTATTGTCCGTGGTAAACAGCAGGAACAAGAAGTTGGAAGTGGAGATCAAGAAGTGTGGTGCTTGGGTTCCGTGGTATTCACCAATCAGAGGGGAGGACGCTGAGGGGCCATCCCGAATTTCTAATGTGTCATAGTTGACCTCAGTTTGAAACCTGGAAACACACACAGGAAAAAATTGCAAAAAAGCATTGGTACGATTTAAAAAGCAAAATATTTTCTATTTAGTGTATTTAATACAATTTTAAATAGAGATACCACATGTGTATTACCTCATATCCTAACACAGCAATTAGAAATAGTAGAACTTATTTAACAGCATCTAGTAAAATCTTTATATGCACTTCAAATTACATTCAAATGAATTGAATTCTGTCTGATCCAATTTTCTTCTCAAGTGCAATTCAAAATCAGCCAACAGAAATATGCTTAAAAAAAAAAAAAGGATTGGGAAATTGCAACATCAAAATGATCAAATATTTATTCATATTAAGCCACATGTTCATTTGGTTTAAAGGGGCATTCTGTGATGTTTACAAAGACCTCTCATCGAAATTGGACACTGTATCCCTTTGACCTGAAATATCGGAGCAAGCTTCATCTCTAGAACAGTTAGTGTTCTGATTAACCACATTTATCCCATAATACCACTTTATCTGAAGAAACATGGTGAGTCAATATAGCATATGTTATCGGCAGACATAAAACTGTAGCTGCCATGTGATTTAGTAACTCTGCTGCTAAAGTGGCCATAGACGCCAAGAGCAGCAGATTTTTTCCATGTTTTTATGCCAATATCAAAGTCAATGATTTCATTTTCCCAGTATAATGCTATTACTTACATATGATTACATTCTATTTAAGATAACAAATCTCATTTAGCATTTATTACATTGAAGATAAACGATCATGTCATCTTTTATTAGATGCAGAACAGAAGACTGCTAAAATCATGTGAAATAAATCTGCTGTTGTAAATAGCCAGTGTACCCAAACAGGAATGTACCCAAGTAAAAATACTGATACTGCAAATTATATAATTTAGAGTTCTTAGCAAAATTATTACTAATACAATAGTAGTATAAACATACAAGAACACAATAACTACTACAGATTGACAGTTACTACATTTGCATCTACTGCTAGTGAATCAGCTTGTACACAACTACTGTCACACAGTGTTGGGGAGTAACGGATTACATGTACCGCCGTTACGTAATCAGAGTACAAATTATGAGTAACTGTATTCCGTTACAGTTACTGTTTCAATGAGTGGTAATTGGATTACAGTTACTTTGCTGAAATAAGTGGATTACAAGGCGGTATTTTCCTGTTTTCACATTTTGTGCTACATCCCATTTATTTATTTTTTTATTTCAGTAATTCCACTCATTGCCGGAAACCCAAACAGAACGCGCGCAATAAGACCGATGTAAACGTCACGTTAAAGTTGGCGGTGTCAGTCACACAGTGGAAGCAGCAGTGCATTGGTAAAAACGCATTTGTGTCTTGGAAATTCTTCTCCCGATGTGAGATATATATATATATATATATATATATATATATATATATATATATATATATATATATATATATATATATATATATATATATATATATATAATAACTAATATAAAATCGCCTACAACTTAAATGTGAAACTGGAGCTACTGGCACTAGTGAAAACAACCTGCATAGACTCATAATATCTGCACTACTGTCCTATAGTGACCTGCGACATGAGTGGACGTGCACACAAACACACACAAACACACACCTTCATCATCGTCAACCTGACAACCCGCGGACCACGTCTCCTTCCGTCGTTACAGCGCGGACACCGCCGTCTCGTGCGCCGGGTGTGGAACGTGTTTTCTTGCGTAAACCGCGCTTCCTCCTGTGCGCCTCTAAACCAGAACTAACACCAGGACTAAACCAGGACTAATCCAGGACTAAACCAGGACTAAACCAGGACTAAAGCAGGACTGAACCAGGTTTAAACTAGGACTAAACCACGACTAAACCAGAACTAAAGACCTGGTCTAGACCTGGTCTAAACCAAGTCTAAAATCAGGAGTAAACCAGGTCTAAAAATCAGGACTAAACCAGGACTAAACCAGGTCTAAACAACATGACACCTAACAGTAGGTTGACATAATTTAAGGTGATCTCATATAAAAAATAACTTCTCTATCAATAATATTTTAATATGGTGAAGGAAAGACTGATCTTGTTACTGTTTTTTAACAGACAAAACCTCTTATATTAAGATGTCGTGGTCTTTGTTTCTCTACAGCAAACAGTTGCTTATTCATGGAGACTTGGGCTCAGACATTTGAAGACAACAAACAAGAATTTTCAGGATGTGGTTGCTAAATTCATGTCGTTTAAAAAACATGACAATATCAAGTAATCCAAAGTAATCAGATTACGTTACTCACTTTAAGTGATTTAATGGATTACGTTACAAACTACATTTTGGGGTGTGTAATCTGTAATCTGTAGGGGATTACATTTTAAAAGTAACCTTCCCAACACTGCTGTCACAACATAAATTGCAAACACTTGTATATAATATATAATTTGCTAATATGAATATTTCAGTCCAGCTCCCATAAAGTACTAATGCAGAACCTATACATGACTGTAAATCACTAGAGTAAAAGTATCTTGTTAATTCCCATCCTGACGAAACCATATACTGTATTCTGCACAGCAAGCCTTTACATTGTCATAAGGTACAATGGTAAGACATAATTACTAATTAGGCAGAATGCCAAAAGTATTGAAAGTATTGCCTTGCTGGCGATTTCAAAAGCTAAATGAACAATTAAACTGTACTCAGCACAGGACACTTTCATGCAATGCTAATGCTGAATCCGACAAATGACATGCCTCAAAAGGGAAGATAACTTGCCCTTTTCATCAGTCCCAAAAAGATAAATTTCTGCTGTAGCAATTTCAAGCTACACTGCATCTATTTGTGGCTCGTTTCCAGCAAAAAGCCACGAAACGCCGGCATTAATCATTAACCGCAGCAGCCACGTGCATTTATCACAGTAACTTACAGAAAAATATGCCAACTATGAGATTAATAACTTTGAAATGATGGACTTGTTTATTAACCTAGTACTTGGCTATATACTCTGTGTGCTCTATCTAACTCAAATGTAATTATGGGAGGAATGATGAGAAAACCTTCAATTTGACTCAAAATAATTCATCCCCCGGACAAATTTTGAGGCGAAGTGATTTTTTTTTCTACTTAAATCGATCTGGTCACAGGAAATGACACAGCACAGAGAAATAAGGCAATGCGGCAAAATTGTGCTGTACAAGATTTCTCGTGACATAATGACTCCTTTTTCACATTTTAAAACTAATTGTTTTTAAATTAGTTATAGATTTTTAAAACATCTTCAATAGATGTTTTGGACCACTCATCTCCATATATAGGTGTCGGATACAGAGGCCATATACACCCCGCCATAATCCCCCTATAACAATTAACTTCCTCAACACACAACACAGTTTGTAATAAATGTGTGCATAGCCATACTTGATTTTTTGATCTTGGATTTCATGTACAAACAATTATATTTTTATTAGACTGCAGCAGCTCTTTCAAATTTAGATATATTTTGAGCTCTTACAGGAAAAAATGTAATTACTCAGCCTTGACACTCATACAATTTTGCAACTCACTGCTAAAATTCTGAATGTTGTGATGTCATCTGCATAACCTTTGTTCTGTTTTCTGCACAAATTCATAATGCTGATAAGTGGAGTCATTGTCCATGGCCTTAATATAAATAGTTTGTTACCTAACTGCTAACTCTATTGCATATACTCTATTGAGGCACATGCTACATACAGTATTACACCCAAATCTCCTACCTGTCAAAGTGGATTTTCACAGCATGGTCAGGCTGTCCCTCAATCACCCACTGACAGTTAAGGGAGTCCCTGTAGAAGGAAGGCCATCCTGGAGACAGCAGCACCCCCGTGGGAGCTGTGAGGTGGCCCCCACAAGGAGCTGGAAGACAAATATAAAAATACAAGAAAGAAAGTTAGTTCAAAAGTACAAGTCATGTATGTGTGGCAGATATTAATCATCTAAATATGCATTTATTCACAGAAATAAAATGTACACCAGCTGCTTTCCCTTGACATTTTTAACTTAGTGTAAATAACTCAATTGTGTCTTTTTTTGCTTAATAATAGTTTTACACTGTTGGGAAAGGATAAAAGGCATTATGTTCTTAAACGACGAAAGTTTCTCTCAGCTAATTTTTTTAAATTGTTATCTTCCCCATTATCGTAGTTTTTGAACATAAACATTTACCTTCAGAAATTTGTCAGTGCCAATTTGATGCATGAGTAAACAGCGCATTTACAAAGGGCCAAAACAATTATAGCAATACCATTTGTGGGGGAAATGGTGTTTATTTATGAAGGAAAGACTCCAAAAATATGACTTTTTAATCTGCTAAAACTGTGTAACAACCCGGAGCTGGTGGTTATAGTAATGTGATTGGAAACCACTATATCTTAATTAAGACTCATAAAGTAAATTTAGCTTGTGTGTCTCGCTGCCGTTCAGACCTCCAGTTGGAGTTTTAGTGCTTCAGGCAATTTACAACATCCTCCTGGTTGTACTATCTACATAAATAAATCCTATCTATTTTTGCCATGTTGATTAGCCTCATAACTCGGTCTTTACTGGGAAAACCTTTTATAATTTACTTTGTGCATAGTTGGGCATCATACATTCATGCGATCAATTTTAGAGAATAATTTAAAAAAACACAGTTTTTCTTGCCTCTCCAATGGGAAAGATATAACGTTTCCCTAGCCCATCTTTAATAAGCAGAAAACCCTATTGATTTTGTCTGCTCCATCAGTGTAATCAAGAAGAAAGGTGAGAGGCATATCCTTAAAAATTGTGTATGTGTTACCTTCACAACGAGGGACAGCAGCAGACCACACTACATTTCCATCCTGAATGATACATGTCACCTGATCTGAGCCCTGAAATGCAGAGTGAGTACAAACATGTAAGGGTCCAGTACTAGAGTTATATGATTTAGTCGACCTTTATACTCTGAAAATCATGTTCAAAGTAAACAACAATCTCCTGTCAAAATCATTACAGAACATGTTCAAAATCCGAAAGAGCCAATATGAGCTCAGAGGCACGACCATGTTTATTAAAAAGAAAATCAGAACAAACATTATGAAATTTTGTATATCTGTTAAAGGAGTGGAGCTCTGGAACAACTGTACAGAAAACCTAAAATTGTGCACCACTTTCTTTCACTTCATAAAGAAGTTTAAATGTTTAACTCTGGGCAGATACATGAAATATGATACTTAGTTTGTGCTGTAGAACTTTGTTGTTCTGTTACTGATTAGTTTGTTTCCTCCTGCTGTATTTATGAAGATGAACTGATGTCAAGATGACGCTCTGACAAAGGAATAAAGGGTAGACATAATAAGCTTAAGCTTCAGCCTGCACCTTTTCGGTCTGTATATGTTAAATATGACTGTTTATGAATTAATGTCAAAATATACCTGTGACCGAAATAAATAAATAAATAATAATAAAAAAAAATATATATATATATATATATATATATATATATATATATATATATATATATATATATAGTATATAACAGGACTATTCCATGTTTAATCCAAGGCTTAACCAGGTGTAAAAGTGTACTACATCAGTTTTAAACAAGAAATTATCAAGAGGAGAAATAGTGGGTAAATTTCTATAATCATCAAACCCACATGCGAAGAATCAACATTAATCAGTCAATTATTTCAAGTACCACCTAAAGGAGCTTGAGTGCCATGAGTGCCACCACAGTTTGAGAAACAATAATGTAGATGATCAATACTTTACCTGTGTCCTTATGAACCCCTGATCACAGCGAAAAGCAACAGAGCTGCCCAGCTGGAACTGGTCTCCATATCTTTGACCATTGACAGGAACGCCTGGATCATGGCACTCATTTTGTCCAAACGCTACAAAAAAGTAAGGAAAACATTTCTAAAACTGTATACCAACTACATTAATTTCAAATTTATTCATAACCTAATAATATAGTCTATATTAATTACATAGGTACATACATTTTTACATGTATGATACAAATATATAGATATGTACTGCATATTCACACAATATGAAAACTGCACTGCTGACGAGTAGTGCTAAACCCAAATAGCTGTCAGCAAATTGATAACTGGACGGAGAGAGATGGGAATGAGATTGGCCTGGTGGATTCAGGCCTGTCATATTTAGTTTAAATTAGGCCTATTCCAGAGATTAACCTGATCCCAGAAAGATCACACCTCCAGTGATTGGACATGTCCCTCAGGTTGATTAGCTGCTGATGCAGAGGAACAGGGAAATAGAAGGGATAAAGAACAAGTGACAGGATGTATAGTCAATTTACAGTAATGTATGTGAAGACTTTACCCATAAAAGTCATGTTGGCATTATCATGATATGTGATATGTATTTATATATATATATATTTTTTTGTTTTGAGTTACAAACTCAAAACTTTGAGTTACAAACTCAAAGTAATGGGTTCAGTGTCACACTATCTCTGTTCATTCAATTCCAATGAGACTTGTGCGATGTGAAAATCGTCTGTCTCCCTCCATTAGGCAACATGCGGAAGTATCTGTGAAGACTTCATGCTTGTGCATGTTAACATGCACACACGGGTCTGCATCACAATCGTGAACTTTGAACTTTTGTCGCTGTTGCCATTATAGTAATAGCAATATTGACTGTATCCTATTTCCCAGGATTTTATGATATTTTATTACATAGTACTAAACTGCTATGAGGACATATGAAGAAAGGCGCTGCTTTTACGACCCTGAGTCGGCTTTTTACTTTTGTTGCAGAGCAGAGTCAGCATTAATCGGTAAATTATTCATGCAAAAACCTTGTAGGCCTACTTCATTTCATACTTGCTTACATATTTTTACCTCTGAAATACATACAATTTCATAACCAATCAAATCTGAAGGAGGCACACAATCTAGTCTGCACTAGAGTGTGAAGTTGCCACTGTCGTGTATCGCCCCCCTGTGTGTCGAGCGCATAATTCAGTCCAATGTATGGACATGTTAGGCTTAATGCTATTGAGTCACACATACTATAACTGGATTAAAACAAAGAAATACTGTAGTTTAAGACAAACTGATGCTACAATCTGTACCAAGTATTTATATTTCAGTTTACTGATTCAGAAAAAAAGACCTTAATTTGTTTGAAAGTGGGGGGAAAAAAATCAATGCTTACACATTTACCATTTGTCTCTGTCAGCTAAATATGGCACAAAATAAGTCCAACATGTTGCATTGCCGTGAAAATGTCCTATGTACAATGTTAAAAATAAACAACATTTTTTTTATATAGCTGACAAGGAATTGATCTGTCAGTGGTTAAAGACTGTGTACAGGTTGATTAATTTATCAAGTGACACTGGTAAAGGAAGTCAAAGAGAAGGTCATGTGGGAGGGACTGTGTTAAACAGTGCACAACACGTGAAAATCACCAAGAATTAATGAGACTGAGTCACGAGGAGCATGCTAAGCTTTGAGCAGGAACAGGGCACTGAACAGGAGAAGGTCCAAGGTTGAATTGGGACAATGTCAGAAAACACTCTCTCACTGTTTAATTATTTACAGTGGAGTTCTGTCCTTCTGACCTTCACCATGTGAGAGGTAAGTCCTTTTATACACGCTGCCTTAGAAAATCAGGGCTGTAATGGCACTGTCAAAGTGACACTATACTACAGACAAAAACATTTGTCAAGTAAACTCAATAACTCAATAAGACTAATATTACAGTAAGATTAATTTACAATTGTATTAATATTTACTTCACCACACCACAGTTTCATACTCAAAGAAACACATTTGAGAGCGATACAGTCTCCATGAAAAGCAATAAATCTAATGCCTAATATTTCAAAGGGGAAAAGATCATTATTGGGCACCCAATAACATTTGGAGAGGTGTAAGAGCTGTCTTGCCATCTTCTGAAAGTCTCCTGAAAGTCATTGTTTCATAATAGAAAAGACAGATAGGGATAGAGTTGTCTTTAAAAATAAATGACCTAACCACCTGCTGTTATCTCAGGTGTGGACAAAAGTATAACATAACCATGACAAAGTTAAGTTGGTCAGCCTTGCCTGACTTTTAACTACGTCATTGTAAAACTTTGGGCAAACATCTGTCATTTTGAGTACTCAACAATAGATAGATAGATGGATACAGGACTACATTCATTTCAAACTATACTCCATACAACTGTACAGCAACTTACCCTAATGTATTAGATAACCTTCTGTCATGTCAATCACTAATCCTCCTTTGCACTGTTTTCCCCTGATGATACTTATACATTCATAAAATTATGCCCTATTTGACACTAGTCTCTTGCTATCTTTGCTACTTATTTTGAATGCATTACTATTTATATTTTTTGCACTTTGTTATTATAATATATTGTGATATGTGAGGTATTGCGTTCAAATAATTTCCCTTGTGGATCAATAAACTCAAAAGGCCACCACACACTCCAGGATTCTTCAGTCTTAAACGATTGTTAATCATGCAACAAAAAGCACACACCACAGACACGAAGAGAACCTTATGAGATTTTAAATCTCCGCTCGCAAAGACTGCTGCAGGATATGGCTGCATACCACAGACTACAAAGATGTGAACACACCTCGCGTCAGCTGTTTCCTGACTAGAGTAAAACCACTCGCTTTGAGCATTCAAAAGATCAGAGCATTGCGCTTCTAGTTTAGATGCAAGTCAAAACTGTGTTATTATTTATGAAATGTGGTACAATACTTCAGATACATGATTTTCAATGCACAGAAGGCTAGCGATAAAGTACACAGGAAGTAGAGTCGCTATTGCTAATCTGCAGCTTCACCCCAATCTGCGCACTGTGTGGATGTAAACAGACACATATGAGGAACTACTCTTGCCTTTTTACTTTTAAAGAAAGCTTCAAACTGGATTAATATTGATGTTTTGTGGACTGGGTGTCGATATTTGCTGCAGAGATGCTACAGTTTAACTTTACATCTTTACGAGAGGTGAGTAATAAAGCCTTCTCATTATTTTTGCTATTTCCTGAGTATGCTGCATCTCTGTGTCCGTCACTCTCTCTGCCTCTGACGCTCTGTTTCACTGGCTGTTACCATAGCGTTAGTGATGTTTAGTGGTTATGATATGACAGAGCAGCTCAGAGTCACACTGACACTACAGACACGAGGAGCGCAGCAGCTTCAAAATCGCACACGAAGACACAGTCAGGTCACGCCTCCCCAAAGCAAATTGCAGCCTAAATCAGGCAAATTCTCCCTTAGTGTGTGGCAGCCTTAAGTCTAAGATAAGAAAATGGATGGATGGATAGATGGATGGATGGATGGATAGATAGAATGGTTCCGTCACATACTTGTATAGCTGATGTTGAATCCTTTTCCTGTATTTGAATGGTCCGACTGAAACTCGAGTCTCATGATATGTCCATTTGAGGCAATTTGTGAAGGGACGTCTTTTCCGGAGAAGGTCCCAAATGTAGTTGGCTCAGACAGACCTATAGCAGAAGAGTGGAGAATGTAGTAAGGACAAATGGAGCATATATTTTATCATCCTCAATTTATAGCACAAGCCTCTACAGATGGGAGGCTGATAGACGGATATAGTTTTGATTTTTCTTTTTCCGCTGTGAGCAATATCAATCAAATGGGTCTTTATTCACTATATGGAAATGTTTTGTAGTTCCAGGCAATCATAAATATATAGTGGCTTGTTTGTGTAGCATAGCAGGTGTCTGCATTAATGGCCCTATATTACACAAAATTGACTCTTGTGAGCTTTTAGCCACGATATAATGTTGTTTTGTTTCATTCTCACATATTTGAGTAACCCTTTATTATTAGCGAGTCTACATCTGCAAAGCATAAAATGCTCTGTTTCACCTAGTGATGTCATGAAGTGGTGGTTTACTTTAGTTTAGCAGAGACTGGCAATTTCAGGGCTATAATTATCCAAAAAGGAGTGCTTCCTGTATTACCACATGACATCACAAGTTGAAACAGAGTGTTTTCTGTTTGAGAGAAGTCAGACTAAATATGCAGGTTTGTGTGTTAAACATGGATGAATGAAACAAAACACAACTCCAGGTATGTTTTTGATGGGGATACAACACTGTAACATAGATTAGAAAATAGCGTAATATGGACCCTTTCTAGACATCTGTGCATTTTTTTTCTTCTGGTTGTACAGTGCATTAGGCTGAAGTGGTTGTAGAGCCCACCTCATTACCATCCCTCCTAAATGTCAGTGTAAATCATGCATTCTTGGTCAATTCCTTCACTATGGTTCTACGACAGGAAGACCATTATCCTTTCAAAGTATCTATCATTCCTCAAGGGACTCCATGATTGCAACAGACAGTCAAAGTCTAGCTGCTATATTAATATACCGTCCAGCAATGAGGCATCACTCGGGCTATTAAAACAGCCACTGTATACCAATTAAATGGTCTGAAGCCATTACAGTCCCCCCACTGGCCGCAGCAGCTGTAACCATGCATCACTTCGTTCTTGTTTCCAGACATTTGTGTCGCAGCATAGGCCTATTTACTGCAACAAATGGCGTTGGACTTTTGTTTAGCAGGATACACTTTGCTCTTGAGGGTGCACTCCCAGTGATCCAACAAACATCCACAGATCTGGCGTGGCTTCACTAAAGCCCTAAAGGGACGGGCACACACAGCACAGCAGGCCAATATCACTGACTTATGGTATATACATAATGCATAAGCAACAGGAAAATCCCATTCCCAAATATGGTAATCAGGTGTGAGAACATGGTATGGTGCAGAATAAATCAAACAGGTGGGAATAAACACATTAGGGGGCAGATGTTGGGCTGTAAATCTGATTGAGCATTTAGGCTTTATGTCAAGTTTGTTCTCCTAAAAAGGTGACTGCAATTCATAGTTGGTATGAACACCAGAAGCATTAAAAAGTTAAAAAGTAGCAATTAATTTACTTACTTTTAACAGCAATAATAATTTTGTATCTCACTGGTATACACTGCAGCACATTATGCTTCACTTAATTTTTTACTTATGGTTTTCTACATATTTTAGTACAAACCTGGGTAAACATAAGCCAAGACAATCTTTTGTTAAACATGCTTTTCAGGCTCATCATTCTATTTTTGTTCTATGCAGAGAATGTGTAAGTTGAAGTATTTCAAAGTAATTTTATCTGCCAGCCACTAAAAGCATCTTTGCATTGTCATAAAGAGAGAGAGCAAATGTAGCCAAAGCAAATGCCTCGATGTTCTTTTATCTAATCTAAAGCTCTAAAAGTCTTAATGCAGAGTCCTCACTCAGATCCTTATAACAGATCAAGTGACAATAGCAGTTACAGACACTTTTGTACTTTCGGGGACTATATCCTTGAGATTTATTACTTGTTTGCTATTGAAGTGAATACTTTTTTTTGTTTTGTTTTTGCTTCATTTTTCGAAAATTTGATAACACACATTCAGCCATAAAAGCAGCAAAAAACATAAATGCCAAGGTCATAAACATCACTGTTGGCAAATTGAAAGCTTTTTTGACAAATAGAAACTGTAATCTTATTGTACAGCGGTGCAGTAGTCATGTTTTATTTCTAGGTTTGCCACCTTCTAAAAGTACACCTGGGTAATAAAATTTGAATGTGAATTTTATTACGAGACAGTTGAGAATATTATATTATCCTATGTACTTGATATTTACAACTGAGACTCTTTGAATGTGGATTTTATTAAAGAGTACTGCTGGAGTAATTGAAAAAAATGGACTGTCAGTGGAAAGCAGACCATAGCCACATTTCACTGAATGAAGAAATGTGTCTTAGCTGCCAGTGGTCACATGAATAATAAGGCAGATTATCAAATGAAAAGAAAATCTAAATACAGTTTCTTAGCAGACAAATTTTGTATTATAATACAAATGACTGACGTGGCTCTAACTTTATAAATTACATGGTTTTGAGATATCCATATTATAGTAACCTCGAAAAAACTTGTTTCATTTGGCATCAATTTTAAACTCAGCAGTAACTACTTGAAACCACACAAGAGTCTAATTTTCTCATCCACTCAATGAAACTTCATCTTTAATGACTAGTCTGCATGCAGCTATAGTGGACAATCAATGACACACAGTATATTACAGTAGGCCATGTGAATCTAATTGTCTGTGTTTTGTATGTGAGGGGAAATTAGTGCATGGACTGTTGAAAGCATTAAAAATGTTACTATCCATCTATCGATTCTTCAGTTTGACAGGCCTGCATTCATCAAAACCACTCCGCATCGTTTTCCACTAACAGACGCAGACCGTATGGGCAAATTCATGATCAAGTATTCCATGAAGTTGCTTGTTTTGCTAAGTCAGGGTAAATTATTCATTAAAATCACAGCGGTAAATGCATTATGCCAGAGAGCCATTTACATAGGGAAAACATGTAAGATGTAATTACCTTCATCTTTGACAACCAGCCAATCAAACTGCGGCTCAAGGTCAAAGTCGGAGAAGAGGAGGTGGATGCGGCTGCCGGGCTCAGAGATGATCAGCCACACACAGTTCAGGTTGTTCCCGTATTCTTCAGGGTAATTCGGAGAGAGAACGGTCCCAGAGGGAGCAGTGAAGTTGAAGAAACATGAGACTAGATGCATGAAGACAGAATAAGATAAGAGTCACACAAGAGTGTAAGGAGGAATTTAAAAAGAAGAAAAGAAAGCACCCAATAAGCTGCGAAGACAAAAGAAAATGTGTTAAGATAAAACAAGATAAGACAATTGTTGTTGTTACTAAGTGATAAAATAAAGGGGACATATTATGCTAAATCCACTTTAAGAGTTTTTAACCACTTTTAGCATGTATGAGTATTAATTCTCCATTCAAGATTCCCCACTACACGCCTACTACTAACTATTTTATTTTCTTTAACAATGATGCATGTAAGACTCAGTAGTATGTCCTGCTGGCATAAACGGCCAAAGAATGTGTTGCTACGGTGATTTGCAGCAATCCATAGGAGGGGCTGACAGCATACAGCACTTTGTTGTGATCACATTTAAGGCAACATACTGTAAACAGGCAGGCGGGTACTAGTAGTTTTAAATCAGTCAGCTGACTTTTTTCTTTTTGAAACACATTTTTTATCAGCATTGGGATTTAAAATGCCAAAATATAGCATTATGATCCACAGGTATTACAACAAAAATCTGCATTTAAACAATATTAATTTTAGCTGCTCCCCATCTGTATTACATATTATTGGCCTATAGAATGTTGTCATGTCATTTGAAACCCATCAGTACAGCAGACAAAAGCACTATATGTCTCCTTTAATTAAATTTTAGTAATTTTAGTACTCATACAAATTGATAATAGTCTAGGTGAATGAAATCCCACTCACAGACACAGCTGGGTTTGTTTCCTGACCACTGGTTGTTGTGTTGACACGTGATGGTCCGTTCCCCCACTAGTTCAAACGCTGACTGGCAGAAAAAGGTCAGCACATCTCCATGTTGAAAGCGATCACCGCTGCGCCGACCGAACGCGGGCACCCCAGGGCGGGCACCCCAGGGTCACCGCAGCCTCCCCGTTCAATCTCTGCAACGTGCACACGTACAAGCAGCAATGATACACTGATAATTACTGACAACATGTGACACCCAGATAAGACACTGCCCCGAGAGCAGGGAGCACTGTGCCTACAGCATACAATTACATGTCTGGATATGATCTGATGTGTTTGAATGGAATATTGTGACTAATTAATCATAGCTCCTGCTGTATAAGTTTGTTTGTAATTTGTTACATTCATGTTTACTCTAATGAGAAAGAACAAAAGGTAAGTTAAACTGTGAATAATCTTTGAATATAATTCACGCATCTTGGACTCACCAGTTTGCCTAAAACATGCATAGATTTAGCAAAAATTTGATGCAAGATGTAACTGCATGATGCAACTTTTGACAACACATTTAAAAGGGCATTATAAAAGACCATTTTTGCAACAAATAAACATCATTCAATATAAATATGAAGGATTAATTTTTTTTTTAACTTAGCCACTGAATAAAACAAGGACAGTTTTTGTTCTAATGTCCAACATGGTGGGAGTCTGTGTGTGTGTGTGAGTCGGGGTGTGTGTGTGTGTTTGTGTGTGTGCGTGCGTGTGTGTGCACGTGTTAGCCTGGGTGTATTTTTGAATCACGGCGGCCTACACAGATCTGTTTACAGACTTCAGAAAGGCCCAGATGAGTGGTGAGCCAGTGGGAGGAGAGTGGATTCTAGTTTATGCAACAGCTAATCTCCTCGGACCAGAGCTGGCAGCGCTCCTGATGAGCCTGTCACAAGATTGACAAATGGGAAAAATTGACAAGTCATAGAAGCAGATCAGTGGTAATAAGGCAACGTGGAGGAGGCTGTTTGTTCCCACACTGCAGACGAACCCAAGGAGGGGATTGTATAGCCTCATCTCACAGGTAATTACCATTAGGGTAATTGTAGTGTAATTTAACTTTAATTGCAAACAGCAAAACAATAAGTGCAGGGAAATGTAAGCACACCGATCCTTGCGCTTCTTGTTAACAGACCCACAAGAGGTATCCCAATAGAAAACTTTGGTGGTCTTAAGACTTAGTTATCCTTTTTTCATTAATTTCATGGATTTCTGTCTGGTTGACTACTGAGAAACATTTTTTAAAAAGGATAAAGTAATGTTAAGAGCAAGCCAATGACAGATCATTCCTATTTGCACAATAACTTGTGATGAAGATCCAATGGATGATAGAATTTGACAATTAAATTTGCTATTCTATATCTTATTGGTCAGACAATTGGCATTAGTTTCTACAAAACCCAATTCCTTCCGCAAAAAGCACAACTCCAGCACACTGCACAACATACAGAATCCCTTGGATATCATTCACTCCCCTTAAGGAAATCACTAACGCATACAATTTAGGCAAAAGCCACAGCTTCTATGAGAAGTGGGAAAACCACTCTGTCACCATAACGACCAACACAAATGTGCTCTTGTTCTATCCATTTCACGCAATTCACATTTCTTTATCCATTTATAAGGGCATCAGTGTTTCTGCTGAATGCTGAACTGCTCTGATTTTTCCCATTCACGCCATGGATGTGTCTGACTATGTGACTGCCATACACACACTGCCTTTCTGTAATGCTCCGTAGTGCTGGAGGATGTGGGCAAACACATCCCAAGGAAAGCATTCAGTGACAGAGCAGTTCATAGAGAGGCTAAAAATAAGTCGACTATTAGACACAACACAATACAATACAACTGCTGAGCCTCATGAGCCTGTGTGAAGAGTCTGAGGCCAAAAGATATAGTTGTCACATATCTGAGGAGTGTCAATGAGGAGAACACTGACTTTAACTCACTGGTCAGTCTGACATGTAATGGTACAATGGTACAATACAACATCATTCACTATTTTACTGCTTCTAATGCCACTCACTGTCATTCACTCAGCCAGGAACAAATATCAACATTAAACCCACCTTTCTTTTCGTTAAACATGTCTTTGATTTCAGTGTTATAGTGCAACCCTTTGGAGCAGAAAACTCTTTCTTAACACATTATTATTTATAGTTTAAGTTGTTTGAAGATTTAATATGGTGAGTTCAAATTAAAGTCAATTCACACAAAATGGAAATCTCTTTAAGTACAGACTTATGACCTCTATTAAAATGCGTAAGCAACATCTTCTGTTCTCTGTGACTGAATCAAGTGCAGTTTACAGAGCAAATAAATAGCACACACTTATTAGGCAATATAAGGCTTAATATGAGACATCAAACTAAATTTAAAATGCTATGGTAAATTAGGTTTACAAACAAAATCGTAAAATTTAGCTTAAATAAACACTTATTTCATAGCAACATAGCTCTACGTTCTGAAGAGTTTGAATTAAAAAGTGTGTGCTGTCATTGTCCAAGAGCCCATAAATCTAATATGACCTAGTCTAGACATGCACCGTAGCAGGAATTTTATTTTTAGCTCCAATATGCACATACTAGTACATATATACACAGGTTTCAACTTCCTGTTATATGTTATTTTGAGGACTTTTTCCCACTTCAAATATATAATATTATGTTTTTAACTGTTAATTGGCAACTGTTATATGGCAATGATCTTAATTATTCATCATTCTGGACCCATGGATATTGATACTTTGGAGCGACATCACGCTGCGGGTGTTCTACATGTATCTCAAATGGTCGAATGTTTAGGAGTTACCATGGAGACACAATGCACAAAAAAAATTAAGATTGTCTGAAAACTCAAGAAAAAATACAAAATTTATGTAAACCACACATTTTCAGGAGCCTGTAATCAATACCAGTGTTCATAGTCCTGTTTAGCAGTTTGATTTTCTAAATTTTCAACAAAAAGGTGAGAGTGACCAACTGAAAAACTGTTGGCTAATACTAGCTGTCTTGTGACTGTAATGATATTTGAGAGTTTAACAACATTAATCAGCTTACCTCTTGTAATTCCAACTAAGTCAACTCTTAGCTCAGATTGGTCTAATCAATTTAAAAAAAAATCTTATACAGGCCTACTTTGACTAGGCTAACATAATTCTTCATATGCAATCACCACTGGTCTGCAAAAACATCCATATTCTACTAAAATAGTCATTATCTCAATCCCCCTCCATGACATTGGCTGCACGCTAAACACATGTACCCTGACAGCATTTAAAGTGCAGTGCCCACATGCGTCACGTTCTTCCTATGAGCCTGACAACCTCGGCACTCTCCAGGGGTAACACTGATCAAAGAGGAGGAGAAGGTGATGGTATCCGCGGTGACAGACGCTCAAAGATGTACTCAAGGGCTCTCTCTCTTACTCACATACACACACACGACACACCAGCACTTTGCGAGCTCCTGCTAAAGTGTACAAGCTAACAGTGCATTGTCTTGTTCACGTTTGTTACCAGTCAGTTTAAAAGGTATGCTCTGTCTACTTCACAACACCGATGGACCTCCGCTGAATGAATTTGCTGTCCGTGTGTGTCTAAGTGAACAAAGGAACAGACGCTACTACAAAGAATAAAAGGGACAGCAGATGTCAAGGCAGCAACATAGCATCATCTTGAATAACAAAAATGCATTCTCTTAAACACACTAAAACATAGTCGGTGTAATTGTGAAACCAGTACAGACTGCAGACGCAAATCTGTTCTTACATTTAGCCATGGCAGAACATTGTGTTGTGCAAAGTCAATTTTAAATAAAACAGAACATTACTAAGCTTTCCAGTCTAGACTGGCACACTGGAGCGATATCAGTGTATGGTCCGTGACCCAAGAAAACAGTCAGCAGCATCTCTGGATCAAACCGAAAACTGTGTTGAACCAAGAGCATAACCTTCACAGCCTTCGCTCTCTGGCAGACAATTCAGTGTCCACACACAATCTGTCATTTCCACTGTTTCTTTGTCAATTTTTCATTGTCTAGCAGTAATCACATCAGCTCTCCCCTCTCTGCCCATCGCAAGTGGCCTTGATTTACCAGCATCTGCTAGGAGTTATTTACAGTAATAGAGCATACACATAGAATCTTTTAGTGCTGTGCAAAAGTTGTATTGAGGAGGCCTGTCACAATAACAAATTTTGAAGTGTGATACATAGCTGAAGTAAATGTAGACGATAAACAATAATATTGAAATCAAACCATAAAGCAGAAATTGGTATTCTAAATCAATAATGTAAAAAATATGAGCTGTAATGAATAAATAGCATAATTAAACAATTTAGAAGTTAGTTTATATCTATAATGAGAAAAAGTACCCACGATAAATACTGACCTCAAAAATGACTGTTCCATCTGTCATGTATCGAATGATAAGTTGATGCAGAAACAATTGTGACAGGTCTAGTATTGAGACATAAAAAGACTAAATATATGTGAACAAACTGCGTAAACCTTTGAGCTATTAAAAGAAATAATGTATATAAGGAACAAGAGTCTGAAAAAAGTATGGGAAATACAGTATAAACCCAATTGAAACGAGGCCAGATCTCAACACTTGAGGGGGCAAACCAGTTCTGTATTCCTCCAGTGGTAAACTTTAAAAAGTTGAGAATCATCGAAATAAAGGAGGTTTTTTTAAACTGTATCTATAATTTTGAAAAGGATAGACACTTTAACTTTAATGTGTATTTTTGTATATTTCTACAAGTTGAGCTAGAGGAATAATAAAACCGTATGATCATTGCCCTTTTAAAATTCTTTACGTATGCCTATATATCTGGCAATATATGTCTGTTGCTTTTTATTATAAAAACATCTCTGTACATTTTTCCTCCAAGGACAGACAACAGCACATGCATTTTCCCTTTGAATCTGAATATCTGTTGTCCCTGACTTTCACATCTTATTATCAAAATAATAGCCATTAGTGTATGATCATAGAGCAAAGGGGGGCATTGTACCTTCATAAACAGCCTTGAATCCCGCTGAGCCAATTGTATCGTCTGATTGCAAATGAAGCCACATCTGATTGGACAAGCTGACGATGAGGTCGGGGACACTGGTGCCTGTGAGTCTGTGAAAACATGCCACATTTATATGGTTGTTTTGAATCTGAATGCACTTGACATGATGCAAACATATTTATTGTAGTTTGGTGTAAGATTTTTTTTAAACTTTCTCTATTTTGGCAGCAAGACTTTTCACTAGTTATCCATTGAAATTAATAGAATTCCCACTTAACCAGAAGTACCAACTACAGAACTACAGAAGTGTAAATTAGTAGCAATCAGATTTAACAGTGACTGAGATGACTGACTAATGTTTGCTTAAATAAAGTGATGTATCTAGTAACTGTTAAGTGTTCCTTATAATACAAGGCAAATGCTCTTGCATCTCCCTTATATAGTACCATCCACAGATTATGTACAGTGTGTGTAGTACTGTGATATCATGCTTATATATAAATGAATGTAAGTACTTCAGTAGAGAGAGCTTACACATATAGCACTCGCCGGGTGTCACCGATCTTCCCTCCATCTCCCACTGTCAGAGTGTCATATCCTCTTTCCAGGTCAAACTCCTCAAACGACAGCTTTATCACCTAAAACAATGCAAAGAACACAGCATACATCATAATGACAATACATTCTGAGGATATATGCAACAATATTACCGTATATGTTTTTTGTGAAACAATGGGTTTTACCCCACTATTTTACATCTTTATAGAATTGTATTGAAATCCAGCCTATATTTAGAGTGAAATTAACCATAATGTCATAGTATATTTTTTATAAAGTTAAAACTCATTGACTTCTACCCAGTTGTTCTCATTCAGCATTCCCTTTTCCTTTTTCTTTTCATGGAAGCAGCCATCACTCTTGGTAGTCATATTTGTACTCCCGACTGCACTTGTGCTGGGTGAAATTGATTGTGAAATGCCTTCCTCACCGTTCGCTGTAGTGTATGTAGCCCCATGCATACAGCACTAAAGGATCAATCAAATACACACTTTAAAACACTGCAATACCAGGATTCGGGGTATTATTTGGTGCTTGTCCTTTATTTATTATTGGCTTTAAATCTTCTTTGTGACTGTGAGGACCATGACAAATCTGTGCTGTGTTCAGGTATCCTGGGAGAGAAGAGGGGAGTCTCAATCAATGACCCTGTGGTACGTTCAAGGTCTGAGATGAGACAGGAACACCAAATTTAGCAGAAGGGGATCCATCACTCAGCAGAACACACAATAATAATGGAAAAACTAACCCCAGGTGATAGTGGTGTAAAGCCATTTCAACATGCTCAAATTAGAAATATACAAGATACAAAAACCATCTAGAAAAGAGCACAAGAAGCTTCACCAGAAAAACACATAGACAGATGCCAACAGATTCATATATTATATTTACAATTATTTAAACACTAAATCAATAGGATAAGCCAAAACACACAATACAATGTTAGCACGATTTCACGGTCTAATTAAATAGGTCTCATTAAAAAGGCTAAAAAGCCAAAGGTATTCTGTTTCTGAAAAATTATATGTATGTGAATGTTTCTGATGTTGGTTTTAAAAATACATATTTAATTACAAAAATGTCACAAGATATTCTTTTTACTTTCAATAGCTAAAGTTTGGGATTCTGGATTTTATTGTATTTATTGTTAATACTTATATATACATTTGAAGAAACTTGTGGCAAAGACTAAAATAAAAACAGACAAAAAGGTCATGTGACAGGGCCAATAATAATCTTTGTGGCATTGGTCAGAGAGGTCTCTCTTTGCCCAGCACAGCAGATATATTATTGTAACTCTGTGTTCTCTGGAGCTAAAATGAAATTTCTTTGGGCCCAAGTCAAGAGCCAGTTTAAGATCTGTACTGAGGTGAACCCAGTCAGAGCTGGTGCAGAGCAGGAACAGCTGTCCAGTGAGCACAATGTTCAGCAATTTCCCAGATGAGATTGTGCGCTATGTTGAGATGTTACAGAGCTGCCATGGTGACAGTTTAGGTGCTTTTTCCAATAGATTACTTTTGGTCCTTCAAACCAACAACCCAAACTAATACAACCAGGAGAACTCAGCATGACAGAGCCAGTGTACTGAGCTCTCACCTGGGACACAGTTATTTATAATGCTAGTTCATTATAGAGCTGAGGCACTGGACTGCTCTGACACATAACTACTTATTAAGTTAAGCACTGAGAATTTGACTTTATCTGTAACACAAAAATAAGTATAGAATAGTGCAGCTAATCAAACCACACAATGGCTATTAATATTATATTATGGAAAAGACCAAAAAGCCCAGGAGCAAGAAATGGTAAATGGTCACATTTTTCTATAGCGCTTTTCCACCTTCAAGGCACTCAAAGCGCTTTACAACAAGGAACTCACTCACCCATTCACACACACATTCACACAACAGTGTACGCAGACACTGTGGGCAAGGTGGGTTAAGTGTCTTGCCCAAGGACAGCATTCATCTGTGGGAGCTGGAATCACACCAGCCAACCTGTGGGTCAGTGGATCTGACCACTCAACCTGTGATGTTTATGTTGAGAGCTGGAATCGAACCACCAACCTTCAGATCAGTGGGCGAATGCTCTACCAACTGAGCTACTGCCGAAAGCATAAATCTGATAGACATCTTCAATTGCACAACACCTCAAGACCAGGTGATACCAAGGCTAGCTGGCAGGTCCGTATATTGTCTAAATCCATTTATCTTTGTGTTGTAACACATTTTATTATAGGAGAAAGGCAGTCCTGATTTTAGGATTTTTACTCCCTGACAAATACAAAAGCATAGCGATGTCATGTGACTTCAGATCTGAAAATCTGAATGGGGAGGCGCAATGTCAACACTGGATATAAAATGTTCTGTTGTGCTTTTTGTTTGAAGTTATACCATAATACTTTCTCACCCTTAGACAACTTTGTACCAAAAACTTTTGATGTGAAATAGTATATGCTTTTCTAAAGGGCAGCACAGTTCATCTAACCTACTGAGAAATCTAATTTCTGCAGTTTATAGCTCAGATCTGACCCTATAGGTCAAGACCCACAGCATACGGCCATAGGTTAGAAAAGGACTCAGGACCAAGTGGAGAGCTTCATCTAGTGGATTAACTTTTCCCATGACTACGGACCTTTACATTGACCATAGTGCTGCCTTGATCCTACCTGTCAATCTTTTGCTCCTTCCTCTCTCACCTTGTCATTGGAGACAAGGATACCATCCTGTAGGGGGCAGCATGAGCACTAGATAGGACTGGCTGATTCTCATTCGCTTCACACTCCAAACACTCCAAACCATCCCGGCAAGTGAAGGTTCTGGTTTGATGAACCCAATAGGACAACATAATCCTCAGAAAGCAGACCATGCAGGCCTCAAAATGCACTCTCTGTGGCCTCTGGCTGAAATTGTGTTCATAAAAATAATGAAGAGAATCATGCTTACGCATGGACCACCTGGCACTACTGCAAGTGGCCCCCATGTGCAATGAACTTCAGTCGAATAGGCATTGTGTATGCACTGTAAAAAAGGTAACTCACATAGTTTTACCATACTACATTTGGCAAAAGTGAATTACCACTGTTTAGTAGAACACTGTAAAAAGTGTTTGTGTGTTGATCTGCATGATTGAGGGAGCAAAAAGCCATGGCACAAAGGGGAAATAATCCTTAATTTAATGTAAACCAGTTTGTACAATAAAACTCAAACAATCAACAGTATTAGTACTAGAGCCCGACCGATATGAATTTTGTTGTGGCCGATATGAAACCGATAAAATTGGATTTGGAGCTGCCGATAGCCAATATAATCGTCAATATATTTAGTGATGTAAAAATTCACTGTAAATCGTGACTTGTTTAAAAAAACTTAGGTTTAGCTCTAGTCCCATCTAGACCCATCACTACCAGCTAGTAAAGAAACTACCGCTATTAGCCTTTAGCCATAAATGCTGCGCGCCGCTGTAATTCATTATATGGATAAATGTGGATCATTCACACGTCTATTCACAGCTCATTTACATATTAATGCAGGTCCAGTAACATATATACGGCCAATATAGTCACTTTACAAAAGGGCAATAGAAAACAGCCGGTTTATGTGCGGGAGCTACAGCAGCTAATCGCTAATCAAAACTAGCTTCTAAGTTGATGTATTTGCAACACTCACCGCTCACACAGGCTCCTCCTCATATCACAAGTCTGCACAAATAAATGTCCTTTTAATCCTGACTCAAACCGATTGTCCGTAAAAAGAAAATAATCTCAGTGTTGCGCACGGCTGGGGGTGTAAACAAATACACGCGAGTGAAGTGACCGTGACTCTGGGGGTGTGTTCAGGGACAGTATGGACACAGACAGACAAATGACTCCGCAGATAAATACTGATGTGGAACCACATATTAGGACATTTATCTGTCTGTAAATTGGATTGAATGAACATAATGTAAAGAGTCTAAGCTTTATAACGAGGTATAACATGCCCACGTGAAATATCGGCCCATATTAGCAAGCATATTATCGGCTATCGGCATTATATGTATGTATATGCCTCCAGGAGCCCATATCGGCCAACCGATTTATCGGTCGGGCTCTAATTAGTACCTTAACAGAAATTATATATTTATTTTACACTGCAGAATGCAGTTCTGCCCCTCCTATAGACAGATGAGTGTGCATAAGTACTACAGAATCTTGCATGTAATATAAAGTGACTGGGTGCTGCCTCAGTCTATTCCCAGAGTCTTATTAAAACAAGCGAGGACAGGAGTTAGCTGCTTCATTAGTGTGAGGGCCTAAGCGCTGACTTATTGCCTTTACATGCTAATTGTTTTTTATAGTGTCAAGGGCCACTGTGGGTCTCTGCAGGCTTTAGCCAAAGGACAGAACTGACCCTAGACAGACACCAGACCAACACAGTAAAGGGAATCTAATGATCACTCCACTTAAACATCATTTGTTTGGGATGAAGCAAACAAGGCAAAATGAATGAACTGAAGTAGAGCACTCATAATGATGTGACTTTATGCTGGGTTACAAAATGTATACATACATTCATGGTGACTCTTGTGAGTTGAAGTAGCATGGTTTAGTTATCATTAAGCATTTACTCTAGTGTTTTACAATGGGGCTATTTCAGCTTCATTATCAGCTTTACAACATGAAAGGAAGATTTAATATTGTTATTGTCTTCAATTAAGTCTAGACACCAAAGGACACATTATACTACAATGTGTGTGTTGTATGTCAGTCATTATAGGTTCTGAAATGGGATTCTCCTTATAGGGTTTTCTTTAAAGCTACACAAATATCAAAAACAATATTTATGCCAAAGAAACAAAACTGGAAACATGGCCAGGTAATGCCATATTCTGAGATATTGAAACCGGTCTAAACCAGTATGATATTAGCTCTTCATTTATGTAAAATGTATGCTAAATACAATGTGTCATGCCACCTCCAAAATGACATTTAGCCCCATATTATAGCATGATGTACAGAGACACTCTGTATATTAATATGTATTCACAGTGTATGGGAGAGAGATGATTACAGATCTAATGGAGATGTGTGGTGATGCGTTTCAAGCTGTTCGTTGGTATGTGCGTGAGCAGTCAGCCATGTCTCGGACTCAACAAAATCATCTGCCTTGATATAGATGAATGGAACGGGTAGCAAAGTAAAAAAAGTACTCTACAACATAGTTTTCTCGGTCCCTTCGAGTTAGCAATTAACTTGATGGACAGTCCCACCGCATTTTTCCCAACAAGCTGTCAGACCAATACAAACTCTATTGATTTGCTTGCCTTTATTCTGAAACTAGAATGACAAGCAGACACCACAACCAACAACCAAAGCATTACTCACTGGCTATTTAAACTTGCAAGTAAACAAAGGAACAAAAGGCGTGCACAATTCAGTGAAATCACAGGCCTCTATCTCAATTTTGTATAACATGGTATTGATGAAAGAAGTCATCTGGAATAATAGTCAATCAAAGAGATGGACGAGAGCAAAATGGGTGAGGTAGGGAGAGAGCACTGGTTTCAACTCAATCTGACAAAGGGAACAAAGGGGTTACAAAAGATTACTGGAGTATGATCTGTGCTGGGTTAACTTGGGTTTTATGTTGTAATAATGAATGTAAAGGTGAGTCAAGCTAGAGCACTCTTGGGCTTAAACACTTCTCTAAGATATTTATGTTAACAAAATGGTTCTCCTTGTGATTATTGAAAACAGTCCAAGTGATAGATCTCTATAACTGAGCTGATGGACATGAAACTGCTTTTTATATGTGAGTGATATATTCAAATATGTTGATATGACAAACTAGTATATGAAATGTAATACATTTGGAAATCAATACAAAAATTTGCTTTGTCTAACACAAAATACCATATGACCCTCATTATAATCGCACATAAACATTTAAACGCAAATTAGGTGGAACATCTAAAATAGGTGAGTGGAACATCTAAAATTGAGGATGTCCTAAAATGTACGCATATAAGTGACATTTCATCAACCTGTGAAAGAAATTTAAGGCTGAAAAATTGCAATATTAAAAATTGCTGCAATATTATATTATTTTTTTGCATAATAACAAAAGACAGATCTTACAACTACACAAGAGCAGACTCTTGATGAATGATAATGACTTTGATGGTTAATTTGTTTTGTTAATCCCCATGGCTTTATATTTCAAAGGAACTGAAGTCAATATAAATCACAGTATCCCTGTTGATTTCAGTCACTGTAGGGACACGTATTCACAAATTAAAATTTTCTTTGTTGTTCATAGTATTTATACTTTTTTTTTTTTTTTTGTAAGTTTGCTCCATATAGCATAGAGCTAAATATTTCCTTCACAAGGATGCTGTTCCATTCAAAGTTGAAATCCATGTTACTGGGCCAATATCTGAGATGAAATTTTCCTCTCCATATAATGTTTTTTATCAGAGTTTGAAAAGCTCCTGGCTACATTGTTGTGCTCCTTGGTGCCCTTCTCTGCTCTTAGCAAGGCTCAAACTCCACATTTTAAACAAATCTGCTAAAGTGAAGGCAAAAGAAGAGAAGAGCAGAGAGAGATGTTTTCAGGAAGAGCAGGCTGGTGGAGTGCAGAGCGATAACTATAGAGGAGTAAAGCAGAGAAACCAAAGACAGGAAATGTGACAGGACATGAGACAGATAAGAGCACAAAGAAAGTGCTGATAGAGACTTGAGATCTGGTAGCACTCGCATGTATGAATTATTCATCCTCACACAACTATCACAACTATCATACCACAACAAAACTCTGCGTAAAATCAGAACAGTCCCGAGACCATCAAGTTTGCAGACACTTTTGACATACGTCAAAAGAGCCCTACATGAGTGACATGGTTTGAAGAGCTGCACACAGCGTAGTACTGTTATTGTAATGAGTCAGCAAAAAATATATATTTTGGTGTGTTTGTTACATTTTTGAGTGGTTATCTCACTTACAGCCTGGTTTTCTTAAGGTCACAAATGTATATATAGTCCTAGTTCTGCAGGCCAATTGATCTGATTTGTGTAATTTTAAACATGTATAAAATATTAATTGGAAAATATATATAATTCAAAGGTATGATAATTGTATAACGAAGAGCTTACCTTCCCAGGATCCATTGCAGTGATGACCCACACACAGTGTGCATTATTCTCATACTGAACAGGGTAGTTGGGGGAAGTTATGATGCCTCTAGGTCCCCGTAAGTTACTTCCACATGTCCGTGCTATGGGATAGCAAGAGAAAAAAATGAATCAGAATTTTTGTCAAATTCGTCATACATTGAATCCAATGTTAACACAAAAAATCATTGCACAATACAGATTAAAACTAACTAAAATAGGCATAATTCACTTGGAACCAAATGACCGAAAATGGTTTTGCTGAAAGTCCTGCAGTGGAACAGAGGAAGAAAAAATGCAATTACCCTAAACCACAGGGTATCATTAAGGTAAACAAAAACTGTGAATCGTCAATAGTGAATTTGCTGGACCATTAGTAACCAAGTGTCATCTTCCCCTGCCTACCATTGCATCACACAGTCAAATGAATTTATTCTTCTAGCCCAGCGACTTATCCACAAACAAAAACAGCTGGTGACATTAAACTGATTACTTTGGGCTAATCACATCAGGTACAAAGCTTACTCATAATTAATAACATGATAGCGTTCACACACATTTAGGCTCTTCTGATAAAGCAGTCATTATCAAAACAGGAATACTTCAACCTAAAACCAATTCAAAGACATCACTAGGACTAATCAGAAGAGACAATGCCAACACAATACTAGACACAAACTCAACCAAAACCAGGATTATAAGGGTAGATATATATATTTCAGAAGGATGGTATTTATTATCTTGAAAAGGTTATCTGAAGGTAAAAATGTAGCTTGCCATTTAAATCCACTTGCTGCAATTTTTCTAGTACACCTGCTCCACTGATGGCTCTTCAGCTCCTTTCTCAACAGCATTTCTCATGGCCCTCTCCTGGTCTATTTTATTCCAGCATTGATTTTGTTCTGTGATACTCAATGTAAAATGTCTTTCCCTAACGCACTATATTATGTTACATCAGTAAGAATATTTTGTAGTTTACAAAAGATATATGTACATGTACAAACATTTTTTTTTTATAAACAATTTACTTTTGTGTTTTATTTCTGGTCATACATACATATAGATAATGTTTTAAAAAATACTTAGAAATAATTGCAACAGTTTTGAACCTTATGTAATTTACCAGGGGTCTGAATGTAGCAAATAATCATTAAATGTTAATTATTGCGAGCAGGGATGGCGTGTATCAGAAAAACAGCATTTTCTGAACACACAAGCCTCAAATCCAGGATTACTCAGTGAATTACAATTCAACTCAAAGTAAGCTAATAATGAAGGAAAACTCTTTATAACACGGTTGAAAGCTCAAAGTAAATTTAGTATAATATGTCACCTTCAATATTTCTGTGTGAATCCAGTTTGATCCGATGCATATACTGAGTTAGTTTAAATAAATAGAACATTCACAAAATTACAGTGGAACTAAGTGGAATTAAAGTAAAAGTTTTAAACAGGCAGTACTGAGTCCAACAAGCACAAAAGGAAGAGTCAAATAGAAAGGTGAAGATTATATTGAGTAGAAGAACAGAAGAATAAAGGGCAAAAGAAAGGACCTGAAAATACCAGAAGAGAAAGAGAGGGAACGGGGGAGCTCACATGACTGATCTGCCTGTTAATTAGAAGCGAGAGGCGAGACACACAGTCACGGTACGCACACACACACGCACTCACACACACACACACTCACACACACAGTGGCACATTGATGGCGATTCATTCCAGAGAGCAGCTTCTAATTAGGACTAAAGTCTCAGCAGAGAATGAGGAGGGCTCAGGAGGTTCAATCCCTGGATAGAGATTGGGTCGACTATAGAACAAACCAAGGAAACTATTTTTAACCCCTGTCCATCAAAGTCTAGACACATAAAAAACATAGAATCCTGCGTAGAATGCTTTTTGAGCCACACGACCCTAACATTACAATTCTCTATTCATGAAAGTTCATTCTTTCTATCTATGGCACTGCTTGCAGCCAAATTCGTTAGAAGCCAAGAGAATTTGTGCACACTCAATCACCAAAGATTGTTTACCATGTAGCTAACTCTCTAAAGCTAACAGCTCTATGAAAGTCTAAAGGCAAATAGCAACATTAGCATTCATAATGAGTCTTGTTTCTGTCTACCTGATGAATGTTTGTGCTGGATGCTCTATAGCTGCACTTCTGTTATTACACACAAACTCCACAGGGAAATATCTGTGCCTCCAACAGCTAAATCCCCCCCCCCCCACATTTGCTTCTTTTCTGTGCCAACACCACAAGTCTACCGTTTGGTACTGGTTAGATAGTAAACACTGTTTGTTTTCTTCTCAAAAAGACTCAAAATGAAATCCTTGAGATTGAATGGAAAAGTTAACACTCACTGCTGCTTGAGGGTAGTTTGTACATGCCTGATTAGAGCAGTACTAAAATACTATTCTTAATACTTTACCTTATGTGTTTTACTTCTACTTTTGAACTTTGATTTTGAACTTTTCTAAGTTATACTACTTTTGGCTACTTTACCCACCTCTGTTAGAAGGGTATTATTGTTAAGCTGTTTCTTGAATAAAATAATGTTGTCTGCCTTGTCACTCTGTGTTAGCATTCCATTGTCATGTGTGTTATAGTGACAGGAACAGAACACTGTAGCCCCATATGCACAGAGTATAATGTGATGTGACATGGGCCCTACAGTACATGTCACAGAGCTGCATGGGGCTGCCTGTCTGCTGATGTGTGAGCTGTTGTCTGCTGGACTCTCACATGTCATATGTGTGAGTGTGGCCTGTGCTCGCTGTCTGTCCTTAGAGCAGGAAACCCACTGGGCCCTGTCACTAAACATGTGCTCTGAAGAGGCTCTTGGGATGCAATTGTGTCACACACTACTTTCTAGTGACCACTACAACCTAATTCACCAATACATAGCTTGAGACAAAGGTGTATGCTACATATTTTAAAATAAATACAATTAACTAAAAATAATTCAAAATAAATGTATACAGGTTCCTACTGCTCGAACAGTGACAGATGCAGGACCACTTTCGTAATATACTCCAGTCAGTTCAGTTCATTTGCCATTTACTGTACAACAACTCAACCTTATGTAATAGATAAATTGTCAATCATTATTTTTTTACTTACACATACATTTATATAATTGTGCCTTACTTGACCCCAGTCACTTACTATTTTTGCTACTTATTTTGAATTTATTATTATATTGTTTATAGTTTATACTGTTGCTCTTTGTTATTATAATCCATTGTGATGTGTGATCTACTGTGTCCAAATAATTTCCCTTGTGGATCAATAAAGTTTGTCTAAGTCTTAAGTCTATATTGTTGTCGCTCGACTTCCCATTAAAATTATATGATCAGTCTTGAGATGATGTTTATCTCTGGATATATACTCTGTAAAGATGGCTTCTGCATCGTGCTCACACATATCATTTGTTTTATAGGCTTTTGTTTGTATCTCAAATTCAGAAACAAAATCTTCTCCATTCCACTCTGACCACAGTTTTCCTCAATTTCCTGTACACTCAACTACTCGCTGTGCATAAAAGCTGCCATAATGCGCAGAGAAAACAAAACAGATTTAAGTCCATGCGGTATATTTTTGATAGACAATAGCTAAGTATAACATGATATAGTAGAGTAAAGTGTGGGAGATGTCACCGGTTTTGTATTTTAGGAGTTAATGGTAAAAATGTGTGAAAAGTTGAACTCAAACTTACTCCTGCAGATGGGCCGGTGGTCACTCCAGGCTGCCAGTGTGTCTGTGACTCTCTGACAGGTGATACTTTTAGATCCTTGAAGAACGTAGCTGTCATCGCAGCTGAACTGGACGCTGGAGCCCACTCTAGTTAAGGAGACAGAACAGTAAGAGAGCGTGTCAAGGGGCGTAATAATAGCTGCAGATGTCTACTTTAAGGCAGGTGACACACATAACAATTCAAATGTATTTTAAGAAACCATAGGAAAGATGATGACAGAACCATTACAGTTTCAAAAATATGAGTGATGGCGAATTGACATAATAATATAGGGTCAGATGTGTAATTTATGGCTTTCAATCAATCAATACAAAATGACATGTTTCCCTGTGTTTAGTTTAAATGTGTTTTGTTTTTTCAGGGTGTTTTTAATGTTGGCAGGTAAAATACATCAAAATATTTGAAGGCACTAAATAATCACAGAGTGGTCATGTTGACTTGAGGTGACTGATGGCTATTTGATGAGACATGTCACAACAGATGATCCAATTATGGTCTATAGTTAGATGCTTTATTCAACGTACCTTCGTGTTTCACTCCTGGGTCATTTGTTCTGATCTCTTTGTTTCCTCGTAGTCTAGCTTACACCCTGCTGTCTTTCACGTTAGCGGGACATTGAATCTCCTGAATAGAACTCTGCATGGTGCCTCGTCTGTAAACTTTAATGTGTCCTTCCCGCTGGTAACAACACGCACACACAGAGCTTAACACCTGGCCAAATATTCACTGTGCACCTCCAATGTACCGCTGCTCTCCTTAACTGTCTTTGTCAACTTGGGTCATTTACTCTGCTGCTTCTGTAACTTTCCCCCAATGCTGCTGATGATGAAAAATATCTCACAGTTAGACTCTCTCACGCTGCGATTTTTACACTTTTATGACAAATTTTTTTCCATTGCGAGTGTATTGACAGCGATGATCCATGCTTAGTGAAAATACGTTTTTCCTCAGTGTAAGCGTTATCTTGTTACAGTTCTGCCTCATCTCACTATATTTTTAGCCTGGCTACAAACATACTTTTGCCCTCATGCATCTGGTAGCGTACAGGGAGAATCTCGTATACATAGAGGTAATGATACTGTCACTGATGGGGGGTATAGGCGATGAGAATGGCTGATTTTAAAGCCAGCAAATTAGCCATGATTATCTTTTAAAAGGCTGAAAATGGAGTCAGGAAATGGTAAAACGTGGCATATTAAGTTTCCCTCATAATCACAGGGGGAACAGTTTAAGCTGCTAGTGAAGCTAAGTGAATGAGGGGCTATTATTTATAATTGCCAGCTGCTGATTAAATGAAAGGTCTCACTTTCTCCTGATTAGGCGACAGACAAATGCACTGTGAGTTATTTCATGTCCACTAAGTTCGTTTCTATGAGGTGTAAAGGGGCACTGGTCTAAATCAATAGTAACACACTTAACCGAACGTGAATGGGAACATGTGTGTCAATACTGCACAGGATATAGAGAATTGATCCTCAAGTGAAATAGTACTAGCTACAAAAAGGAATCCTTCATTTGATCATGATTTAGATTTACTGCCAGAATTGCCGTTAAATGTGCACTATGTAACTTCTCTGGAGATTCTGCCACCTGCTCATTTCCATTGAGAGGGTATCACTTCGCCTAGAATGTTCCACAAAATGGCATAAAACATACTATCTCCATGGGAACAAGCAGGTGACAATAACAAGAAGGGAAAGAAGCCTTAATACAATGGAATTTACTAAGCCAAAGCAATCATTTAAATACTGAAAATCATGGAAATATTCTTAATTTTTCTGCTTCATTATGAGGTCCTAATCAATGCCAGCAGAAAAAGCATGAGAGTTGATTAGGCAAAACATGTAATTTGTACAGGCTAATTACTAATACAGTCACACCAGCTGCAATTTGTCAGGACCTTCAAGCCCATTTTAAGCAGAGTGTAATCCCAAGGAGAAAATATGAAAACATTGATGGACTTTTTAAAGTTCTTTTTGAATGGAAAAGTCAATGTGAGTTCTAATGCTGATTCTGATTTGAAGTTGGACTGCAGACTTTTCATTGTGTTTTTACAGAGCACCATGACTGATGACTCATGTAAATGGAGATTGTAAATGAATGTGCGTGTGTGAGTGGGACATACTGAAATACAGAGCCCATCCTCTTGCCGTTTTCTGGGACCCCGGGATCTGGACAAACATCTCCAGCAAGGCCACTCTGACTCACTGCAAAAACAGAAAAAAGGTGTCATTAGAGTTTTGCTCACATCATTCACTTTATCATTCAGTGTGTTCAGCTTTTTCTCATCTCGAGACAAGTGTGGCAAGAGCCTATCCAAGAAATATACCCAAAAACATATAAACATATTATATACAGTATAAAAACACAGAGAAAGTGAGCTTCAGAGTGCCTTAGTAGAAGTCTAGAACAGGTGCTCCTCAAGGACGAGGCTCAAAAACTAACATATAGTAAAGATGACCAAGCTCTGACCTTTTGACCGCTTTTTATTTGATCACAGTAAGCTTTTCTGTATGTTATATTATTCACTGTGCTGTCAGTAAAGTATATTTTTTAGAATAAGAGGTATTTTTTTAAGTGCTCAGTGTTCAGAATAGTAGTAGTTAGCATTAGGGATGCACTGATATGATACTGGTATCAGATATCAGCGGTGATACTGAAAATTTTGTTGAATGAATATTGGTTCCAACATATTAGCCAATATCCCATTTTGGTCTATAAACTGGTGTAATAAGATGATTTACTAGCCCATGTTGGCTCAAAGCTTCTCATAATATTAAACTTGTATTTTCACAAAGCTGTTCTGTAATTATTTAAAATGATAAATAACAGTTACAAAACACGCTTTTATCACAGGCTCTTTGTGTATGAAAGAAATAAATAATATTTTCTGTCACTGGTATCGGTAGATATTGGGTATCAGATGCTTGAAACTAAAGTAACAATATCGGAATAGAAAAAGCTGGATCAGTGCATCTCTAGTGTGAATGAATCCTGTTTCAGCTCTACTTCACTAATACACACAGCAATTAAAATTTTCTCTCAGTATGTATGAATAAATACTTCTAATAAGAATATTTATTCATGTGGTATTGTTTTAGGAAAAATTCATGACACATTATAACAGAATTTATTTTTTCTTGTATTATTTTCCCTGTCACATACAAAAAACAGAAAACAAATATTTAAAAGACAAATCAAAGAACTGTAATGGACAAGCTTATTACTGGAGTTGAGAACACACAAAAAAAGCTTTATGTCATTTATCAGTCTGGAAAACAAGCCGCACAAAAACAAAACATCTTCCAAATGTTTGTGCCCATTTCAGCACCATGAAACAACAGAGATATCACTGACGAGCATCCAGTTTACTTCACACAACTCCTAAAAACGTGGATTGGTTTTGGCACGACACACATTCTCATAAACGGAAGAGAAAACCCACCCTGATCCAATATCCATCTTAATGGCCCACTCTCATTTTACACAGTCCATGTGTTAGCCAAGATTACTGTTGTAATTCAGATACGTCTCACGGTTTAATGAAGCTCATATGCCTATATGTGTTCATGCTAATTTAGACATACATTACAGTATCGTCACAAGTCATCAAAGTGAATCATCTCATTTGCGTACTTTGGCTCTTTCCGAAATTGGGGTTTGTTTATTCTTAAAGGTACATTATGTAACTTTTCTGGTGGAGGGTATGTCAAAGGTTTTTCTTCACTGAGATGTTACTGCTTTGTCTGAGATGGTGCACAGCATGGCATTAAACCTTTCTATCATCATGGAGACCAACTCAGGCCCAGCTATGGGTCAGATCTGTGGAATGGCATTCCAGTTTAGTCAGAATGCCTGTTTTCTAGATATTTTTGAGCAATAAAACCACCAGTAATTGAATGAACGTAAGGTAGATGTGTGGAACAGTCCAAGCAGAGCAATGACATGTCCATAGAAACCAGAAGGTGACAGACCCCCAAACCAAAAAGTAATTGTGCACCTTTAATGTTGTCTCCCACAATTTCCTTTTTTTGTTTTTTCTTCAAAGGGATCTCTAAATATAAACACCAAAACCATGCAAATATTGTTTTAAATCCCCTTGGAATAAGCACCTTTAAAACATGAAACATAAAACACAATATGAGCAGGTTTTTAATAGAGCAAATTTCTCCTTGTTGCACATGATTGTACCTCATCTATCTCCATAATCGGTTTCTATAAAAAGACGCAAAGAGCATACGATACATGTGACGTTTTCTGTCTGCCTCATATTAAGAATTGTACAATTGTGGACTGGAGGCATCTGGTGTATGTCTAAAAGATAATGTAAATGTAAATGAGAGGAGACAACATGACACAAAACCAGCTCTGTCTTAATGAAACAATGTGGAGGAATAATGAAGAGTAAATATACAGGAGGGATTGGAAGATTGTAGAAAATAAAAGAACCGAAAGCGATTTGAGCTGAAATCATCTATTCTAGACAAAGCACTAATAAGGTCCCTACATATATCTTAATGTTCCAAGAGTGACCACCAAAGTAAAAAACATTGTATGTGTATTCTCTAACCTTTCCATCAGAACCAGCATCAATTTCAAACTTCAACCTGTTTGGATATTGGCCAGCGCAGTTCAGGAAAATCAACAGGAAATGCAGCCCATTGTCTAGTCTAGCTAATCACTATTTGTAAAACTTTGATTTATATTTATTTTTCTGCATCTACGCATCAACTTTGAGGACAAAATGGTGCCTAATGCAGTCTGACCTATAAACATATGGCGAGATATTTTGTATTCACATCATTTGTCAGTGCTTATGTTGTAGATGATTTGTGGATCTAACTTGCAGTTTCATATGTTATATATATTTGTTTGTCTGCTTTCCGAACTTATTTTCCATGACTACTTGCCGGTTGTTGGCATGCCCAGTGTCCACCTCTCTTCATAGTCACATTAGCTGGAGTTTACTAAGGCATGATGCTTTTGTGCATCCTAGCATAAAAGATGGATGGCTGATTGCTGTGTTGTTTGTGTGATTGCATAGCAAGGTGCTATGGAGTGTATAGACAACTGTGCATGTTTGTTGTGCAATAGGATGCAAACAGAACAAGCTGTCTTGTTGTTGTGCTGCAGTTTTGATGTTCTGTCCAAAAAAATCCCAGCACATACACACAAATACACACGCAGATGCACTTTTCCTGTCGCGCCCTCTCATCTCTGCTCCACTCATGTTCAAATGGCTTCCACTGGCATCAAATACAAAGGTTTTCAATGCTGAAACAAATCCAACTTATGCAAATAACATTAGATTGTTACAGTGTGGGGGGAAAAAAACACATTTAATTGAGAAATATCAAAATCTAGAGAAGGCTTAATCCCATATTTGCACTTTAAAGGACAGTTAACATTTAAACACAAGTTTATGATGCACAACATTGGTTCATACCTTCAAAGTGCCCTGAGAAAGTCTTTAATCTTAAAGCTTATTAGGAATGGGAAGCCCATACTCTCATTGGTAACCACACATCATATCCCAGGCATTTTGAACTCATGTCAGCAGCAAAGTATAAGTCAAAAAAAAAAAAAAAAAAAAAATTCAATACAAAAACACCCTCTGCCCTCAGTTTGTAGGGCTGTATTATATTCAGTATTCTGCTCAAATGTTATTAATACTTTGGAAAATGCCATTATCTCAAATTAAACATTGTTTTCTAGTTCTAGGTGGAGGAGAATCCAGGATGATTGTTCAGATTTAAGTATGTTCTGTTGGCAAATATTCTTGTTAAGGCTCTCTTAGCTTAGTCCAGTTCCCTTTCCCAGGTGGTATTTTCAGAACCACTTCCTTAAACTAAAAATACCCCTTTTAGGCATTGTATGTTTACCGCTGGAAGTAGTATCTCTTCTACATTTAATTTGCATTAATATGTTTGTAAATCATTGTATTATTACAGTGATAGAGCTTTCCATGTCCACAGACATTTGTATTGTGGCTTAAGTACATGAGCATATATACATTTAAATATAAACAGATCACTGTGTGCTGCTATTATTACACCATGTTTGACATGCCAACAAGCACAACAGGATTACACCACTGAAGTCATCACCATTAGCTTCAATGTGACTGAATTATACTGGATGAGGTGACAGTAGTCCTTTTAGATAAGACTATCAAGGGCCATTATTTGTGCCAGTCATAAATACTCAAGAGGCTCTCACACCAGTGTAATTTAGCAGGCAGTGGGGCAGGGCAGTGAGCAGATATACAGACACAGTGCACATCTTAGAATGACCAGTGCAGTTTGGGAAGAGCAGCAGATTAGCACAGGATCTGATGAGAGTGCTACACAACCTGTTACTGGTAATTTGTGCATTACTCCAAGTGTCAGTTTCTAGTCAATTTAGGTTCAAGTACATGAATGTCATAATACAAGATCAGTCAATGATACACTGACATGGTATCTTTTATGTCATTATCTATTATTATCTGTAAATCTCAAAGAACTACACAACACAGCAGGACATATGCTGTTTTCTATAAAGCTCCTAAATTTTAAAGAAGCATTTGTAAGTTAAAACATGCCTGGCTGTCCTATATGTTTAGTTGTCAGAATGAAATTATTATCCAACCAGGGCTGGGTGCTATATCAGAAATGTAAAGCATGATTTTCTTGGAGCAGATCATGATTCTGATTTGATCAAAATTCATGTACACTTTATTTGAGCTCATGGGACCTAACACATATGCCAAACGGGGTTGTGGATGTGCGTCTGTGGAGTGGAGAGGGTTTTCTGCCTCCACTATCAATATTTCAATTTTCTTCATATGAAGCCTTATGGAGAAAAAACTTTACAGAAAGAAGAACATTAATTAATTATTATTTATTAGCCTATTATTTAGGCTATTAATTTAACAATTATCAGTCATATTCACTTATCTGTCATCATAACTCTTTGTACATGACTGTGGGCTACTCCAAGGCATTAAATTATATTATTATAGGAGCTGCAGCAGTCTTTTGCACCCGCTGTATATGCATATACATGTCAGTTTTGCTGCAAAAATAATATGAGTTACCAATGGTAAATTATGTGCAACAAGCAAAGTCTGGCCCTTTGTTGTCTTTCAGGGGGTAAATGATGTGATCTTCTTCTTCCGAAAGTTCACACTTCTCTGTGATTGGTTTAATTTAGCTGTCACTCAAAC